TCCAGCCAGAATGTAAATTTATAGTTCGCGTGTATTCAAATGAGGTAGAAAGGAGATAGTATTTAAATGCAGATTTTAGAGAGTACAATCAAAGTGCAAATCACTTGCCAAAGGCGATGTTTGTTGATAGATTTTCTTGAGACATAACATACTAAAATTTCGGGCGCCAGTGTGGAGTCTTGTGTTCTTTGGTAGCATAGACAAGAAATCGAAGACCGAAGTGACCTATCACTATGTCTTGTATAGTAAGTACCACATAAACTGAAAAAGAATGTAAAAGACTCTTTTATTTAACTCAAATAAAAGTTAACAAAATTACTACTCATAACTACTCATAATTACAGAACAGCCAGCATTTATGGCTTAAATCAAAAGTAAGGAATTTGGCTTAACTAAGTAAATGTAAGTTAAATTAAGTAAACCGAAAGGCTACACAGACACAAACTGCACAAGTTGGCTCCGACCAAAAGCCAGTGTAACAAGCCTATTGACGAAAATAGTGCAACGCCTCAGAATACTGCTCTCAGGAAAATTAGTTATCAAACGTGGCCTTCAGCAGGTGGAACAAGCTCTGATTCTACCCTCTAAAACATTCCTTTCGATACTACCTCATTTGAATACATGCAAAATACAAATTTACATTCTGGCAGGAAAATGAGAAGCGAGAAAGACAGTAATAAGACGACATAATTTATAAGAATAAATAATTTTCCAAAACATATTTTGTTGCAAATGAATTATTGTAAATAAAGGGTGTCTCGAAATTACCGCAAGAGTAGTTTTGTTTGAAAGCACAAGTTTATAATTTAATGCTGTAAATAGTTTGTTGACTCTTAAAGTGGATAAGTATAGGGTTATGTAAAGAAAAATAGCATAGTGGGTAAATGGCCCTGATAACTTATCTGGCACATGCGCATTGTTTTGTTGAAATTCTCCATGACCGTGTAAGGATTATGTTAATTTTTCTAACAGTTAAATTTCCTTTCCTATTGCTTCTTAATTTCAACTTACAACTTCCGGCCAGAACGTATTTATAGAATCAAGTTTTAATGCAAATTTTAGGAGTAGTATTTAACCGCGAAGTTCTACTGTCTTAGTAAGAGAGAACCAGTGATTCTGGCTAGCACGCGTCCGCCTTTTTAGGCTACTAACTTCTCTTAACTTTATGGGCGCCGGCCGTACTTCGGCCCTTGAAGCTCGCGGAATAGTGAATAAGGGGTCAACTCTGTTAGAAGTTTGATAGCTTCGGCTATATCTTTTTAGTTAAGATTAGTTAAGCTTAGTTCTTAGTCTCTTAAGTTCAAGCCCCAGTGTCGGCCTTATTGTACAACTCCAAGAGGGAGTTCTGTTACACCTTATTGGAATAAAAAAGGGTTACTATCACTCTTCTATATCACGAACTCAAGCGATCATTCGCTTGCCAGTTCTTAAGATTCTTCAAATTCAACTGTAATTTAAAAGTACACAGTACGTAATCTTAGAACAGTTTAGCATAAATGTGGCTGAATTTCGTTAATACAGCGCTCAGTTTCCTCCTTCAGGCGTGTTTGTCTTTGTGCTTGTTGACATATATCTTAGACTTCAAAACACCCGAAAGAAAAACGTCCAACGGCATTATGATGTAGGAAGCAAATCCTGATTACCAGAAAAGGAAATTCTGCGAACAAGAAATGACTCATGCAGTAATTGAAGTGTTACTCAGGCTGTATGGCATGTGGCACATTCTTATTGAAATCACATGTCGTCCACATCCATACCTTGCATATAAAGAGCTAAAAATTGGATTATCATTATTGCAATAGCGAGCACCGTTAACTGTTAGTGACTGACCAGCCGCATTTTCGGAGAAAAATGGTTCTATGATGCTTCCAGTTCAAAATCTGCACCAAACAGTGAGAGGTTGTGCATGCATTTGTTTTTCAACAATCACTCATGGATTTTTCTGCATCCCAAATGCGACAATTTTGTCCATTAACCAAGCCATCAAGATGAAAATGAGCCTCATCATTGAATATGATTTTGTCCGTCAGCTTTGTTTATTTGAATCAGCATCCACTTGTTGTTTCCATAATCCATTCAGCGAACTCTCTTTACTGTGTGTGGTCAATGGGCTTTAGTTCTTCCGTCAGTTAAACTCTGTAAGCATAAAGATATAAATCTTTCTGGAGAATAGGTTGTAGAAAGTTTCACGAAATAACCAATTCAGTACGGTGCCGAATTGGTATCCCAAAACTCTCAGCAACACACTCATGATTTGCTTAGATGTTTTGTGTCGAACGACTTGTTGAAGGACGGCCAGAGTGTTAAAGATCACTAAGTGAATTACTCCCTAAACTATTTTATTTAATTTCTTCATAATTGATGAAGTTCGATCACTATTCCGACTCTATTTTGTATAACATAGCAAACTGTTGCTGGCAGACTTTCATTATTTTTAAAATGCTTTGCTCACCAATGCAAACGCGATATTCTTTCGTGTAGCGCTCATTTTTAATAACTCAGAACTGTCAGATGTAAAATTATATTTTTTTCTTGTTGCCCACACTTTATTGCACAAATGACGCAGAATTCAAATTTTGTATGAATATGAGGGTTACGTTTAGCAGTACATTTTATGTAAAAGATAAGAAATTCATTACATTTTTTACTTGACCTCCAACAGCGAATGCAATTTCTCGATGCAGTTTTGACCAATCCTTTTGCAACTGGATTACGGACAGCTCAACTGAAGCCGCCTGGCAGCTGAGAAGCCCTTTCCCTTCTCTTGACCAAGGCCCAACGAGAGACCATACGACAGGATCCGGAAGTGGTATGTATCTTAAACTCTATAATTTGTGTAAGACTAAATTTCCTTTTAATGTTTGTATATTACATAAGAGAATCGGGTGTGATTATGGTCCGCAACGGAATCCATTATGGCGACCATTACGGGCTAAAAGCAGTCCTGATGGATATTTGATCTTTGAAATATTGATGAAATTTAATTTTGTACTTATATACGTAACGAAGAAGTTTCGTCTAATATCAGTTAACCGCGTGAAGGTTTGAAAACACAGTTGTAGCCAAAGAAATAAAAAACTTTGGCAGCGAACAAGATATTTTCAATAAAGTGTAATGCTGTGGGTGCTTCTTTGTCAGTATTGTGTAAAGCATTATTAAAAATTAAATTAATTCCTGTTTAATTGGCGTTCATCTGTTAACTTTGGCTATCAGGTTCAATATTCCTTCTAACCTTCTTCGGGAACATACAAGGACCTGACTAGGAACAGAGAGCTTACTAAAGCTATGTTCACTAATTGTAGTAAGTAGACAGGATACAGACGAAGGGTATACAAAACCCTTTTATTTTTCTTATATACAATGAGTTCCGTACTTCGGAATACAATGACCCTTCACATCTCGGGTCTAACGTAAAAGTATAAAAAATAAAACTAAACTCTAATTTAACTTTAGAATAACACACGTGTAAGATTGGCCTTATAATAACAGGAAGCGTATGTAGCACAGAGACTGTGAACACTACAATACGTTTAATTTATCAAGAGGATTAAAACCTCTGGCCTGGAAGGCAAATAGCAACTGCGTAAACTTCTAAGGTAAGCGGCCTGCTTCGAACTCACTGCTTCCTCTCCTCTCTCTCTCGCTTGGCAAAAAGGCCACACTTAAATACTTGGCGTTCGCCAGACAAACTTTGCATAAAACCTTCACGCTTATAATTCTGGCCGGAAGTAGAAAATAAGAAGTGATAGTAAAGATTTAAAATAAAATAAACGTTAGTAAACTTAAGATCCTTACATACTTCCCGCCAGAGTTAATTAGTTTGAAACTGAGGTCTAAACGACTTGTTGAAAACTTTTAGCTCTAGAATATAACGCGAGGCCAACCTTTTACAATCATAACTTCGTTAGAAACTAGAAATTTAAAAGAAAGAAATTTGTTACAATAGCAGCTCCCAGGATCTACAACAATCTTTTTTTTTTTTTTCATCTGTACTGCATCTAAACAGGAGCTTTATTCAATTCTGGTTCCTTCCAGAGATCTGGAAGGAAAACTAGTTTAATGAAATGTTACACAATGACATTGCAAATACATATAGAATTCTTCTTTAACATTCTTATTTCATTCATGACTATTTAATTATCTCTCCCCTTGCTCTCTGACATGTGTTGTAAAAGAACACCAAACACGAATGTGTTTATGTCTATGTGTTCAACACTTCGTCTACAATCAAAACACTAACGTGTTAAAATTCAACATAACGAGACCTTAACACACCCTACTTTCAACTCTAAACCCTGAGGTACTATTCTAAAAGTGGCTAACTCTAAAGTATGCGTCAGAGAGCCTAACTACATCATTCACTTTAACATATATTCGCCATGATTTAGTCCTTTAGTCACACGAATAACATTTTTCACGTTCCATACCGTATTTGGTTAACATTTCAATACAAACATGTTAAAACATATCCACATGCCGTTATTTTACACTTTGAAAACATACATTAGTAATACTTGTTAACTTTATTCTTTTCAAGCAAGTGCCAATTCTTTCTACATTGAAATACTACATTCAAATCTTCACAAAACTTTTTTGAATGTTTTAAAATAATTTTATCAATTAAAATTTATTAGTTAAGTTTCCACAACGCTATTATTCATCAACTTTTTTTACCGCGCGAGTAATTGAAAACATATAATCGTCACAACTCTTTCTCGCCATTTGGCGATAAAGTAACCTCGCATGAGGTCACTTCTTGAAATCTGCCACTTGCAGTAAGAATAAGCTTAACTTAGTTGCAATGTAACATAAATTTTACTTATCTTTGTAAATTCGGACGCTTTCTTGGCCATCTTTAAAGGGATAGCATAGTAGCTTGGTTTTACTCCTTCTTGTACGGCTCGCCCTTCAGTGCTTTCCACTGAAGATCCGTTTGTCCAGTACGGCCACCCTGACACCTCCTTTGCCCCTTTTTTTTTTGGCCGTTTGAAAGGCAGCTGGTCTTGGTGGAACCGTGAACTTCTGTCGTGATCCTTCTTGGACTCGTTTGGCCGTTCAATTTTTCTTGTACTTTGATCGCCCGCAGTTCGGCGACTTTTGCGGGAGAGTTTCTTCGATGAGTCGATCCTCCGTTTAAAGCCTGGTAAGTTGCCGTCCTTTCTCCTGGTCAATACACATACGGTCCTTGACCTTTTCTGGGACGGTGGAACGGCTTCTTTTTCTTACTCTTTTTTTTCATTTTCTTTTCACTCTTTCTGTGTCTCTTTTGCCCTTGTCTTGTCGTTTTCCCACCTCTGGACTTGTAACCTGCCCCCCTGCCGTCCGGATCCTGCAAAAGATCTGACAAGATTCTTTTTATTACGATCGAAGTAGGCTTAATTTGATCATATTTCGGACAATTTTCAACACCATTTCTGGCCTTTCACCTACCACGTGGTTCTTTTTGCTTAACATATGGTCCTCAATCGTGGAAAAATTGGCAGTTTACTTCTGGTGCTGAAGACCGTGAATCTTAATTTTAGTACTTCATCCCCTACTTATAAGTTCTCCCCGTCGTTCAGATCGTATATAACTTCTGTTTTCGTGTGCTACTCGTATCTTTTTTGCTTCTTTTATTAGTTTTTTCTATATTTTTTATTTTTGGGGCCTTTTTGTGCACATAAAATAATTTTCTAACGGTGTATAACCTGCTAGAAATACTCAGCAGGTGTTTTTCGTGTTCATGTTTTGCGTCCTAAGGCGAAAGCAACTCATTGACAAGTTATCAGCTTTTAATGAAATTTTTAATAAATACGGATAATTTTCACTATATTTCTGTTGCCCGTTCCTATATTTGATTGGGGCCGATACGGGACCATTTTTAAATGACGTATGCCCAGTTTTTTTGCACATGTCTTCAAATATTTACTTACAAATTGAGGACCATTAACCATATCTTTTAGGGGCGCCCCGTAAAATATATTTATTTAAAATAGAATCAGTAACTAATTTCGCGGAGGCTCGTTTAAGGACAATTTCGGTCCCATTTACTAAATGATCAACCATAACAAGGAGAATAGCGCTTTTATTTAACTGACTTTTTTGGAAGGCCCATAAATCGATGGCAATTATTTCATTGGAAATTCGTTTTATCTATTTAGAAATCCGGCCGGGCGGAAATTAATATAATTAACGGCTTGACATGTGGGCAGGACTGGCATACGCCCTTGTTAACTTAACTTTTTACGAGAGCAAAGAAGGGGCTGTCATGGAGCTCTTGCAGATATTAATCTAAGACTAGCTGGGATAACAGGTCGAATTCGTTGTTGGAATTCGTAGTTTTTGTGTAGAATAATAGACCATCTATTAGTTCGTATGGGCCGCCCTATTTCTTATCGCCACCACATCTTGGTGGCTAAAATTTCAGGATCCTCAAAACTCATAAATACTTCCAAACTCAGGATTCCCAGTTCGGTTATTACAGTTCCGGGATTTATTGCATTTGTCGTATTGTTACGGTTTACCGTTCGTCTATTTTTCTGCTACAATCTGCTACGATATCCTTTCCGGGGGTATGCTTGATTACAGATTATATTCTTGCAGCTTGAGTGCCATCTTATTACCTTGGGGATAAATTTTTCCCTGAGTACAATCTGTTAGTTAAACCTAAAATAGACCCGCTTTTGCGCACAGATCAAGAATATACTGGTTTTGATTTTGGGCGCTCCTTTTCCAAATTTCTAGACTCGGAACTTTTCACTTGTTTTAATGCAAGCCTATTGTTGCGGTTTTCCCCCCCTGAGATTTTGCCGCCGCATGATTCTGTTATCTTTTCCTTTGCAAGTAACTCGCCTGTGATTTCGAAGTACCGCTCCTACCGCATAATCCGAAGCATCCGCTGAAATTTCTAAATTTTCATCCTTTTCAGGAAATTTCAACACAGGCTTGCGTTAATGCTGTTTTAATTTTCGAAAGCAATATTGGTTCGGCCGTCCACGAGAATCTTGCTTTTTCCTTTTTAATTTTAACAATGGCTCAGCGCCGCAAAATCTTTTATAAAGGACCTATAATAAACAAAGTCTAGAAAAGAAGAGAGCTTTTTCCGGTTTGAGTCTGATACTTTTTTACAGCGATTATTTTTGATTCTGTCTCGATCCCTTTTTGAGATATTTTGTAACCTAAATATTTTAATTCAGGGCTGCTATTTGCACTTTTCGACATAACTTTTAGACGGCCTCATTTAATAAAGAAAACACCTGTCTTAAATCCTGTATTGTTGGTCGAGTTATCACTAGTAATAATGATATCTCTAAATAGATAAATGTGGACTTTCCAAGAACAGGTCTTACACAATGTCCATGCATCGCTGAAATGTTGCTGGGGCCCCAGAAAGGCCAAAACGGCATACGAAAAAATGCATAAGTGCACTTGTCACTTAGGCACGTCCCTCAGGCACCCCTATTTGAAATAACCATTCGTTAAGTCTAAAGTCGTCATAAATTTGGTTGATTTTATGTTCCTTAAAATTTCTCTATGATCGGTAACGGATATACCGGATATTTCGTTATGGAATTTAATTTACGGTAATCAATAGCGAATCTCCACCTTTTTGGATGCTCCAAAGGATAGTCATTATTTTCTTACATAAAACACCGGGCTAGCATAACTACTTGAGATGGGCGTTATGATCTTTTACGTAGCATATCGGTAATATGCCATTCTATAATTTTTTCCTTATTCTTATCATACCGGTATGGTTTTTGACGAACTGGCAATGCATCTCCGGTGTCAATACTATGGTTAGTAACCTGAGTAAATCCTGGAATATCACTAAATAACGAAGCAAATTCACTTACCACTTGTCGGATTCTATCTTGCTCGTCATTAGGCAGGTGGTCAAGATTTAACCTTGGCGGTTCCCTTTTCTACACGCACTGGTTTCATTGTCAGCTTAAGGGACGCTTCATTAAAATCCAGGTGTAGCTTGTGCGTCTGAAAGAAAGTCTATTCCTAGGATTAAATGTGCTTGCAAATTCTTACTATAAAAACATCACCTTTATTGTTCGTCCTTGATACGGATATACAAAGGTACTTTCCTACGCACTTACATTTTTCCTTGCGCCGCTAATACTGTCGTATTATCCGCATTATATATGCGGTATTTGCGAAAATACTTCCTAAAAAGACTCTGCCACACAGGAACACTGCGCGCCGGTATCCAGGAGTGCGGTGGCTGGGATATTATTCACCAAGACTTCAATCTTCGGAAGAGTCAAATTTTTCACCATTACTGTATTTACTTGTAGGAAGAGGGGTTTCGTGGCCTTCGGATTTCCGCACCCTCTCGTCAGCAGAAATCCGTTTTAGTTTAAAAATTATTTTTCCTTTCCGTGCTTTCCTTCTTCTTCCATGGCCTTGAGACTTTTCCTGGGTTGCTATTGAACTGTCGACGTTCGCCGGCTGTTTTGATGCTCGGGTTTCCTTGCCCACTGATTCGTTTTTTTTCTCCGTAGCCATGTGCTTGAGTTTGCTGTAGTCTTGGCGTACCAAATTGGTTTCGCTGTTGATATTGGCGTCTTCTTCGACGTCCGCGTTCTTCTACAAAACTTTTCAGTGTAGTCGGATTTCGTTAATTCAATAACGTCTTGCACTTGGGGTAGTAACCTCGGCAAAATCACTTGAATTATTTCAGGATCCGGACGGTTTCCATACAAGAGCTTGAAAACGTGAATTTTTCTTAAAATAAAGCTCGAGAGGTTTTCGATTCTTTTGTTGATATATACTGAAAAGTTCCGTTTAATTTCGCACGATCCCTTACAACAGGGAGGCTTTTAGTAGGACAGTCTTGAAATTTTCGTAAGTATAGGGGACTTCCTGCTTGACCCAAGAGACTTCTGCCGATACATTTGAACCAGTTAAGCGCTTGGCCCCTTCAAAGCGCTGGTAGCTAAGATAACTTTTTGAAACTCGTGCACGGGGTAGAGCATGAAGTGGTCATCCAATTTTTCCAAAAAACTGGTTACCGGTGAGTTTCCGTTAAACGTTGCTTCTGGTTTCATCGAAGCGCGCATGGTCTGGACGATGTACCCAAATCCTTCCAGGGCGGCAGCTGGCATTTCTGGATTCTGAGCCGTTTCTGCAGGCAGCACAGGTTCTTCCTGAAATCGGCCATGGTTATTCTCTTCGTTGGGCGCCACTATCAGGTTCAATTTCCTTCTAACCTTCTTCGGAACATACAAGGACCTGACTAGGACAGAGAGCTTACTAAAGCTATGTTCACTAATTTGTAGTAAGTAGACAGGATACAGACGAAGGGTATACAAAAACCCTTTATTTTTCTCTATATACAATAACTTCCGTACTTCGGAATACAATGACCCGCCACTCGGGGTCTAACGTAAAAGTATAAAAAAACTAAACTCTAATTTAACTCTAGAATAATACACGTGGAAGATTGCCTTATAATAACAGGAAGCGTATGTAGCACAGAGACTGTGAACAATACAATAGTTAATTTATCAAGAGGATTAAAACCTCTGGGCCTGGAAGGCAAACAGCAACTGCGTAACTTCTAAGGTAAGCGGCCTGCGTTGAACTCACTGCTTCTCTCTCTCAGCTTGGCAAAAAGGCCACACTTAAATACTTGGCGTTCGCCAGACAAACTTTGCATAAAAACCTTCACGCTTATAATTCTGGCCGGAAGTAGAAAATAAGAAGTGATAGTAAAGATTTAAAATAAAATAAACGTTAGTAAAACTTAAGATCCTTACATGGCTTGTACATAATTTATGTCTGAGCTCTGTCATATTGATGGAAATATCTTGATGGGAGCTCTGTTGGGAATTGATGTCTAAAAGAAAATGGCAGAGAGCTGATACTAATTTCAAAGTGTAACTTGTTTTGAATGTAATTTGCTTCATAATATTTTTCAGTAATTAAATTAACAAAATAGAAAATTTCTTTGCAAAACAATGGAACTATCAATGGAAAAACTAAACTATTTCACTATTATAGCTCATCACTTGTTTTTTAGTGAATACATTTAGGCCCAAAAAAAGGGAATTATGAATTTTTCTCTGACATGTTGAGTAGCTGTACATAAAAATTAGTTTAACCATAGGAAACCGAAACCTTCGCTAACCTGTATGCTTAAAATACCGAAACGCCTGAAATTCCTTTCGAGATTCACAGCAATTTCCTCCTCTCCCCGTCCCTTAACGCCCAAAGAGGTCTAAGGATTTCAAATGGCATCCTTTATACTTTCTAACAAAGAAGCTTCCATTCTTTTACGACAAGCTGTCTGCAGTAAACTGATACAATGGATTGGGGGAATTTTATACCTTAAAAAGAGAAGAAAACAACGTCACATTCTCGACCGTTTCGGTGGTTGTGGTTGTTTCAATGAGAGACCATCTCGGTCGTTTTGGCCTTGAAAGGGTTAAAAGTCTATTAATAAGGATTAGTAAGTCTATCTGCCTGAATTAATTTAATGCACATTTTACAAGTGCTTAGACACTTTCGTTATAAATATATTTGCTAATATATCTATGACTACGAAGAGAAATCTTATATTATGAAAATATTTCATTGTTCATGATTTCGCAGTAAAAAAGTCGATTGGGTGTTAAACGAAACATTTGAGGCAATGTTGTGTGAAAGTTATTTTTTTCCATAAAAGATTACATAATTTTAAAAAAATACAGAGTTTAGTAAGTTTTAATTTTCGAGTTTAGAAGAAATATATATTTTAAGTTTCTAATTAAAATTTTTATAAAAGAAATTCATTCAGATCTCTGTGAATTTTATCTAATTATTTAGAAGAAGTAATTTACACTCACATATTTATTCTTTTTGAAATGAATTAAATTAAATACCAGTTTATAAATAACACTGATAAATTATGCACATTTTTATGACACAAGGAATTTGGAACACACTGTTTGCAAAATGAAGGTAAAGCATTTCATAGTTGAATTTTAAACAACATAATGCTCAATATATATAAGCATAATATTTTTTTTTAATTTTTAAGTGTAGAAATTTTCAATAACAACTCTTAAATTTCAATTTCTAATAAATGCATGCTTATTATAGGGCAATTTTTATTTTTGCCTGGAAGAATAAGAACTGTACCAGCTCGACTCATTGGACCGATGCTTCAACCTGCTGAAGATTGTCAGGTACTATATTTTATACAAGTTTTTATGCTTATTTATATGCTGAATTGTTTAATATTTAAAAAATGAGGAAATGTACTGTGTTGTGACTTCGAAAACAGTACATTTTTATAATATATCGACATCTCCTGTTAAAAATTAACGATTCGATAATTAGTTTTTTAGTAAATAAATCAAATTTAAATAAAATCCATTTTCTTCTATTCAAAATAAAGAAGAGGATTAAGAATTTCCTAAATTTAATTAAATAAAAATAAATTTAAAAAGGAACGCATTTGTATTAAAATTCTCGCTGTAACGTATACCAATTTTAAAAACTAATTTATGTACATTCGTAAATTTTAACATCAGAGTTTGTCATAAAAGAACATTTCATTTTAACCCAAAACCATCCGGCAACTATTATTTTGCTTCTTTCGATGGTTTTCTGCTTTTCAAGCTAGTAAATTTCCTCTTTATCCCTTTCTTCATTTTCCCCCTATTCTATCAAGTTACCGCTACTCTTCTTTATTCTGTTCACTTTATGTCTTTTTTTTTTCTTTTGGTAAACTACAAATATTTTCTGCAGTCTGTCATTACAGCATAAACATATTTGTTAAACTTATGCAGCACATGGTTTATAACAATAGAGGGCATAAAATAAAAGTACCCAAAATTATTTCCGAAGATTTTTCGCGATTTTGTGCTTTGTAAACCTTAGAAACTGTAAAGTATAACAGTGAACTCTATGATACAAAGGAAGATATACACTTTCGCACTTATTCTCGTTACGCTAGAACTTACTTCAATGTTCTTTAAACATGTTTAAAACTTTGATTGACTAATTTCTTATGATGGAATTTGTAAAAATAACGAAGAATTCTTAAAACGCGTATTCTTTTTTTTTTTTTTTTTTTTTTTTTTGTTTTTTTTTGGTTGTTTCATGTCTTCTTACTAAATTATATCTTTCGAAACTGAATTTATCTAAGTTACTAATTTGAAATCACGGTTTCATATTTAACTATGAAATATCTGAATTCTTATAACCCACATATAGATTCGCCTCTACTTCGACATCCGTGGAAGAGGACCGATATCGCTCCAAGTCAAGACAAGAACTGAAATAAATGGAGAAGAGAAAGTTGTGTGGACTAGAGAAGATCCAACAGAAGGCTACTTTTTCGTGGAAGACAGAATTACTTTTAAAGAAACAAAGAGTTATCAGGTAAGAATTTACATATATGAGCAGGTTTTAAGCGACGAAAGTCTCTTTGTGCGAGGCAGTTTGTTTAGAGATGTATTGATAAAATCATCGCGTGTTTATAAAACATGTCCGTGTCCTATATACTACGGGGCATCCTCCTATCAAATATATCAAAAACAAACTTCGTACTGTCAAATGCAATCAAAATAACAACTGCAAAATCTTGAGTGAGTATCTTCACAATATAAAAAAATATGGTATACAACTGCCATAGAAAAGATTCTTATTCATGGCGCATCTGCTTGGGGCACAGAATTCAATAAGACAGTTAACCTCAGTTCAACATCTTTTTCTGCTTACAATTACCAAAGCATTTAGAACAACACCTCTACAGATTATCTCAGACATTCCTCAAATAATTTTAACCCTACAAAAAAAAAAAAAAAAAAAAAAAAAAAAAAAGCAACTAAAATAAAAGTTGCACGTTCAAGAGAGAAAGTACCTACAATTCCAATACCTACCTTCCAGAAGATTATGAGGAAGAAAATATAAAACATCATCCAAATTAATTTCATTCAGAAAATATAACATCAAATTCAAACATAAATGGTTTTCAAATCAAAATTTATACAGACGGATCAAAAACGGAAATAGGAAATTCGTAGTGCCTACTGTGTATTTTATAGCAATAAATTCATACACACCTGGAAATCAAAAATGATTCAAACTAATTCAATATTTTAAGCTGAATTACTAGAAATAAGGAAAGCCATAGTATACGCAAAGCAACTTTCAACAGCCAGCTATATATTTCAATATCTCACAGTGCCTCAAAAATACAAGCAGTAACAGGTAAAAATAAATTACCTTTAATCCGAGACATACAACTCCTACTTGCTAATTTTCATAAAGAATACATACCAAAACTCCAATGGACAAAAGCTCACAAAGGAACATTTGGAAATGAATTAGCAGATACATTAGCAAAGAGAGGCAGCAAACACTACTACTATTCCGACATTTTTTCCACTTCCAAATCCTATTTCATTAATAAAATCAAGACTAGAAAGCGATTTAATAACACAATGGAATGCAAATTGGTCAAGAGACAATACAGTCCGACGAACATACTTATTCTTACCAAAACCATCAAGGAATTTAACTAATTAAATAATTCAATAAACTTATTTCCCTTACCTCACACGGACCTTTATTTCATATATCGTCTTCGTGACACTGTATCTGTGGTCAATCGGCAATACAATTATAGGTCGAATGCTCAATAACATCTCACTTTCGCTCCTTTACAGCTGTCAACGTACAAATCTGTTTGAAGCAACTTCTTAAAAGTAATTTTCTTCGTAATAAACTATATAACTTAATGAAATATCTCATAGAAAACTGTGATCATTTAAAAGGAACATAAAGTATATCCAATATTTAAGATAATATTTTAAGATTTTTCGTCTCAGCAGCTGTTACAGAACTTTCAAATTAGAATTAATTAATTTTTTCTATATCTATCTATCTATCTATATCAAATGTTTTCTCATAACTCTATTTAATGTGTATATTTATGTATAATGACTTAATATATACATCCAAACTTCATAGATTATAAAATTTAAATAAACATGGTCCCACTGAGTGAGCAATAAAGCTGAAAGTCTTCTTGGCGGCACAGTTGCTCACTCGGTAGTCTCCTGTCCTTATAGGATATAGCTACTTCTATTAGACCATGCAAACCGAAATTTTAAAGCTGTAAAATTGTAAGCTTATTAATAAATTGCCTTTTCTTTAAATTTATAGAACGATTGTCTCGGAAAATTTTGATTTTATAGTATATTTTCAATCTAATCACTTACGAGACTTACAAGTCTAAGTAATATTTTGAATGTTTTCTTAAAGCAACAAAAATGCAACTGAAAAGTAACAAAATTCAGTGCAGAAAATGTAAATTAATTTTAATAAAGAAGATATTTTAGGGAAATTTTATAAAATGTTTTAAATATTTAAGAACTGTATATACGGTTGGAAATCTGAAAATTATGTTATTTAATTAACATCTTCAGCTTTATCTGTCCACCAGAGCCTAAACGGTAACTGAACGTCGAGCGGTCACTGAACAATGGTAGTTGGTTCGAGGTTCGAATCCCGCGAACGGGCTGCCTGCATGGGCGTTTTCGTCGTTTTACCTATGTGTAACGTGTATACTAGCCAGTTTCCCTCAGAAAATTCTCCACGAAGACATCCCTCCTTTTAGAGAGATAACCCTCGTGGCTTTGCCGTAATCACAGAAAACAACAATCAGCTTTATTTAATAGAAATCCTTTATCACATTTCTTTATTACTCTTTTGGTACCACATTTGTAGCGTTTTTATTCTAAAAATTCTTTGACTTATAATAGGAAAATATGTACTTTGTTTTCTACATAACATTTATATTTCTAATCTAATAGGGAAACATTTTTATTTATTGATTGTATTGATGTAATCTCTGAAATATAAAACTGAACTCTATGTTACAACTCGAACGCGAAATAATCGAAAGTTTCTCTTCTGCCAATGGCAACGAGGAGTCGAAAAGGGGACTTGGAAGAGAGCGGTCACTGGCTCAGTTTCTCTCGATAGAATTTGATACGAAGGGGGGATAATCCCCATCTTTTGATTTGAAATTAATCTCGAATTATGTATATATTGTAATATAACAGATGTGTGTAAATAAAAGTCATTAAGACTTATTTGAAGTAGTGATTTGAATCGAATATACAAATCGAAAGCTCTTCTAAATAGAACTATGGGCTATAGAAATAACACTTTACATAAAATATTCAAATTATATCTGTTTTTCAGGTGATTATCGAAGGTTCTATTGCCATATCTAAAGGAAAAGTAAACTACATAGCCGTGGATGATGTGTCTTTTAACCACAAATGCGTGCCTCAAATAAGTAAGATCCTATTTTTGTTTGCTTGTTTTCTGAATATATACTTTCGTATACTATACTTTATATATACTTTCGTTTACCGACTTTTCATAGCTAACCATGAAAACTGATTTTGTATAATTAGCAGATTAGTATTTGAGGGGGGAAAGCATATATATTTATGCGCAAACTTTGAGAAAATGTATTTTCTATTGCATTTTTTTTTTTTTGTTTTTTTTTTGTTTAATATATTGCAAAGTTCATCCTTAATTCTATCAGGTAGTTTCTAATAAACACGTAATTAAATGATCAAATTATATGATAAATGCTTCTAGATGTTTAGGTTATTTAAACAACATGACATCTTAAAAATGTGAAAAATTAAAAAATTCAGTTTTAAGAATATAAACTTAAAAATCGAATCTCAGATTCTGGATATATTTGAGATTCGAATTTTCGGTTTAAAATGAATTTTAATGTCTTAAATGAAAATTTAATTAAATCTTTTTTTCGGTTTTTGATCTCAGGTGAACCAGAAGAATGAAACATATTAATCGACTTTTACGAAACTTTAATTCATTTTGCCCTGTTGAGTTCTGAATTAGAGTTTCAGTAAAAAGAGATTAATTTTTTATGTTTTTTTTCCCCTTTTCACGTTAAACCTCTTATCCACGGTTGCAATTATTAATATTGTTTAGGAATTCTTTGCTTTGATTCCAATTTAATTTTAACTTTAGAGGCTTTAAGTTTATATAATATGTGTGTGTGTATGTGTATTAAAAAATTACGGTTTTTAATAATAATTTTTCTTCTGTTTTGATATATGTGTGATATAATATATGTGTGTGTATGTGTATAAAAAATTACGGTTTTTAATAATAAATTTTCTTCTGTTTTGATAGTATAATATAAGTGTACCTAATTTTACCTAAATCTATTTAAAATAATGCATTTAACAGAAATTTCCGAGACCTAATTCTATTTTTATTGCGATCGTTTACATATATCCAAGATTCATGTATCATGACATAATTTTTTCATTTTGGTCCGAATAATTGTTTCTCATAGAGAATTCTGTAACGCGTTCTGCTTTCGGTGATACGTCGTGGAGAAAGATGATGCACTTTACGCTTTTTTCGCCTTTTTAAAATTCAAGTCAGCATTAATCACTTGGTTTACAGTTGACACTGAGTATCTTAATGATTATGCAATTGTCCTTTGACTTCGAAGATTTTCCTTTAACATTTATGTGTGTGTATGTGTGATTATGGCAAAGCCTCGAGGACTATCTGCCTAAGGGGAGGGATGCCTTCGTGAAGAACTTTCTAAGGGAAAGTGGCTCGTGTGCACGTTACACTTGGGGAAAACCATGAAAGCGCCCATGCAGCCAGCCCTTTCGAGGGATTCGAACCTCGGACCGAATCGGCCGCTGGTGGGCCCTCTTTTAACATTCAATTTCTTACCTTTGCAACATTCGAAACACTCCATTTTTCCTTTGTATACTTATTTTGAACAATTTTTGAAGCCAAACTTTGATGTTTTTTTTTTCTTTCTTATTGACAATATTATCTATCGTTGCTTTAGTTGCCGAAATATCATGGCTTTCAGAGCATGTTTTGCTATAAATTTGAGTATTTTACATAGCCTTCCGTTTCATTGCTCCTTCAAAAGCGCCATTTTGCATGAAAACAATATTTTCAAGTAGCAGACGATAATTTACGCCTTCAAAAATATAGCTGCAGCTAAAGAAAAGTTTTACAAGCAGACGAGTTTTTTACAGTAAAACAAAATCGTCTAAAAATGTGCGAACAGCGTTAGTATAACAATATTTTTTTATAATAATTCTGTTTTTCTATTTGTTAATTTTCCTAGCTAATACAGATTTGATTGAAAAAGAACACTTTACTTACAAATCGCTTAATTACATAATGTACAACTAATGTTTATTTCAATAATTTTAAAACTACTATATATTTTCAGCTCCAATTCCAACGGCTCCACCAGTACTATCTACACCAACGCCAACAAAGAAATGCCAGTATGGTCAGTTTAGATGCACAAGTAAAGACGAGTGCATTCCCATAGCTCAGAAATGTGACTTTAAAGAAGACTGTTCAGATGGCTCTGACGAGCATTTCTGTGGTATTTAAATTTCTATACTTATCTTTGATATATTTAATTATTGAACATAATACAGCAAAAAAAAATGAAGATATTTTATAAGTAGCTAGAACTGTTTATTTAAGTATATTGCACATGTTTCTTTATGTTCAAGAGAAACTATTATGTTTGATTAAATTAAACTGGAGTTGCAGCAATGTGCGTTTGTGCTTAATTAAGCGTAGAAATCTGATTGGTAAAATTATGCAAACAGCATACAACAGGCGACAATGATTAGCATTCTATCAGCAGATAGTTTTTATTATTTCAGAAAACATCACTTGCTTAACAATAGACAAAAATTATGATCACTTATCTAAAATCTTGTTGGTCCAACTTTACATCTCATCACAGTTTCACTACATGCGGGCATGAACTCTCTGAACTTCTGGTAGGTTTTTCCAGGCAAAGCACATCAAATGTCCAAAATGTCCAAGCTCTTCAGTTCGCGTAAATTAATGTCCAGTTCTTTAGTTCAGTTCGCGCTTCTTCGAGTTCATGATCCACCACCGCCTATTCGGTGGTGGATCATGAACTCGAAGAAGCATCCCCACAGATATTCAGACTGGTTGGAGATCTGGGAATTGGACGATCAGGTAAATAGACTAAACTCTAAAGAACGTTTCTTAAATCACCTAGACACAATCTTGGATTTGAATAAATACAAAATTGTGGTAGGGAATACTGTCTTGCTGAACAGTCCACTGCTTTTGGAAAACAGACTCAGGGATTGGATGTAACTGGGATGTCCATCACCAGGATTGCATTGCACCAGGATTGGATGTACTGGGATGTACGTGATACACAAGAACATAAATTTAGTCCATAGCTTTCATGTTTCAGCGTGGAATATACCCGTCGTGTATTGACCCAACAGTAAATAGACATCCCGTCCAATGGGCAAATTTCGACCCTTGCTGTTGATATGATGCAAGAGAAATCAGGTGTCTTCTAACAAGGTCAGGTTTCTTCTGACATTTCCACAGTTCAATGACGATGTCCTTTGAAAGCGTAAATGGCAATGATGTAGTGTAAACAATGGAACCTTGGTGGATCTTCGGTAGCAGAGTCCCATATCGAAAAATGTACGCTGAAATGTGTGTTTTGAAATGCTTCTGCTTTTGCCTGCGTTAAAAATTATTGGCAAATTAAGCTATGGAAGGGCACTGATTAAGTTTGAGTCACAGTCTAGTGCAACTATTGCCTTTGAAAAGACATAGATAACCAACGTCTAGAAATTTACTGCGCTTTTCACCGTAAGTAAGCCGCTTTATATAGAAATTAAATACAGCAACAAGCTAATAGCCAATTAGCTGGGCCATTTCTTAAGTGCTTCTTCCAAGGAATTGGCTACGACGGTATATCCTTTGCCAAATTCATTTAAATCTCTGACTTTAGCCATGACAAGAGCACAAAACAATCTGATTGATAACTGCGATTCCCTTACACGAGATTTATAACGCACTTTTCCGCTATGATTGGAACAACGTTAATCTGATTGGAAATTTTATTGATCTGACTAAATACATAACGAGGTGGCTCCTTAGATTTGAAGACTTGTGGCCATAATGTTTTGGCTATACAGTGTATATTCCTCTGCATTTACAGTTGGTATCCAAGTTTACCGGCGAATTTACGAATGCAATTTGTAGAACTGCTATTAAATTTACAGTGTAAATGTACTTTTATTAATAGTGTACATTAAAATAAACTTTAAAATGTTTCACCGGCATTTCATAATGTCTCTTTTTGAAAGTAGGAACGTTTGCGAGTAACTTTCCTCCCGTATGGAAAATATAAAATGAATACAATGTTTTCAATCGGTTCTACATTGATAAAACTATATTTGGAAACATATATATCCATGAAAGAGGCTCAAAGACCAGGAAAATATGCTGAGTATGTACTTAGTTCAGTATAAATATTTTTGAGTAAAATTTAAATATAACTTTACAAGAAATAATATAGGCTATAATAAGATCAATAATAAGCACCGAATACTGCACAGACTTTTCTCACATGTTTGCTGGTCCATACTCCTAACTATATGACAGCCGTGTTTAATGATGCAGAATAGTTGCGCAAAGAATAATAATTTATGAATACGTTAATAAGCTATTTCATATAAAAGACTGTAAAAATATACATTATATTATTAAATAATAATTGTATTAAATAAATATTCACTCAAATAACTCAATATTTATATATAATAAATAATATTTCTTTTGTCAAATAGGACAATGTGATTTTCACGAGGATATGTGCGGCCTTGTGAACGTGGCAACTTGGAGCAGCTACAAATGGCAACGAAAGCATGCAGAGGACTTTTCTCTATCTCAGAACACTACCGTTCCATCGACGGACAGTCAAGGAAACTCTGAAGGATACTTTGCAGTTCTTACCGGAAAACAATTCGGTAAGTGTTTATGAACTTTAAAAGTTTTCTGGATAACATAAGCTATTAAAAAATTAAATCAAACATCTTAGACCTATCATAAAATGTTTACAATACGCGGAAAGATAAAAGACGCTCATGCAATCCATAACTAATAAAGAATTTAAAATATTGACTGATAAGGTAAACAAGAACGTTCGTGCGGCTTTTGAGAACAGTTACTTTTGCCCGTTAGTGTAGTCAAATTAATTCTGATGACGTCATATGTTTCCATTTCTTTTAAACCTTATTCAGTAGAATTGTTCAGTGTATCGCACTTATCGCTATCGGTTGTGCAGGAAGCACACTTTTCGAAAGAACAATGTCTTTGGAAAGGAGATTTTAAGGCTTAGTTGGCTTTACGAATACCAATTAGGAAAATAAAATTGCAGAGGCCGGTAGAAGAATATATCCCCTGTTTCGAGAGACGTCAGTGAGTGAACGGACTGCTCAAAAGCGGTTCAGACAAAAGCGGGAAAAAATTTTGGTTGCCACAAAAACTAAAACTTTGAAAAAAATTTTGACGTCGACACAAAATAAAAACGAAACTTTAAAAAAGTATGACGTCATTTCAACCTGTCTATGTCACTTTCCGTTATTACATAGTCCAACATGGCAACGTCCACGCCCCTTTTCTATAGCGTCACTTCCGCTGTGCGGTTAGGATTTCTTACTACTTGCCCGACTGTATGTGTTACTTACACATAGAGGAAGCCGGACTGTTAAATTTTACATTCATTTATCTGGGTGGCTTTCGATATCAATTTTGAAGCGTCTCCATAAAATATTAGTTTAAAAAGATCTACAAAATAATTTAGGTTAATATAAAACGCCAAATAATGATTATTGGAGAAGTCAAACAACGAGAATCAACGTTATATTTGTAAATTTTGCAAGACTAGCTTCAATGGTCAGAAGCAAATTCCTCAGCTTTCTCAGAATTATTATTTCTGAGGAATTAGCAGAATTTCTGAGGAATTGACTCAGAATTTCTGAGGAATTAGCTCAGAAGCAAATTCCTCAGCTTTTAAAATGTAAAAAGATGGTTCTATGATTAAGCCATCGAAAGTAGTCTTGCAAAAATTTACAAATATAACGCTGATTCTTCTTGTTTGATTTCTCCAATCAGCTACAGAATAACTTGTTATTAATAATGAAAAGACCACGTGAAGTTATCGCTTTTATGCATTGATTATTTTCATTTTCATTTCAAACTTAAACCAAAATTGAAGTTCATGTAGTTATAAATTAAAGCTAGTATATACCTAACTAGGTCCATTGAGTTTTGGTTTATTAAGTAGTGCATTGAAAATGTTCAATGTAAATGTTTTATTTGCTTTTAATTGCTTAAACGTTTAGTAAAATGTTTTGTTTTCGTTCTAGGTTATTATAGTTATGCATCCACTATGCGAACGCCTCCGCTTGGAGCTATGTCTCATGCATGCAAATTGGAATTCTATTATCATTTAAACATAAGAGGAGGTATGTAAATTTGTTCTTTGTATAAATTTCACTTGAAACTTTAAACTGTTATTCTCAAATTCTAAATCGGGAAGGATTGGAAAGTACCCATTTTGATCGTTTTCGAATACATATGAACGATATTTTTGAGTGAGTGAGAATTTATGGGCGCAAAACCAAAGATGGTTAAAAATGCGCCAAACACAGGATGGTATGACTACAAATGATGAAATTAAAATACAATAAATAAAAACAAGTGGACAAATGTACCAAATCCAGAGGATGCAGTCATATAAAAACAAGGTAAAAGCACACATTAAAATCCAAGACACAATCCTCAAACCAAATTAAATTAGGTAGTAAAAGCCAGTCTCTTTTAAATAATACTCTGGTGTGCAAAAATTAAGGACGAGACGGATTTTTCAATATAACTTTGTACAAAAGCTTTCCAAATCAACACATTTAATACCGTAAGATCCCTAATACGTAAGGACATGAGTAATGTAAGCAACACTTACTAAAAGAGAAAACAGAGGGATAAAAAGAAGCTTTATTGAAAAAGTAGCATGGAGCGCAATGCGACTGAAGGCCGAAAAACATCCTGTGATGGGTGTCCAGGAAGAAGAAACATCCGGTCTTTAATAGGGGATATGATCTCCCTGACTGGCTAGGCAGGTTTCACAGCGTCCACCAGGGTGCTGCCATGCTAGAATGAGGGTGTCAATGAGTTGTTGAGGCATTGCTGCCCATTCGTCTTGCAGCGCCAATCGAAGCTCCGGAATCGTTACTGGTGGTAAGGTACGAGCTGCCAAGCGTCTGCCTAGAAAATCCCATACATGCTCGATGGGATTGAGATCCGGAGATCGTGCCGGCCAATCCATACGTTCAATATCCTCACTCTCTAAGAGCTGTTCGGCAGCTACTGTGCGATGACATGGTGCATTGTCGTCCATGAAAAGGAACTGCGGACCCATAGCGCCTCTAAAAAGACACACATATGGAAGAAGAAGAAGAAGAATCTCGTTACAATAACGGGTCCCGTTGACTGAACCTGCGTCGAAGATGTGAAGGTCTGTGCGACTACCAAGCATGATGCCTCCCCAAACGAGAACACTGCCACCTCCATACCTGTCCCTTTCAATGATGTTCGAGGGATGATTGCGGCTTCCCCGCTCTCTCCAGATGAGTATGCGATGAGAATCGCTACTCAGACTGAATCTGCTCTCATCTGTAAAGCGTACTCGTCCCCATTCATTGTCTCTCCAATTCCGGTGTTCCCGGCACCACAGAGAACGCCTTCTCCGACGGGCAGGCGTTAGAGGTACACACCGTATAGGGCGTCGTGCAAACAGACCACCACCGGCCACGGTAAAACGCGATATCGGTCGTCCAGTCGCCTGTGTCGTGTGTCTAGCGATTTCTCCCGCTGTCTGCCGCCTGTTTCTTCTGGCCTGTAAGGCAATATACCGGTCATCTGCGGGTGTGGTTCCTCGTGTACGACCACTACTAAACCCCCGGATAACTGTTCCTGTAGTTTGAAATTGTCTCCAAAAGTCGTGAAACGATGCTGTGAGCAATTCCGAACTCTGCAGCCACACTTGTCACACTGCGGCCTTCCTCCAACTTCCCAATGATTCGACCTCGGGTAAAAGCATCCAGATGTCGTCTAACAGACTGATTATTCGCCATTTTTCGCTGAGGCAGCAACTCAGTGTGATTTTAAGTGCTATTCGGCGTGCAATCTCTTTGCCAGAAATACTGATCTTACACCGACAACATGCTTTATACTACTCAGACACTCCGTCATTACGTCTACCTGCATCTCTGCGCATGTGCTACCGTACATCACCTTACTTAATCTCCTGATTGGTCTTTCTGTCCGCTCTGCCTCTTCGTTCAGCTGATATGCCAATTTTTCGACTTCGTCCTTAATTTTTGCACACCAGTGTAAAATAAATTACAATTAGCCTCTCTTCCGATTAAACGGTCGAGAGGTAAGTCACAGCTATTAAAATGTTTCTGGTGGGTGGTGGTGTATTTAATTATGGCAAAGCATACTAGGGCTATCTGCCTAAGAGGAGGGATGCCTTTCGTGGAGGACTTTCTAAGGGAAACTGGCTCGTATACACGTTACACATGGGGAAAACCACGAAAACACCCATGCAGCCAGCCCGTTCGCGGGATTCGAACCTCGGACCGAACTACCAGTGTTCAGCGACTTTACCGCTCGGCCGCTGGTGGGCCTTTAAAATGTTTCTGACGAAGACTATTAAAATGTGGACACTCAATTAAAATATGACGGACAGATAAACAAACATTACAATTTAAACAAACAGGCTCATTCTCAGCTTTCAAAAGGTAGTTATGTGTCAGTCTAGTATGACCAATTCTGAGGCGAGTCAAAAGAACTTCCTCCTTACGATTTCCAGCAAAATCCCAATGCTCGATTCTGGGCTTTACATTTCTCAACTTGTTGTTAAGCTGAACGTCCCAAATTTGCTGCCAATTTTTTTTTTCGGATCTTCCCCTTGATGACACAGCAGATGTCTCTAAAAGGGATAAGGCGACTGGACAGTTCAACAGCAGATTTTGCCGCGATGTCTGCAAGCTCGTTTCCCTTTATTCACGTATGCCCGGGAACCCAGCAGTACAGGATTTCATATCCTTGAATCTTTAAGTTTATATGAATTTTGAGAACATCCACTACCACAGGATTTTGAGTGTCGGGAAAAGCTTCCAAAGATTTAAGAGCACTATACGAGTCTGTATAAACTATGAACTTTTTATGGCAGAGCTTTGAGATGTACAAAAGACCATAATAGAACGATATTTTTGCTTGACATCTTTATGTAGGGAAAGAATAAGGATCTTCTTTTCCCAAAACGGATAGAAAAATAGATTCAGAAGAGAACTTTTTCCTCATGTCTGTACGTACGTACGCATGTAGGTATCTCGCATAACACAAAAACGAGTAATATGAAAAGATTGAAATTTTGTATATGGGACTGATATAACATGTATTTGTGCACCTCTACTTTTTGGTTGCAGTCGGCCGCACCAAATATATGTATATATGATATGTACCCTTTCTGTTACTCGGCTCGGTGAGCTCAGTACTTTTTATTCTTCTATGTTGGTAAATTGTGCATTTTTTGCTTTAAACGCGGTTGAGTTATGTTGTTCTTATGTTCTGGCTAAGTTTTTATGCCTTTAGTTAATCTGCATGCAATAGTTGTAGAATTACCCACAATTTAAAATTTGTTTTGTGCGAGTAAGTCTAACGAAGCTGCCGTTTATTTTCATTTGGAACTTAGCAGAATAGTGAATTAATTCAGTTTTTGCATCTTCAGTGTCTTTTTGCCGCGTGGGACCAACAGTAAACTTTCAGTTTTGCGCATCGAAAAATATGCCTTCTTGCCTGCTGGTCGAATTGCTTGTTGCTGAGTAGAAAATCTAATTAATTGTAAAAATTGTTCTTTCAACTGTTTTAACTGTATCTGATGTTTTATATTCTTCTATATTTTTCAATTTTTAATGAAAATGTTTTGAGGTTTTTATGTATTTTTGCCTTGCCGCGAAGTGAGAACTGAGGAAATAAGTCTAAATAAAATGCATCATAAAATGTGTATCATTTAATAAGTCAGGTGATTTTCCACACCAGAATTTATTATTTTTGTTTTTCTGCTGTTATATTAGTTGAGTTATCAACTGAATGCATATCTACTTTTATTTTTTTGCAGGATATTTGGCTGTGCACGTAAGCCAGATTGGATATGGAAGGAAAATCAACAAGTTCACACAAAGGACGAATACTGGAAAAAACTGGCAGTTTGCTTCTGTTCCCCTTGGAAATTATCCTGCGGGAAAAACGGTATAATTTTCTGACTAAAATTTTTAATGATTATAGGAAACATGTGTTTATGAACTTATAATTTTATTTCTTGTGAAATATGATGATACCTTTTGAGAGAATTAGAGGTTTTAAATCCAGATAAGCTTTATTTCTCAAATTCTATTTAGACACTTTTTTTAACTCATATAACAAGTACAGTAGAACTCCAATTATCCCAATCAAATGGAACCGGATCCCATTCGGATAATAAAAAATTTGGATAATTGGATTTTTTCCGAATTTCTACGTATACTTTAATTAATTACTGTATGTTGAAAATGGGAGAAAAAAAAATAATTTTAAAGAAAACGTTGTTTTAATTAATTCAAATGAAAAGGTAACATTTTTACGTACATGTTATATACCATACTGTAGAGTACTTACAAAAGCTGAGTCATTACTTGCTCGGTCTAAGTAAACTGTTTGACTTTATTCTTCCGTTTACAGGCAGCCAAGTTGACATCCGTTTGACAATGAGAAGTTGCATGTGGCCACACTCTTAATTTTTTTTAGTCTTAATTTTTTTTCTTAAATTCTAAAAGCGATTCGGATAATCAGCGATTCGGATAGTCAGAGTTCGGATAATTGGAGTTGTACTGTAGTAATAGTGAAGAATTTAAGATTTGTATTCACATCAAAAGGTACGAAAGAGGTTTTAATTGTTATCAAATACTTGAAATTCACTTCGAAAACTTTTTTTTAATGCTTGTCATTAAAAAAGTTTAAAATACCGGATTGGCTCAGATAGAAGACAATATATTTGTTCCTCAAATACTTTTCTGAAATTCCTATTTATATCACGTAGGCAGCCTAACATTTAACAATTTATTTCTTCGCATTAAAAGAAAATGTGCTCACATAGTTTAGAATATAAATAAATTAATGTAATAAAATATAATAAAAATATTAATGTAAACAGTTGATGATGGTGTCTTTGAAGCAGCAGCCGAAAGAGCCATGTTTTTAAATGTATCTGGATGGTTGTGAATTCTTGAAATAATTCAAATAAAGTGAAAGATAAAAATTATTTAGTTTATAATTATTAATTAAAGCCCTTCAAAAGTGCAATAAAACAAGAATTTACGTATTTTTTCGATTTTAATTATTCATCAAGGTTATCTGAAATTACATCATCAAGGTTATCAACCTTATCTATTCCAACGTGACCCTAAAACAAAAATTACTGTAAAAATAATCATTATAAAAAGAATTCTCCGGTACGAAACGAGAAAAAGATTGGATAAATTAAAAGCAATTTGCTGATTAAAATTAACTTCGAACCAAAGACAAAGCGGAATTGCTAAATAATTTTTTAAATATAAAAGTAACAGAATTTTTTTTTAATGAAAAGGAAAAATAATTAAAGTCGAAATTTTTGAGCAAATCAATTCATAACAAAAAAAAAAATTTACAAAAAGTAAAAAAAGTAAGAAATTTTAATAATAATTAACGAAGGTGTTGCAAATCCTTCTCAAATCCGATACTGGTCTTATTTTAAAACAATTAAATTTCCGCTCAACAAATCGTCCAATTTCTTGCGATACATCTTCAAAAACGATTCGACCATATGGACTAAAGAAGTTCATATTTCAAGTTTTTGGAACTTACCCAGCCATTCTCATCCAATGTAATAGCAGCTACATACCTAAATGAAAATTGAATATGTAAAATACAAAAAGTGCGATGGCTTTTCTCTACGCGAACAGGCAACCTCTAATTAATACCTCTTTTCGCAATTTCAGGATCTTCCTAAACTAGTACTTTCGAGAACATTCTGGCATGTTATGTAATCGCTACTATAAATGCAGAGTTCGCGCCATTTTTCGTCAGACAGCTCCCTGCCATCGCAGCTGTTCCTTCTTCTACCCTTTGTTAGAATAATTATGACGCCGAATGCTTAGATTTAACCTTATTTTAATTTAAATCATTATTGGATATGTAATTTTGGAGAATCTAAAAGAATAGTGATCTGTCATTTGCATTGAATAAAGATGTGGAATCGAAACAGCTAATTTTTTTTTTTTTTTTTTTTTTTTTTTTTTTTTTTTGTGTCGTGATTCTTCTGTAAGCCACTCAGCCACAACAATGTCCGGATTTTGATGCCAAGCTTCATTCATAAGCCTGACTGGCAAAATATCACATATATAGAGAAATCATTCGAAAGACCTACAATTTACGTAAAGAAATGATGCAAACGTTGTTTAATGTGTTAAAAATTTAAAGTTCATTTGCACACTAAAAGTCCTCTTGGTACGTCACCTAACGCCAGATTCAGCCTGTAAGGATCTTAAGTTTTACTAACGTTTATTTTATTTTAAATCTTTACTATCACTTCTTATTTTCTACTTCCGGCCAGAATTATAAGCGTGAAGGAGTTTATGCAAAATTGTCTGGCGAACGCCAAGTATTTAAGTGTGGCCTTTTTGCCAAGCAGAAGAGAGGAAGCCGTGAGTTCGAAGCAGGCCGCTTACCTTAGAAGTTACGCAGTTGCTACTTTGCCTTCCAGGCCAGAGGTTTTAATCCTCTTGATAAATTAAACGTATTGTAGTGTTCACAGTCTCTGTGCTACATACGCTTTCTGTTATTATAAGGCCAATCTTATTCTAAAGTTAAATTAGAGTTTAGTTTTATTTTGATATCTTTTAAGTTAGACCCCGAGTGGAGGGTCATTGTATTCCGAAGTACGGAAGTCATTGTATATAAAGAAAAAATAAAGGGTTTTGTATACCCTTCGTCTGTATCCTGTCTACTTACTACAATTAGTGAACATAGCTTTAGTAAGCTCTCTGTTCTAGTCAGGTCATTGTATGTTTCCGAAGAAGGTTAGAAGAAACATTAAACCTGATAAGCCATATACATATTGTTGCGAATTTTATACTTAGATAGATATTTTTAGTACAATTATATATGAAATTGTTATACTTTTTTGTATAATGTAGCATGAGAAAGTTGAGAAAAATGGCGTTCTGCCAGAAAAATAAGTATACAGGGCCAAGTCTATTAAACAGTGAGTCTAATTAACATCTTTCTGGTTAATTTGGTGATATATCGCCAAGCTGGCGATGTTTTTGGTGACTAACTTTTTGGTGACTAACTTTTTGGTTTTTGGTGACTAACTTTTTGGTGTTTTTGGTGACTAATGTCGCCAAATTTGCAGAGAAATCGCCGAACGTATGCCAACTTGGCGACCATTTGGCGACATTTTGGTCCGGTCCCTGTATAATTGTAATGGCTATTGTAACTGAATAACTGTAATTGATTCCTATATTAGCTGTAACCGTATCTTGACCTCATATTCCTTCCAGTAATTTCTAGAAACAGAAAGTACTACAGATTTCACGGCGGCCGGGGAAAGGCTATATAAGGCCAGGGAGTAAATCAGTTTCCAAGTGTCTCTGTTGTTAGTTCAGAGTTGAATTCGGAGTATTGAGATCTCCATGAAAGTTTAGCCTTTAGGGTGAGCTTTCCACTGCATTGCGTTTGACGTCCTTAGTAGTTTGAAGTATTGACTGCTGACTGTACGTACATTGTGATACTGTGAAGAGCTGTATCAGTATTTTTTTGGAAAGTTCCAAAACTGCGAAGTGTTTTTGGTAAAATAAATTCTACTAAGCTATCATCCATTCTGTATGCATTAAATCAATTGCGCACTGAACATTATAGATATTAAGACACAATAACACGCCGAACAAATACTAATTCAGAAGTCAAACAATAAAAATCAGCGAATTTGAAAATATAACGCTGGTTTTTGTTGTTTGACTTCTGAATTATTATAGATATTGTTGGCCCATTTCCGCCATCAAAAGACTTCAGATAGCCGGAAGCTTTTCCAGTGACTAACCAAACTGCTTAAACTGTAGCTGAGACTTTTTATTCTGGATGGATTGCTAGATTCGTGTCCTGACATCATAACGACTGATCATGGTACAAACTTCGAAAGTGAATTGTTTAGAGCACTCACCAAATTCCTAGGAACTCGCACAACAAGAACTACCGTCTTTCATCCAATTTGTTAACAGCATGGTAGAACTCATGCATCGACAACTAAAAGCCTCCATTATATGTCATGCGACTGTTAAACAGAATGAAATGTTACCATCAGTTTTCCTTGGAATGAGGTCATGCATTAAAGAAGATATTGAGTCATAACCAGCTGAAATGGTTGATAAAACTTGCCTGAAACTTTAAAGAGCATTTCTCCGCAATTCATCCTCAAATATGGTTCCTGCGGTACACTAGGAGGAAGAGGCATCCAGACAGCTTGAATGGCTCTCTTTTTTGGGATCTATAAGTAACAAAATGAATGGTGTTCGGCTGCGCATCCACCGAGAAAGCATAGAACACAGTTCGACATCTGCCATTCCCCAGTGTTGAGACAAACCCCCAAGGACAACCTTCATTATCAAAATCACGTAACGTCCCCACAACCAAGGGCAGACAAGACAATACCATATGGTCTTTGCAGAGTCTGATCCTACCACCGAATAGACAATAGCTCTAGTCACTGTAAAAACTATTAATTTGCCCCAAAAGGTCGAGTCTGTCTAGATATTGACCTAACCAGAATGCCAGTATTGCTCCCAGTCGACCGCGGGGAGGATGTGGTACCTGCAAAAGACTTTGTTGACAATCTTCGGCAACACGTTTGTATGATTTCCTCATATAAGTCACTGAACGAAAACCTTTACGGCAATCATACCAGGGACATGCAAAGTATTATTTAGGACTGAGAAATTTTCACAGTGGATATAAATGGCCGTAAATATACAGTATCTCTAAATCTCTTAAAACCTGCTTACATACTAGCAGACCCTTCCGAAGAATAGCATGTAAATAACAACAAAGAGTCTAAAACTGAATTTAGGATAAAAATAACATTTCATTTTTTTTTTCCATTGAGTCTGGTAGACGTGTAAAATTTGTAGAGCCAAGCTTCTTAGACTGAAAGGGAATCACTGTGGCAACAATTAAACTTCATCAAAAGTTATCATAGTAACGATAAGCTTAGGACAACATTTTTTTATATTTTGCATTCGCGATTGCATCGTTATAATACGTTTCATTTCATTATTTCCAACTTGTAAATAAATGAATGTACTTCTAAATTCTAATCGAGTCATAAATTGGAGAACTTATCACTGATTCTAAAACTTAGTCTCTTAGATTTTCAGAGGTTATAATACCTCTTCCGAGAAAGTTTCTTTTCTATTACAATTTCTACATTTTATTTTCCAAATATTTGTATGTCTGCATTTGATATAGTTATTTTTTTATTATTTTGCAGATCGAATTCGAAGGTAACACTAACTTCCAATCTTACGTGGGATTAGTTCAAGATATCGCTGTTGACAACATTAATTACGTCAACTGTGACCCTACAAAGACATACACTGAAAGTAAGTAATGGATTCATCTCTGAATTTACAATTCAGTACGCAGTTCATTGCTTTTTACAATTCAGTACGCAGTTCATTGCTTTTTACAATTCAGTACGCAGTTCATTGCTTTTTACAATTCAGTACGCAGTTCATTGCTTTTTACAATTCAGTACGCAGTTCATTGCTTTTTAAAATTCAGTACGCAGTTCATTGCTTTTTACAATTCAGTACGCAGTTCATTGCTTTTTACAATTCAGTACGCAGTTCATTGCTTTTTACAATTCAGTACGCAGTTCATTGCTTTTTACAATTCAGTACGCAGTTCATTGCTTTTTACAATTCAGTACGCAGTTCATTGCTTTTCTTTCCTCAAGCTCTGGCTTCTCTTAAGAGATATTAGTAAAATTATATATATTAAATTCGATTTATGTTAATAATGCTCTTTTTATGGTGATTAAGACAGATCCTAATCCAAAGTTTCTAATGTAAATTAGGCGGGAATAGGCTTAATTGTTCAGAGCTTCTAGAAATGTATCGTGTTTAATCAGTATTCATCACATCATATTGCTGGAGGGACTTTGGCCGTAAGTAAACCACATAGATACGGAACTGATGGGTTTTCGTAATTCGTAGAGTTGGGCGATCTGCTCAGGAACTAATTCAAACAACCGATTCACTTTACTGAGCGAATTTACTCTGACTCCAGAAAACAGAGTTGTACTTCTTTTACAGTTCAAGTACAGCTCTTGTTGGAAACGTGCCAAGAATGGAGATTTGCTATTCGTTCATGAACTGATTCTCTTAAGCGAACAGGTGTTTCACGAAAATAAGTTCTTGTTGCAGTTCTTGTTGGAAGCGTGCCAGAAAGGTTTAATTTCCATTTTAGGGGAAAAAAGAATGTTTATTCTCGCATGCTAAAATGAGCTAAGTTTTTATCATTTCCCACCATTAAAAAAAACTGTAGAATTTTACTGTTACTTCTATGCAAAATGAGTGTTTTAGGGAATCAACTGAATGAAACCAATTCAGAGAGTTGACGTTCGATTGCGTTAATGCTTTCCCATACCGCGATTCGTTCGATCCTTTTCGCTGTAGTCTCGCTAACCGGCCCAATCTCTCTGTTTTTTTATTCTTTCCACCTTTCGCTCTGTCCTCGTTAACCGCTCTTGATTCATCCCTCGTTAAAGATCTTTTTCATCAATGTATTGTTAATGAGTTGGGAGGCGTAAAAAAGAACTGATTCACTTCAGTTGAGCGGTTCTGATCCCATGAAAGAGCGGTTTTTGCTAATCTCTAGTAATTGGGTTAGTTGTCGCACGATCAATGGTTTTGATCTCATTGATATTTTCTTCTCTGTGTCTCTTTGAACGTCAGGAGCTTGTTAAGATATTCTTTGTTTTTTATATTAATCATATTATATAATTGTTATGAGCAACGTAGAAATAAAGAATGAATGCATATTTATATCATGTATAGAGCATTTCTGACACCGTTGATTAAAAAAATACTGCTTTCTTTGATATTATTTATTTTAAATATAATTGTCGAGTGTTTTATAATATTGAGTAATTTCTTAATTTTTTGTTTAAAGAGCACATTTCGTTTTACTGATTTCAAAATAGCTACCTTTCCTTTCTCATAGATGCATTTTGTTTCAAAGCTATTTAAGATAGGAGGATTATAATATATGGAAATAGTTATTATTATTCCGATGTTAATTTTTTTAAAATTTTTATTTGCAGCTCTGAATTGCACATTCGATAGGGACGAGTGTGGCTGGCATCCAGATAACAACTTCACGAGCACCACTTGGTCACGAGCAAAAACATCGATTCAAAATTATGGTCCAAAAGCTGATCATACCGGGAAGGGAGGTAAATGTCATTTGCTGCTTTCTATGCAAACTTCCGTTTCCAGTTTTTTTTTTAATTCTGAAATAATTTCAAGTGCAGAAGCAACACTGCTACTAAACAAAATATCACTTATACAAGTTGTCCACTGAAGATCGATATACGCTTAATATCAACATATCTTTTAAATCAACATTTTAAATACAACACACTATTGTTACGACTTCCTAGTTCAAAAATGCTTTTAATCATATGCTCGCGATGAGAGGGCTGTGACCAAACCAAAATGTTTAAGTTCTATGTGCACCTGAAATGAAAATGTATAAAACCGTTTGCATTTCAATACGAATAAAATTAGTTTATTCTTTCTAAGCAACAATCAATTCGTAAATAATTTTTTGTTGCCAAACCAGGAAACAAAATCTTTTGACACATGATGTTAAAACGCATATATATGACTTCATGATTTAAATGTAATGTAATATAACAAAATTTTCTCAATATCAATAAAATAATTAACGTGGGAAAAACATACGATGTCAATTATCCTAACCTGGAACAAAAACGTTCCCAGTAGCATCAGTTTATTTAAAGTGCTGACATTAACGAAACTTTTCGACATACAATCGTGTGCTTTCTTCAACGCCAGAATATGACGTTATGTAATAATAAAAGATTTGATGTCTGGCAATGCTATTTTTATTTCTTATTTTGGGAAATCTTAGAATTTTTTATTAACGAACTCTACGATTTGAAAGCGAGGAGTGGTAACACTTTTCCAAATAAAGCATTTTTATCAAGGAGGTTAGAATAGACCTTCTTGACCTCCTTGATTTTTATATCCAGCAATTCCCGAGACTGTTGCCACTTGGAAAAATGAGAGTGAAAATTAGCGTTTTCAGAGTTTTTAATTAATATCTCGGCTGATTAAAGAGTCGTCGTACGAAGATGATAATGGTCGAAATGGCTTCCCACGAATTTTTGGAATCGGGACTAATATATTTAATGTTGGAAATGCTATTGATTATTTCATATTTTGTAAAACAACTTTACTCTACTTGAAAGCGAGTAGTGGCAACACTTTTCGAAATAAAGCAGATTTTTATCTCCAGCGCTCTAGACTGTTGCCACTTGGAAAAATAAGGGCTAAAAGTAAGCTTTTCTTAGTTTTTAATTAATATCTCGGCTGATTAAATTCGTACGAAGATGATAATGGTCAAAATGGCTTCCCACGAATTTTTGGAATCGGGACTAATATATTTAATGTTAGGCAATGCTATTGATTATTTTATATTTTGTAAAACTTAGAAATTTTTTTATTATCAAACTCTACTATTTGAAAGCGAGCAGTGGCAACACTTTTCGAAATAAAGCAGATTTTTATCTCCAGCGCTCTAGACTGTTGCCACTTGGAAAAATAAGGGCTAAAAGTAAGCTTTTCTTAGTTTTTAATTAATATCTCGGCTGATTAAATTCGTACGAAGATGATAATGGTCGAAATGGCTTCCCACAAATTTTTGGAATCCGGGGTACCTATCTATGATATTTTGGTTATTTGTGCTTATAATGCCACTATTTGCTTATTTGTGGCATTATAAGGAGGTGATAATGGCACAAATAAGCAAATGAACAAACGGACAGACGAGTCAGTTTAAGAGTATAGATTATAGGGCATTTTTTAAAAAAGTATTGAATTTAGAAATTGCTATTAAAATTCAACATCATATTTAGAAGGTCACATGCCACATAATTTAGATAGTACACTTATTCCCAACTGCGGAATAATTCCTGGCAGTATGATATACTGTCCACCAGTTACAGTCATAGCAAAGAAATTATTGCTTCTATATAAATATCGTAACTTCATTATGCCTATGTTTCAGAAAGTGATTTTCCATGTACTCAGTTCTTTTCTCAATGGCAAGCAGTGAAACATTCGTGTGGACTGGTTCGAGATTATATTTATATTGATTATATTTAAAAATATACCAACAGAAACTATGAGAAACAAGTATGCACGAATACATATATATGAACAATTGATAAAGCAACTATCTGTAGTTACACGCCTTGTTAATAAAACATCGCCAATGAACATGTCAAAGGAGATGTAGGCTATTACCCATTCTTCTGCCCTCCTACAAGTGACCTACACATCCAAAAACCCACCGATCTAGACCTTAACTTTGTACATTGAAGTGAAAATTGATTAAATTCCAAGTGTTTTACAAGTGATGCCGCTGAGTTCCTTTTGTCGGATGTTTTGCAAAATTTATTTTTCTGTTTGCAGGATATTTCATGTACATAAGAGCAGACACATACCTGAAAAAAGGCGACAAAGCTCACTTGGTGAGTTTGAAGCAAGATCCCACCGAAAAACGCTGCTTCAATTTCTGGTATCATATGTACGGGCAAGATGTTGGCACTTTGAATATCATCATCAGAACTGACACAGGAAACAGCACCATATGGAGAAAGAGCGACTCTCAGGGCAATGCCTGGAAACCTGGAATGAGAACTATCCGCAGCGGAAATCCCTATTCTGTAAGTCGCCCTTCCTGCCTAATATTCTACAGTATTATTCATAATAGGGTGCTCTGAATGTTATAGTACTAACTTTTGATTTTTGGCCGTTATTATTTATGGTATCGTGTTACAAATAATCATAATTATTATTGACTATTGATGGTCATGTTGCAGTTGACCACATAGATTCCTTTTTATCCATTATTTTCTCGCCCCCCCCGGAAAAATATGCTTTGCCAAAACTACATGTTTTAAATAGCAGTTTCGATTTTGCTCAAAGGGCATCTTTTTTTTTTATTAAATTTTGACTTAAAACTGCATTCCAACTTCAGTTTAAAATTTAAACTGTTTTTCAAATGTAAACAGTTAGCCTTACCATACTTTCAGTCTGAAGCTTCAATGATGCTTGCGAAAGTAAAATATTAAAGCTTTCTTTTTAACCCGTATTACATTGTAGAGGCATTATGCTACCTCGAGGCCGGAAAAATGAAAAATGACCCCTCAATTACGCGCTGAGCGTGCAGACCTCCACACCTCGAAGGCGGGAAAAATACCTTATATACTCCTCCTTTTAAAGGGCGACAAAGTGAGAGAAATATATTGTAACATATCACTATTGAAATGGATTAGATTATTTTAAAACATTAGAGGACATTACGATACTTATACCTTCGTGGAGGACTTTTCCAGGGGCGTTTAAGCTACAAATGTGGAAAAACAAGAAACCGTTCATGCAGCCTGTCCTTATCCATTGCAAATTATCAATATTCCAGAGTGTTAAGTTTCGGCTACTTGTGGGCCTTCGCTGTATTAACCCTTTGAAGGCCAAAACGCCCGAGACAGCCTTTCATTCAAACAACCACAACCGCCCGGAACGGCCGAGATTGCGATGTTGCTTTTTGCCTTCCCTCTAAGGTATGTAGTTTCCCCAAATGCATTCTATCTGTTTATTGCAGGCAGCTTGTCCTAAAAGACTAATGGAAGCTTCTTTGTTAGGAAGTAGAAATGATGTCATTTGAAATCTTCTCATCTGTTTGTGCGTTAATGGACGGGAAGGGGAGGAAACGGGCGGGACAGGTAGCAGACGGGGACGGGCGTTTCGGTATTTTAAGCATACAGGTTATCGAAGGTTCAGTTTTTTAAGGGTTAAGAAGTTAAGTTTACCATACTATTGTATTGAGATATGGCATGATATAAACTCACATAACGGAAAAATGGGTAAACTTTTCTTTCTAATGAAACTGTTAAATATCGCAAAAAAGTCTGAAATTGTATATTTTTTTCCAAATTGTGTTCATTTGTGTTTGTTGTGTGTGTTCATCCTATGTACAAATTCTAATTTTACATTACTTTTGCCAGTGTTATTAAATTTCGCTATTGACGGTCATTGGGCTGTTATTAATAAGAATGTAACTTACTCTTTTTCTAGATCGTGATTGAAGGTGTAGTTGGCAGTTTTGCAAGACCTGTTATAGCCATCGACGACATAGAAATATATGAAGATGAATGCCCACATCCAGGTATCAATGCTATTTAGTTAAAATTTCACATATGCACTATTTAATTGCGGAAAATCTGCTAGAAACGGAAACATAAAAAGCGTTACCAGACTGGTACATGCTGACGAATGTTAGCTTCAGCTTTTGATTTAAGTCATAATATGTCATTTCACCTATAATTTCGTTTAGACACTTTAAATCGTACAATGTCGAATACTCTACTGATACCAAAAAAAAAAAAAAAAAAAAAAAAAAAAAAAAAAAGAAAGAAACAGTTCTGTATCTCCCGTCTGTTGGGCCCGTTAACGAAATTTAAATAGCTTTTTTCAGGTCTCTGAAGCTCGACATAGGATATGTATTAGATTTATATATAGCGTTGCTCTAGCGTATGTATTTTGACACAAAACTGGACATTCTTTAAAATGACATACCGATTTTTTTCCACATTTCAATTCTCCGAATCAAATTATGCAAAAATTCCATTTTCATAAAAATTGCACAGATAGTTTTTAAAAAATTCTCTCAAAGTTTTAGCTTCTCTATGTTAATTGAATTTGGGTTATATTTATTAATATATCTTTTTTGCTTAAACTTACACTTGGTTCCATCTTTCACTGTTCGATATTTAGGTTCAATCCAAATATTTTCTGATTTATTTTTGAAATTTGTATTTTTTAGTAATTTATATAGAACTTTGCAAAAATTTTTGACTTATAACCTATAAAATATTTACCATCACCTTTAAGCAGATGTATTTCTAAGCATATCTGCAAAAATTTAGAGTTTTTTTAATTCAAAATTTCCAAAGATATACGTGAATTGATATACTGGCGCGTTTTGAAGTTTGGCATAGTTCGTATAAGCAACAATAACGCCAAATGCGGTGTACGCACTTTCGTGAACTTATTTGAAAGAATAAAGGGCTACAGTTTTTTTCCGCTCATGCACAATGAAAGGGAAAGAAAAATAGGTTACCATAAATTAAGAATTTTGCCACGTCAATTATTCTTGGCGAAAACTGAAAAAAGTGCGTCAAGATAAAATTTTTAAATTTCTCGCTAAATTTCTTACCAAGTTTTACAAAATTCAATATATAAGCATAATTTGAGTTGTAGAATCGAAATGTGAAAAAAAGTCGGTATGGAAAAAAAATCCGATTTTGTGTCAAAATAACCAAATTAGAACAATGCTATATATAAATCTAATATATGTATCCTAAGTCATGCTTTCGTGACATGCAAAACGCATATTAAATTGAGTCAATCGGCCCAGTAAAACGGAAAATATAAAATTGTCCTTTTTATTTTATTTTATTTATTTACTTTGTGCACAGTATACTTCTTTATAAGAAGAAAATGCATGTTTCTTAATAAGTACTTCGAAGTTTCCCAATGTGAAATTCAACACATTATCTTGGAATGATCCAGGGCTAAAGAAAAAGCTTTGGAAATGATTTACCTAGCAAAGAACTGTAAAAAATGTTCATATAACCAATTTTTTCTTTTCTTTTCTTCTTTTTTTTTTTTTTTTTTGACACCATTTTCGAGCTGATTACTGACATTAAGTTATATCATTCTAAATTTATTTATCTGTTATTCGTTCTAACTTGTTGTACTTTGCACTAAATCTTAAATCGATGAATGAATTGCCAAGTGTACTTGGGTAGTTACTTGACACCATATGAAGATTGTAATGATGTTTTAAAAAAATCAAATGCCTTTTCATTTCGTATAAAATATAGCAAACACCACCCGAACACACTGACTGTTCTACGCATGACTTTCTAGCAGAACACTTTGCCACTTGGGGAAAAGAAATACACTGACTGTCTACCAGACGAACTTCCTGGTCACACGCGGTCGTGCATGCCCACGGAGCTTTGAAGACACCAAAGTTTCGCTGTTTTTGAAGCGTTGCTATGCGTGAACCCTTTGTTCAATTTTTAAAATTTTTTTCATGTTTGCTAACTTCTATCTATGATGTATTTAAATTGATTGTAACATTTGTAGTTTCGAAGATATATGCATTCTCTCACACCTCAAGAATAATTTAATTCTTAATTCTCAAAAATCGTCTTAATTTTCGCTTTTCCGTCTTACCATTATAGAGGAAAGTAATTATACATTAAAAATAAAGGAGAAAAGAATCCGAATAAAAAATAATGCAACGATGGTATCAGAATAAATGAATACTTATAATAATATTAAATATTATTAATTGATAATTTAAAATTATTTTTAATAACTAAATACCAAAAAGAATAGGACTTCCAAACATTTTATTACCCATGAAAAATTCAGTGTTGGTTCGCGACGCGTAATGTAGAAACTCTGCCCCAAACACGAGTTCTTTCAACGTAATTTGTATAAATAGTTTTGTTTCCTGTGTTGTGATGAAAATAAGATAATGGTTTTGTGCTCTTTTCTAGTTGCTTGCGATTTTGAAGCCGATTTCTGTGAATGGAATTCAGAAAACTGGATTCTGCAAATTGGTGAAGGCAACATTCCTTCAAAAGACCACACCACGGGCACAAAAACAGGTACGCTTATAATTTTCACTCAGTTCCTTCAACGCACTTATTTAGGTCAATAGGCTGTTTCTTCTTGTATTTCTATTATGCGCAGCGCAACTCCAAATAGCCAAACTAACTAGGACTGTAGCTCATCCAGTTGTTCGAAGAATATGAAAAAATGTTTTTCAATTTTAAATTAAAAATGTTCTGAATTTGTTTTTCCTATATACAAATGCTGTTCGCACATTTTTTAGACGATTTTACTTTGCTATAAAAAATCGTCTGCCGGGAAATTTGTTTAACTACAGGTATATTTTTAACGTATAAATTATCGTCTGTTACTTGTTTTGTTTGCGAGCAAAATGGCGCTTTTAAAGAAGCAATGGATGGAAGAATATGTTTGTGCTCTTTCTGAAGAAAATTATTCGTACCTAGTTATTAAAAAACGCTGTGAAGGTGATAGTTTTTCGATATCTAAAGCTACAATAGGTAATATTACCAATAAGAAAGGAAAAAAGTAATTATAAAAAAAAAAATTAAATTCCTACTTAGGTCAAAAAATATTTTTAAAATACAAAAAAAAAAAATAAATAAATAAATAAAAATAAATATAATAATAATAATAATAATCGAGAGAATTATTCAAAATTTCCAAAGATATACGCCAATTAATATATTGGCACGTTTTGAAATTAACAACGTTTTGAAATTTGGTATATTTGTTATAACCGATAATAATGCCAGATGTGGTTTACGCACTTAATTAAAATTATTTGAAAGAAACACACTAGTACACACTAGGGAAATAAGAAAGGGAAGTACAAATCTTAAAGATAAATCATAAATGAGTAAAAAAAAAATCTGAAAGGTTTCAGATTTTAAATTACGTCCAAAGAGGTGTTTCTTTAACATTTTGTCTGTTAATTTTATTTATTAAATATCACGTTCTTCGCACTTAAACCATAAAATTCAGTTCAAGAGCAATATCACAAAATAGTTTTAAATTGAGCATATCTTTAGAATTTCGGATACACAGACTCACTAGCTGGAGATAAAAATGTTTTTTCTGTACAACGTTGCCATTGAATTCGGGCTTCCAGGGGCCCATGTTCGGGTGAAGGCCCAAGCTATTCAAAATTTGATGATTCTAGGTACCGTTGTTTTTTACAGTGCGAGAAACATGCTTACATTCATGTAGATTCTTCATCATTCAATTCCTTTAATATAATACAGGACGATAATATTTGGTGGAAACTGTTTGAAAAGTGATGCAATGCTTTTAAGATTTTCAACGCAACATGCCGTTTCTATATAAGGTATTTCTCTCACTTTCCTAGCGTGCTTTCGTGGTGTAACGGTAGCACGCTGGGCCGGTATTCCAGAGGTCCGTGGTTCGATTCCCGGCGAAGGCGGCTGAATATTTTTCATCTTTTCTGCTTCCAATTAACCTAATGACTCTACATCTAGACTAATATCCCATTCGGAACTAACGTCTTTTTTTTGACTAATAATATAATATACATATACTTTCTGTATTAAACTGATGTGTTTTTAATCTGTAAGAAATATGCGAATTTTAACGACAAAATTTTAAAAAGCAAAACTTGTGTTTTGTTTATCTCAGTTAAAGTATGTTTTGTTTATCTTAATACATGATCATCTGTACCATCTTTTCTTACTATTTCAATCAAATAAATTAAAAGCCGTGCGAATACTTTAACTAGCTTAATATTACTTAGCGTAGACAAAATAAATCATCCGGGCAAATGTAGTTTTATATATCTGTATAGCAGAATAATGAAGTTATACCTTAACTGCTTTATATATTATCTATATATCGTCCTTTTTTATTCAGGAATGTATGCAACGTTAAACGAAAGCACTGGTTCACTGACAAGTCCGGATTATAATCACACAAAGAACGACTTCTGCCTCAATTTCTGGTACTTCATCGAGGGAGATCGGTATACAAAACTGCAAATCATGAAATCTCAAATTACTTCGCACGATTATACAAAGGTAGTGTGGGCAGATATAGGTGAACCAGATGTCAAGGGCCAATGGGAACATTCTAAGGCGAGCATAACAGAGCTCAAAGACGGAGATTTTAATGTAAGATTAAATGTTTAATTTTTATTTAAAAATGATATTTTCGTATATATATCTATATATATATGATATTCGAAAGCTTTCCTTTTATGTTTGTTACTTTAGCGTATGCTGGAATGCATACTGAAAACTTCTTCTTTTGAAATAAAAATTTTCGAAACAAATGTGAACCAAGCTATTAATAAGCTAAACAGTAATTTTAAGTGTTTATGTAACAGTGTAAACATAATGATTTTTTTCCCCTTCTTCTGGAATTATTGTTTCGGATATGTAAAAGTGTGTTAAAATATGTTTCTAAAATTAGAGTTTTAATTTGTTTCTTTTTTATCAGTTAATTGTTTCTTTAGAATAAATAAAAAATCCAATGAAATTTCATAAAATCGATTAATTTTAATAAATAATCCTGACGTGGACGTCGCATGACTTCCTTGTACGGCGTATTAAATTATACTCATTTTTGCTGCACTTCATTTAAATTTATTTCCTCGAATTTTACTAACGTGATTGACTGATCCCTCAAGTTGAAAATGACATCAAGAAATGCGAAATTTGGAATTACATATTTCGGTCAATTTTCATCGTACGCGAGTCGAACTTCCTATAATTTTACTTTTTCATAACGAGTATAAAATTTTCCCAAATATAAGTATAGGAACCTGAAGACCGCATTAACAGTTAGATTTCGCTATTTGTCGATTTTTTTTTTTTTTTTTTTTTTTTTTTTTTACATTTGAAATTGCCAAAACATTAATATGTTCGTCTTTTAAAACACTTCTTTAATTGGGAGTACATGTGTATGATCGATTGCGAAAACAGAGACCGGATAAGGACTTTTATGTCTAGTAAAGTGGGCGGGTTTATGTATATATGTGGTATTGCCAAATTACAATGAAAAAGGGAGGTGCACAACAAGATGTTATAGCTTTCCATATACAACATTTCATTATTCTACGGCAAATTCTCGCAATAAAAAACGCAGGTGCGCAGCTAGATGGTAGTTCCATATGCAAAATTTCAATGCTTTACGTCTGATCGTTTTTGAGTTATGAGAGATACATTCATACATACGTATGTACGTGCAGGCATTACGCAAAATTCCCTTTTGAATGTATTTTAAACCCATTTTAAAATCCGTTTCGAAAAAAAAAAAGAGTTCTTTGTTTAGTTCTTACGCACAGATTTCACGCCAAAAAATCGTTCAAATGGATACGGGAACGGTCAAAATAGATATTTTCCTTGAAGTATGATAGTCGAAATTTTTTGCAATTGTAATACTTCCTTTACTTCGTACAAGGAAATAAAAATGTTTCTATATTTAGTTTTACATGAGATTTTTGTAAGGATTGCTTTTTCGTAACTTTTTATGAATGTATAAATTATAATTTAATCCATCATTTTCACCAAACTATATTTTGCTGATTGTATATTGTTTATAAAATTTTTTTAAAAAATTTGTGTTATTAATTTTATTCTTACCTAATGGCTAGTTTATAATTATTGCAAAGAGTTAGAATTATTGTTCCATGAAATTTCATTATAAAAATGACGTATGCTATAAAATCGCACATAAAGCTTGACAATTTATGTCATCAAATAGACACACGTGCCTGTAAAATGTTATTAAACAGTGCATGCAAGTTTATTTGAATAATTAGTGGTAATCTGTGATATGCTAAGTTATTATTTCATCAAATGACAACAATTCAAAAATTCTGCTTAAAATTTAATGTTTCGTTCTGCAATTTAAGAGAAAAATGCCTTAAGTTGAACATAAATTTATAAAAAGTAAAAATTAAATTTATTTACTTTATAAGTACTCTATTGTTTATGAGTTGTACATTAAAACATTCACCATGGGCATTTTATTTTGATGTAACCATTCAGTTTACTTACCATCAATAAAAATAATGCCTAAAGTGAGCATTTTCGCAGACATTTTATTTTGATATAACCAATAAGTTTACTTGTGATCACTAATAAAAACTACTTATTGTTTAGATCGTCTACTTATGATAGCAACTACTTATTGTTTAGATCGTCTACTTGTGATCACTAGTAACAACTACTTATTGTTTAGATCGTCTGCTTGTGATCACTAGTAACAACTACTTATTGTTTAGATCGTCTACTTACGATCACCAATAACAACTAGTTATTGTTTAGATTCTGTACTTACGATCACTAATGACAACTACTTATTGTTTAGATCGTGTACTTGTGATCACTAATGACAACTACTTATTGTTTAGATCGTCTGCTTGTGATCACTAGTAACTACTACTTATTGTTTAGTTCGTCTACCTGTGATCACTAGTGACAACTACTTATTGTTTAGATCGTGTACTTTTAATCACTAGTAACAACTACTTATTGTTTAGATCGTCTACTTGTGATCACTAATAACAACTACTTATTGTTTTAGATCGTCATTTTTGGGTCTAAGACGAACGAAAGCACAGTTGTTGCTGTAGACGATGTTGCAATTGAAGACGGAGTTTGCCCACCATATGGTAGTTGCAATTTTGAGAGAGATTTTTGCACGTGGAGGAATTTAGGATATCCTTACAGCTCAGGTCTGCGATGGATTCGAAACTCAGGGGCGACGACTACTTATGGCAGCGGCCCTTCAATTGACGTAACAACAGGCACTGCAGAAGGTGAGTTACTATTTTTCAGCTTATAATTTAAAATGGCAAATGACAGTTAAAATGTAAATCGTTAAATAGTAAGCTAGAATGATAGATAACGTATATGTTATTTCTAGTTATACTTAGATGATACTGTGAGTTGAAAAATGCAGAAACGTCTTGATAGTGGTAACTTTCGCGAAGGATATTTCCTAGTTGAGGAATGTACTGTATTTTCTCGCATATTTTTCCGCTTCGCCGTAGCTTAATAGCTACCAGTGGTTTATTCATAAATGCATTTTTATTCACCTTTCTTTCATTTGCTAAGTACCGTATAAAAATATGAAATGGATTATATAAAAAATATAAAAATATCAATATATAATATGGATTTCATTATTACTCTTTTGCACGGTTTTTTGGGAAAATATTTAAGAGTTTCTTCATCTTACAGGATTTTTTTTAAAGCTGTGGAACATATTCCCAAATTTATCATATGTCGTGTGTATTTTTTACACGATTTTTTTCATGGCTTACTAAGGAACCGTGTAAAAAAAGAGTTCGGTGTATTTCGCTTTAAAGTTCAATTTCGCATGATTTGTTTTTCACATTTATTACACTAACTTTATCTGTAATTTATATTTTTCCTTATGTAAGCCTGTTCTGTAAGGAAACGAAATAGTTTCAGGGAGATCTACTTTTTCAATAGCTCATTCCTAAAAACATTTCTAATTTCGAAAGTTGTATTGCAATTTCAGTGTAGTGCTTGTTTTGAACCGTTAGCGTAAAGCACAAGTAATGCTAACGAGAGGGAAACAGAAATTAGTCGTTTTAAAACATATTTTATTCAATGCTTTTTCTGCGATGTACATGAAATGTTTGCCAATATTGACAACATTTTTCCTTTCCTTTTCCAGGTTGGTATATTTATGTGGGCGGAGAATTTGGTCGCGTCGGGCAAACGGCTGTTCTGGAAAGTGAAAATCTTCATTATGCTCCAAATGCCTGCTTCAAGTTTTGGTATCATATGTACGGATTAGGTAAGCTCATTTAATGTTTTTGTTATCGTCTGCTTGTTAAGTATTCATTTATTTTAATATAAGCACGTTAACTTTACATAAATGCAAGCGATATGTTATATAATTGCAACTTGGAAGGGGAAGCAATATTTAATTTTTTAAGCAATTTTAATTTTAATTATTATTGTTCTAAAAAGAATATTCTTTAAAAAGTTACGTGTTAAAATGCGGAATTCTGCCGATTTGCCTGGTAGAACTGTATGCTATAAATAAAAACGTCTTTATTTGAGAATCTTCGATGTGTAATATTTCTTTATTAAAACGTTTGGAGGCTGAAATTTCAATAGCAAAAAAATTGGAGAATTTTGGGATTGCATCTTAGAGGATTTTATACAAGATTTAAATAGATCAGAGTTTTCATTCATTTCAGGTTTATGTATTATGTCATTGATTTCAGATTATGTTTTTATGTGATTTAATTCAGAATGTTATTCAGATCATGTTTCAGACTATACTGAAACTATTGTTCAAATGTTTTATCTGTCAATGGAGATTAAAAATAATATTCTTTTAAGTGTAATAAATGTTGAATGTTGTTATGAAGACTGCTTTTAAACGTCAGCCTTCGTGACAAATAAATTTCACACCAAAGTAACTCAACCAATGCCGATTCATTAAGTTAGCTCGATAACTCCCATTGGAAAATATCCACAGATATTATTTCTTTTATATTGTAACCCAAGATACATATTTATGCATACAGAAGATCATCATTTTTTTAAACAAAGCTCGTTGAGGCCATTTCGAATAACACATTTTTACTTCCTTGTACGACGTAAAGGAATTGTGTAATCATGAAAAATTCCGACTATCATATTTCAACGAAAATATCTGTTTTGTCTTCTATCGAATGCAATTTAACAATGTTTTTGCTTGACATCTGTACGTAAGGACGGAATAAAGGGTTCTTTTCCCCCAAATTATTATTATTAAACTGATTTAAAATAAGTGATAACTGATTTAAAATGGATTCAGAAGAGATTTTTTCACGGCGTCTGTCCGTACGTATGTATGTATGTATGTATGCATCTCGCATAATTCAAAAACGAGTAGTCTCAGAACGTTCAAATTTTGTAAATAGGACTGCTATAAACCATAGTTGAGCACCTCCTATTTTTGGTTGCAATCGGCCCCACCAAAAGTACATAAATATACATATGTATATTTATGTACTTTTGTACATAAATACACATATGTATATTTATGTACTTTTGTACATAAATACATTTTTTGCCGATATACATCGGCGAAACGCGATATGGAGTTAGCTGGATTCGAAAATCATTAAAAATGATTTCCCCTGAAGAGCCTTAATGAGGTTCGAATTGGGCTAATCTACTATTTACCGCTTCTTTGTTTTTGTATTTTTGCTTAAGTCATTTGTCGCACTTTAATCCTAATGTTTAAAATATGCCTTACTTTGATCAACATATTGCTTACAATTAGTATTGAATTTTATTTGTAAATATTCAAGTGTTTATATTGTTTATTTAATCTTTACTACATATTTCATTGCACTTTATTTTACTTATGTTAATATTTTCACGGGACCACAGTATCTAAGCAACTTTTTAGCGTACGAACTAGGAATTTTCTTTTAACTTTTTTCTAAATTTTGCAGCTTAATGCTCAAAGTTTTTGACCACATAGGTCTTTTATCGTTTATTCTCTTTTCTTTAATTATATATATATACTCACTCTGTTACTTGGCTCCGTGAACTCAGTTTTTATTCTTATGTGTTGATAAATTGTGCATTTTTTGCTTGAAAAAGGATTAGATTATGTTGTTCTTATCTTCCGGTTAAGGTTTTTATTGCCTTTAGTTCATTTGTATCCCGTAGTTGTAGAATTGACAACAATTTAAAACTTGTTTAAGTACGGTTAAGCCTAATTTTTTTTACTATAGCAACCATATTTGTTTACATTTGAAACTTAGCAGACTAGTGAATAAAGTCTTTATGCACCTTCAGTGTATTTTTTCCCGAGTGGGGCCAAAACGAAACTTTTAGTTTTGTGCATCGAACAATTTGCCTTCTTGTCTGCTTGGCCGAATTGCTTGTGTTTGCGTAGAAACTGTAATTTTAACTGTAAAAATTGTTATTTTAATTGTTTTAACTGTATTTAGTGTTTTATGATTTTCTATATCTTTCAATTTTTAATAACGATATTTTGAGTTTTTATGTATTTTTGATTTGCCGCGCGGTGAGAACTAATTTAATTGAATGAGAAATCTATCTCTAATGAAATTCGAGGAAATAAGTTTAAATGAAACGCATCAAAAAATGCGTGTAATTTAATATTCCGTACAAGGAAATCATGTGGTGCATCAGATTTTTTTTTTTTTTTTTATTTGTAAGAAAGTCATGTAGAGACTTGTTCTAAATGTGCCAAAACTTAAAACTGAAATTTTTATTTTTGTTCCCACTCGGCAAAAAGACATTGAAGTTGCTGCAGAAACTGACATAATTAACTATTCTAACAAATTTCAAATGGCGGCTTCATTAGGCTTAGCAGACTTAAACTTTTATATTGTTGATAATTTTATAACTATCACATACAGCTTAACTGAAGAATCAAAAACTTCAATCAGAACATAAAAACAACATAATTCATTCACTTTTAAAGCATAAAATGCACAGTTTACCAACATATAAGAATAAAAACAGACATCTCATCGATCTGGGTAAAAGGATGGGTGTGTATGTATATATATGTTTGATGCTGCCGAATGCAACAGAGAAAGGAGGTGCACAACTACATGTTATAGCAGTCCCATATACAAAATTTCAACGTTTTAAGGTTGCTCGTTTTTCAGTTATACGAGATACATCCGTACGTACAGACGTCGCGAAAACAATCTCTTTAGAATGCATTTTAAATCCATTTTACAATCGGTTTTGGAAAAAAGGAGACCTTTATTCTATCCGTACGTACAGATGTCATGCAGAAACATCTTTCAAATGTATTCGAGAGTGGCCAAAATGTGTATTTTCGTTGAATTATGATACCGGAAATTTTTCGCAATTACAATACTACCTTTACTTCATACAAGGAAGTAAAAAATGCTAATAAGAATTTGAAATTATTAAAAACACTCATGTTATTCCCATAACTACCATATATTTCCTTATTGAGGAATACTTTTTTGGAATATTTTCAGTATATTAGCGGCTGAAAAATTTCCTTGTAAAATGGCAAAAATTTTCACTTGCAGTTCTTGCCAAATACTTTAACGAATTTATCAGAATTTCTAGTGTCTCCGATTTTGCTACTAACACTTTGACCTCATTTATTTGATTTATTTTCTCCTCTTTTCTGATTTAACTAAATACTATAATTTTGTATTTATATTATTTATATTTCACAGGCTTCAGTGGATCGTTGGAAGTTGTATTCGTCAATCATACGGACAGTAAAATTTACAAAGTGATGAAAATTTCTGGCAGTCAAGGTAACAACTGGTATCAAGTGAAGAGATTAGTTAAAGATCTACCACCAACATATAAAGTAAGAAAGTTATCTCAATATATTACGAATATTTTACGCTTTTCTTGCAGCTCAATATCAACTGAAGTATTTAGCACAATATTATATTTCGCAGTGTATCTCTTATTACCAATGGAAGAAAGTGTCAGTTTCCGTTCATTTTTTCTCCAGGTTTTAGGCACTATGAGTGTAGAATATTAAATTTATTTTTTAAACATAAAATTCAAAAAATTCTCTTTATTAGCAGGCATTATAAAACACACATCAGGTGGTTAATACATTATTAGGTCAGTCATATTATCTTTCTTCCCTTGGATAAACCTTAATTTTGGAGATTCGAAATGAAACCCTTAATTATATCTCTCTTGTATGCTAATTTGAAAGATCTAATCATCATCAGCATCCATGGTGCAACAGCCGGGGTTGCGCCAAGGCCTTCTGAACTAGACGCTTCCAAGCACCTCTACTAGTAGCCAAACTTCTCCAATTCTTAGTTTTAACTCAGTCGCTCGTATCGCCCGTGCATTCTGACATCGGCGGGTCGCCCGAGCGCTTGCGTTCATTTTCGAACTGGTGCTCCTCCCATCACGTTAGCGATTAGCTTATTGGTTTCAGGGTTTGTTAAATGACATGTCAATCATTCTTTTGAGCCCACCAGTGACTGAGCTGGCAGCATGTGCGTTTTCATGGTTTTTCCTGTGTGTAACGTGTACACGAGCCAGTTTTCCTTAGGAAGTCCTCCACGAAAGCACCGCTCTTAGGCAGATAGCCTTCGAGGCTTTGTCATAATCACATGAACCAAAGCAAACCATTGTTTTAAAGCCATTAAAGCAATTTATTTAGCGTCAACATTTAGCTATTGATGTTCGCCGCTGCAATCCTATCCTAAGGGAAAACTGCACACAATTAGTGGTGTATTTAATGGTGTGTGGTGTATTTAATTATGGAAAAGCACACTAGGGCTATCTGCCTAAGGGAAGGGATGCCTTCAGGGAGGACTTTCTAAGGAAAACTGACTCGTATACACGTTACACATGCACACAATTGGTGAAACCATCAACGCCTCATCAGCACAAATAATGACTTCACTTAGGTAGGTTATTGTTAATGCTGTAGCATTCTACTCGGCCGGAGGGGAGAACCCATTCCAAAAGAAATTACTATGCACGGTCGTTTCGGATGTTTGAGAGGAACATATTTTGCCTTCAATCGATTTAAAATAGCTAAGGACTAGAAAAAACTCCTCTACAGCCTCTATCCGTCGAAGTCTAGGTGTTCCTCATCTTCTTGCACTACTTGGTCTAGCCGAAAATATTTCTGTATATATTCAGTAACTATGTTACTGTCTTTCATATTGATAACATGCTCAGCTAATGTGGCTTATTTTAATGCAATGAACAGCATGCGGTTCTTTGAACATACTTAAAAGGTGTTCGCTTAGGAAGTATGGAAACTTTCCAATTATACTAAATTAAAATTAATAAAAATTTAAATAAATACTAAAAAATTAAAAATGAGTCAAAGTATTGTAATTATAATTTATCTCGTCGGCTTAAAAGTTTTAAAAATTGAAAAAGCAACAATAAGCAAAATGCAGTTGAGTAATGAATTGAATTTGCTGTATGCATAATACTTTTAATGATATGATTGCATATTCAAATGCTACTTTTTGCAGATACGATTTATCGGCTCTAGAGGTTGGTCTTCAGATATAGCCCTAGATGATATATTTATTCAACCCGATTCTTGTGCAGATCCAGTGGAACCAACGTCCCCACCAACTGACTTCCGTGAGTATTCAACCATTTTCTACCATCTAAAATGAACTAATGATTGCAAATTTAGTGAGATATTACTGTCGATGTATTTACCATACACACTGTTACATGCATACTATTAAAATCTCATATCAAGGAACACAAATCTTATGTCCGAAAAAAGAGAAATTAGCTAATCATAGTCAGAAATCTAATAATTATTTCGACGTTGGGTTTGCAAAAATCATTCAAAAAGCTTCTTCAACTGGTGAATCGGATATTCTTGAAGCTTTTCACGTTCACAAAAATTTATCTTGGTTAGGTAATAATTTTCTAAGTCGAATCCAGTCTTTCTTAATGCCTTTAAAATTCTATTAACTTAATTTTTTATTTCGTTACTATTTTTGCCGACATGTGGCGTTACCATCTCGTTCGCTTTACTACGCCAAACACGAGATTGTTGCTTTTCTAATTTTATGTTTCACTTTGGCGTATTTCTCTTCTGTTTTGTATTTACATGTTTGTAATCTGCCTCTGTGTAACTGGAACGGGATGAAACGGACCATTTTGAAAATTCATAAAGGTTTGTTAAAATCCCTGTAAAAAAAAAAAAAAAAAAAAAGACACAGCATGTGAATGCTAGAACAGTAAAACTGATGGTGTTTCTGACACTTGCTACTGATACACGTATTGTTTAAATATTACTTTTGATAAAGCATTTGCAATAAACCTAAAACTTTGTCCGTCGTAGGCGTATAAGTGGAGCATAAGGTATACTTAAATAATTCTAGTCGAAGCACTTAGAGTATATTATAAATATGGTCTTTGTGAAGTGATTTGTGTAACGAATCTTCAGTTGAAACATCTATTTGTATAAAGACAAGCCTTATACGTAGATCACTCTGAAATTTTCGAGACACGCGCAGACGATAGACGTCAGAAGTAAATTAAAGGTTAGATTTGAAAATATGAACTATTTTAGCCGAGCAGATCATTTTTTATTGGACAACTGCATTATAGTTTAGCGTAGAATAAATTTTAAGCAGAAGGTAAAATGGAGTTGAAATGAGAACATTATCGCGTTATGATTTTCTATGATTTTAAAGTGGCATTCAGTCAAAAGAATGCGTCCAACATCTAATAATTAGCATTTGGAAAGAAAGCGCCATCTCGTGCTACTGTATTCAGATGGTTTGCAAAATTTCACACTGGTCAAAACTCTCTTCCGAATGAAAAACACACAGAAAGGTCGTTGTCAGTAGCAATCCCGGATAATGCGTCTGCCATATGGAAAATGTTAATCGATGATAATCGCTGCACCTACCAAATGATACAGAAAGAACTCAACATTGGATTCTCTGCCATGTATAAAATTATTCATAAAGAATTCCATATGATAAAACTAGTTTACCATTGGGTTCCGGATAGGTCGTAATGTTTAAGACAGCATCGCTTCTTTTTGCTGGATTCCACGTTCACCTGACATAAGATTTCTCCTTTGGAGTTTCATAAAAGATCGTGTCTACGTTCCGCCACTACTTCTAAATTTGAGACACAGAACTGAAGAGCCTATTGCTTTCATAACTCCGGACTCGTTAGCCAAATTTTGGGAAGAATTGGACTATACGTTGGATGTGTGCAGTGTAAATAAAGATGCATATATTGAGCATTTATAAAACAAATTGGGCTAGTTTGTATGATATGTCGTAAATAGTCTAACTTAAACTCTTATAATATATCACTGAAACTGGTACATTCTTTCATGTACACTATATAATAAGCCAATAATGCCTTAAATGCATTTCAGACGTCAAACATATTTCACACTTTTCAAACTCTAAATTAAACTCTTACAATATATCACTGAAACTATGACATTCTTTTATGGACACTATGTATAATAAGCCAATAATGTCTTAAATATATTTCAGACTTATTACTGCTACTAAAATATCAAATCTGAATTGAGGCGCTTCTCTTATATTTACTGAACATTGCAAATTTTTTACGGTTTATTGCTTAAAGTAGTATACATCTTCAGTACACGCATGTTTAGTTCTCTATCTTACTTATAGATTAAAAATACTCCGTGAGAATATATTATTGAATAATCATATTCTTTCAGCTCCGTCAGTCTGGGATTGTAACTTTGAAAATGGCGACTTCTGTAGTTGGAAAAATGGTGATGCTTGGATCATACAAGATGGAAGAAAAGCTTTGATTTCAAAACTAGGACCAACACTTGACCACACCAGACAAGATGCGTTAGGTATGTTCAGATTTGGAAAATAATTTTTCTATTAATTTTCCTTGAAGTGGTATTTAAGCCCCATTTATATATGCTTAATTTCATTTGCATAGCTCATGCTTTAATTCAGCAAAGAATAAGTATATTGCGAATAGCATGATTTGGATTTACTTTCTTCTATTATTTACAGTATCATTTAATTATTTTTTCTGTAATATTCCTAGAATATTAACTGAAAATATAAATATTCTAAAATATTAATTCCTAAAATATTAATTGAAATTATAAATATTGTTCTGTATTAATTCCTATAATATTATTTGAAATTATAAATATCGCTCTGTATTAATTCCTATAATATTAACTGAAATTACAGGTATCTTCTACTATTAATTCCTATAATATTAATTGAAATTATAAGTATCGTCTAATTTCAATTTCTATAATATTAATCGAAATTATAAATATCCTCTAATATTAATTCCTGTAATATGAATTGAAATTATAAATATTTTATAATAGCAATTCCTATAATATTAATTGAAATTATAAATATTATACCATCTATAATAAGTATCATTAATTGAAATTATAAATATCCTTTAACATTAATTCCTATAATATGAATTAAAAATGTAAATGTCCTATAATATTAATTGAAATTATAAATATTACTACTATATACCTATATAATAAGTATTATTAATTGAAATTATAAATTCTTATTAAAGGATATTATAAATAGCTTCTAGTATTATTTCTTATAATATTAATTGAAATTTTAAATATCCTATAATATTAACTCCTATAATATAAATTGAAGTTATAAATATCCTGTAATATTAATTCATATAATTTTAATTGAAAGATTATTCCTTATTCCCTTTTGTATTTACATCTAGTATTTGTAAAAAATTCACATATCAAGTTTATGATACAGAGTTTTAGTAACATTTTTGTTTATTGTTATTGACACTGATGAAATGTCTTTGAATTAATATTATATTTTAACCTAATATTTCCTATCAATTTATTTTTATCGCGTCGATAAAACAGATAAAAAAGTTCCAAATTATAATACTTACAGGACGATATGCTTACTACAAACCAACCAACGATAGTGGACATGACCTTACGAGTTCCGAAATTGACACTTCCAACCAAGAATACTGCTTCCGGTTTTGGTATTACATGCACAGTCCTTCTCCAGTCACTCTCGAATTGCATGTACTTCAGTGTAAGTATACAAGGAAAAAAAATCTTTAGTATATCTCTTCGAAAAGACTATTTTTTTGTTTCTAATTATGTCATCAAACACAAATGCAGTGGTTAATAAATTCTTTCTTCTAATAAGATACTGCTAGACGAACATGCTTTCCTTTAAAAAGCATTCGAGGGCCGAATTCTTTGCTTTTAGATCGTCTATTGATAATTTCAATGATTTATTTTATAAGGTATTTCTCCCACTTCCCTAGCGTACCTTCGTGGTGTAACGGTAGCACGCTGGGCCGGTATTCCAGAGGTCCTTGGTTCGATTCCCGGCGAAGGCCGTTGCATATTTTTCATCTTTTCTGCTTCCAATTAACCTAATGACTCTACAATTTCATCAATAATGTCTCATCAATAGCTATAAAAACCGGTTAGTCCTCACACAAATCAAGGATCCTTATTACTGAGCAGGATTATGGGACATTTTTATAAAAGGTTAATTAATTGTAGTTTTCTGATAATAATGGAAATTGGGAAAGAATTAAGATTAAAAGTTGTCGTGTACGAATTCATTTTAATTAAGGATATAATATTCTGGGCTGACTGATTTGTATTTACTGAGATAAATTGTTTATGTACAAAGAAAACTAGGTTACTCTTCCATCAGTGTATTAATGTACTATATTAATCTATCTTCCCATCAGTCTGCTTATATATATATATATATACCTAAAATGAAAATGAAATAACAACGAATACGAATGTAATACATAACTGACTTTAAAATGCGCATAACTATAATAGTATAAAGTAAACAAAAAGATTCAGATGTGCATATTAAAGCCTAAAGAAAGTGTTTAGTATTGTGAGCTTTTCTCACCGAGAGATGGTTTGATCAAAAAATATCTGATGTGAAGACCTAATTCACACTGTCTTTTCCGGTATTTTTCTTTAAATAGTGTTACGCAAATTGGAAGATAAATGATACAAACGGATAACATTAATTTAAAATCATAACGTTAACAAAATATCTAATGTGGACGCCACACAGTTTCTTTGTGCGGCCTATTAAATTATACCCACTTTTTGCAGCATTTCACTTAAACTTATTTCATTGAATCTCGTTAGATATATATTTCTCATATCTGTTCAATTAAATCAATTCTTCTTTCAAGGCAATACATAAAAACTGAGAACATCTTCATTAAAAATTGTAAAATACAGAAAAACATAAAACCGCAAATACAGTTAAAAATAGTTAGAAAAAAAAAAAAGAATTTTTACAATTAAAATTAGAGTTTCTATTTAAGAACAAGTCATTCAGCCAACGAGCAGGAAGACACCATTTTTCGTGCACACAGTTTAATGATTTCTTTTGGTCCCACTCAGAAAAACATTTGTTGACCATCCTCTTATCATGATACAACACTACCAGACACCCACTTGTATTTAGCCTCTCCATGCGCGCGGCTTTCTTGGTTTTCTTTCTTCTTGTGACGCTGGTCACTCCCCTTTTCCCATTTCCGACGCTTTCTCACTGCCCGACCAGACTGTTCAACGTCTTGTGCCCTATCGAGATACTTAGTCATAGAGCCGGCAACGTCGCGTGCTCTACATAAGAGGCATAAGAGTGTTAAGAAAAAAAAAAAAAAAAAAGACTAAAGGTGTCCTCGCTAGTTACCAAGAACGATGTCAAGAAACTCCAAGTTCTATAAAATAAATTTCTAAGAATAATAACCGGAGCACCTTATTTTCTTAGAAATCTCCACAGCGACCTGAAAATAGAATACATTCAAGATCATCTCAATAAGTTAATTGAAAGCTTTTACAGACAGAAAAGCCGAGCAAAACGCAACTGCAGACTTCGCGGATTTACTGAACTATGAGAAAATAGAAGATGACTATTTTAAAAGGCCGTACGTGGCCCACTTATTGAATATTCATAATCAGCTACCTTAATAATAATAATGAAAAAAAGGTTTAATATAGCAACTTATTCTAACTCCGCCCTCCTACTCCTGATTGGATCCCGCTCGCTTCTGGCTCCTCCTGGAAGTGATTTCTTTATGAAAATACAGTTCAACAGCTACTGCAAGAAACACTGACCGGCAGATGGCGCCACACCTGTGGTTTACTTCATGATTTCTCTGGACATTGAATTTTTACTGAGACAAAGTGCCTCAAATTTCTCGCATACACGCTTCACTAAGGAATTTTTATCACAAGGCCCGTTGTGAACAAAATTGATAGAACAGGAAAGTACTGTCTAATGCAGTAGAATGCCTATATAAAACACATAAGTATCCAAGTATCCAAGTAAAAATTAATTCAATTTTAAATTGTTAATAACTCTATAACTGCGTGCAGATTAACTATAGGCATAAAAACCTTAACCGGAACATAAGAACAACATAATTCAATTAATTTTAATGCAAAAAAATGCAGAATTTACCAATATATATATGAGTAAAAAACCTGAGTTCACCGAACCGGGTAACAAAGTGGGTATATCTATATACTCGTATATACGTTTGGTGCGGTCCATTACAACCAAAAAGAGAGGTGCACAGATACATAACTACGCTTTACAGCAGTTTCATATGCAAAATTTCAACATTCTGAGACTACACGGCTGACGGACTTTGCATGAAGCAGTATCTATAGACGGCATTACAAAACGTAAACTGTAAGTTTTATAAATATATATTCATCTATCTAGAGAAAACACTTATCTATTACCAGTGAGATGTTACCGGTTAAGAGAGATTCTGCATATTATATACATACAGAGTTTGGACTTATTCGGGAGCATACACTAGACCAAATCTCTGGTAGACAAATGGCGAATTATCGCTATATGTTCTAAGTACAACAGACACAGGAAAAGAGTGTAATGGACCCTTTTAATAATTCAAATAAAGTTTAACAGACGTTACCAACTCGTACTTACAGAAGCCAACAGTTTTGGCTTTAAATCAAAGAAAATGGATAAACTGAAGTTAATGAAACTTAAGTCTAACCTAACGCCTTCAAAATTTATCTAGCTCAAAACCTGGCTCTGACCGAAGTCGGCATAAAGACGCCGAATGGCAAGAATAACTCAATGCCGCAAAATTCTAATCGCTAGAGAATCAAAGTTAACAACGTGGCCTTCAATCAGGCATAATATGCTCTGATTTCACACTCCCAAACCTTCCTTTACATACTTCCTTCTTTCTACCTAATTTGAATATCGAGCGAGGTGGAAATTTGCATTCTAGCAGGAAAATGAAACTAGAGTTGAAAGTAAAAGGAAATAATATAAAATAAAGGGTATGAAATTTAAATTACTCGTACAAACAAAAAGTAAAAAACATCAGTTAGGAATTATTCCCTAATTAGATGTACTAAAAGCTGCAGTAATCTAAGAAAAAATAGTATAGAAAACAAATTTTAAGTATGAATTTTTATTGTTGGTCAAGTAAAGGTGAGATTTGCTTGATGATATAGGCAATTTTACTTCACCAATAAAAACAATTTATGACTGCTAAATAGTGTTATCATCCCAGAAAATTTCGTTAAATTCCATAAACAACAACAACAACAACAAAAAAAAAAAAAAAAAAAAAATTTGAATGCGAAAATAAGAAAAGAAAAAAAAAAAAAAAACCTTTCAGATAATATGAGAGATCGCGATAAAATTTAAATAACCACACGTCGTGTTATAAGTAGATACTGCATGTGACTTGATAAACTACTGAATTCTTTTAACTCTTACCGCCATCTTTATGCAAATAGTCAAAATACAGGACAGAGAAAGCAAAGCAAAGAAATGAAAAATATATAAAATTAAGAAAGGATTAGGATAGTTGCATTTATCTAATATCATCCTGGTCCTTGTTTGTTCATGCGACTTCACAGAGAAGCAAATGCATTCCCGAGGCAAACCTCCTCGGACTCGAGAGAGCTGCTGTTCTAGATAGTAGATGGCGTGGAACATAGGTCTTTAATCCATGCTCTATACATGCGTCAGAGGAACAGAAACTATTCAATTAAGGTCCAATGATTCATGATTCAATTAAAGACTTATGTCCCACGCCCTCGACTATCTGGAAACAGCAGCTCTCTTAAGTCCCAGGAGGTCTATCCATGCTGTCAGAAGAACAGAAACCATTCAATTAAAGGCTAATGATTCAGTTAAAGACTTATGTCCCACGCCCTCCACTATCTAGAACCAGCAGCTCTCTCGAGTCCCAGGAGGTCTCTCCATACTGTCAGAGGAACAGAAACTATTCAGTTAAGGACCAATGATTCAATTAAAGACTTATGTCCCACACGCTCCACTATCTAGAACCAGCAGCTATCTTTGAGGCACAGGAGGTCTGCATTTGCTTCTCTATGAAGTCTCATTAACAAATAAGGATATGGATTATATTAGATGAATGAGTTAGCTGTATGAATATATTAGTTGTTAGAATTCATTGGTGATGCTCTTGGGCGCACGTTTACCATAATTCTTAAATACATAAAATACTTACAATATTACATTAAATATGATCCCTCAGTTAAATACATGAATACATTGTGTGCATGATTAAGTTACATGGATACATTAGTTATGTACCTGAGAGCTTAATTACAATAAGACACATGAATACATTAAACCTCTTTACTTTCGTTATTTGGGAACACGTTATTTGCGTTGAGTACTTAATGCGTTGATACAATAGATACATGATTATGATATATGAATACTGTTTATGTACTTGAATGCTAGATACATACTTTATTGCAATTAAAACTCTTGACTAATTGATTACATTAACCTATACACATTAATTATATGAGTACATACTAGTATTTACTTAGTATACTTTTCTACATTAGAAATACTAGTATTTACTTAATATACTTTTTTACATTAGAAATACTAGTATTTACTTAGTACACTTTTCTACATTAGAACCCTTTTATCTATATCCATTTAAGCTGTATTAATGTCTAATTTTTTTAGATAATCAGGTAACTGGGCCACTGTTGGTAAAGAAAGCAAGTGCAGATACGAAATGGAAATATGGTACTTTCTTCATGGAAAAATCAGTGAATATGTCCATTGTGCTGAGACCGACGAGGAGCGAACTTGGTGTAGGGGACATTGCAATTGACGATATTCTGGTGAATGCTGGCCGATGCCCAATTTTAAGTAAGTATTTGCAAAGTGTTGTTTGAATTTTATTTCATTATTTCATGGCAGAAAAAGCATGAAAGGAAATTTCTTTTGAATGATTGGCCGATTTAGCAAAGAAAAGGGTAAGAAAGCGTTTCAGCTTTAACCGTTTTTTTTAATTGGATATGTTCCCAAAAAGGGCGTTTAAAATAAAATTTTAATTTAAAAAAATTTCTTTGATGCATTTTAGAAAATTTTGATATTTGCTTTTATTTTTAAATTAAGCAGTGTAATCTATAATTTTTCGAGTAGTGGAAAAATGTTGTTTCCTCGGTACTTACGTTAACGGAGCCACCTCAGTGGAATTCGCCAAATTTTTATTCTGCCCTTAGATTTAACTTTAAACGTACATGCCTTCTAGTAATTACGAGAAATGGTATTTACTGGAGATTTCTCTGCGGCCTGTGAAAACTATATAAGACCGAAGACAGCAAGTACTGTCAGCTGTTATTTCAGAGCTGAGTTGAGTACTGAGATATTATTATTAAGTGTAGGAGCTTCGGGTTTTCAGATACGCCTTGCATTGCGTTGTGTTTACCGTTCTTAGTAGTTTGAAGGGTAACTAATTATTGTTCTCTGTGATTCTGAGAAGAGCTGTACGAGCATTTTTGTGGAAATTCCAGAACTGCGACGTGTTTCTTTTGGTAAAAAAAATTTCATCAAGCTATTCAACAGTTCTGTGTTCATTCGTTCTACAGGGTGCCTCGAAAGGTCGTTTCCAAACTTAACATGCTGGTTTGCCATACCACGACAAACAAGATTTGCATAGGAAGTTGTGTCCGAAAATGCATGCGATGATCGCTAGAGAGCAAAGTTCGCAAGCGTAGAGAGAAAGAAAGAAAGTACAGTAGAACTGGGAGTTATACGAATCGATTGGTACCGGGCCTATTCGAATAACTGGATTTTTCCAAAGAAAGGGTCTTTGTGTATTTTACTTAGTTATTGTACGTTGAAAATGGGAGAAAAACTCTTTGTAAGGAAAAAGAGGTTTTAATTAATTAAAATGAAAAGGCAACACTTTTACATACATGTTATATTAGCGTACTGTGCAGTACTTACAAGTACTGAAAGTCATTGCTTGCTGAACATCTCGGTCAAAGTAAGCTGCCTGACGGATACCGAGCCTGCACTTAAATTTTTTAGCCAGTCGTTACTTGCTTTAAAAAAGGATGAGCAACCAAGCTTCTGAGCTAAGATCTTAGCTTTTTCACAAAGAATCGGACTCGAAATTGGATTTCCCATAGAACGTTGCTGTAAAAAGCACTTGAAAATAACATCTTGTAAATTTTTGTTGTTGCTGCACTGATTTTCTTGAAGAACTTCCATCTTCGTTTTCAAGCAGTGACACCAAGTTTAAAAGCGTAGGTTTTTCTCCTTTTAATGACTGAAAGCGTTGATTGCCCAACACTACTTTTTTCGTAAGCTCTGAAAGTGATTCGGATAGTCGGAGTTCGAATAATTGGAGTTGTACTGTAGGTCGAAAGAGGTGTTGATATGATTTTTATTAACGAACATGGTTAAGGGGACTCATACACCTTAAACCCCTCATGATCTTCGAATATGTGACTATTGCAAGAATTGAGATATTTTATTTAATTTAAAAGCAATTACTTCCAACTTTTTACAGCTGACTACATGATATAGCTGCTTTGGAAATTAGTAACCAGAAAGTTTGTGTTGCCACAAATATTTTTGTAATTTAATCCTCTTTGTGACAAAATATTTTCGCCATGTTTCCACCTTGCGCGCATTATATTTTAAAAATGGCTAATGGTACATACTTAAAAATTTGATGGAATTCTTATATGGCACTATTTTCTAACTGAACCACAATCTGATGAATATTTTGATATTGAAAAATTTTATGGACGAAAACATTACAAATTTTTTTAATAAAAAATACATTTTATAAACTCACTCCAAATAAAATAAATTTAACATGAAATTTTTTAGAATTTTAGGTTCACAGTCGTTTTTCAGACGTTATAAAAGCTATATATTAAATATGGAATTAAATTATGAAACAGAATGTTTTAACGTGGCGCGCAAGTTGAAAACATGACGAAAAATGTTGTCCCAAAGCGGATTAAATTATAAAAATATTTGTGGCAACACAAACTTTCCGATAACTATTTCAGAAAGCAGCTATATTATGTAGTCAGCTGTAAAAAAATGGCAGTAATTGCTTTTGAAATAAATAAGTTATCTCAATTCTTGCAACAGTCACCTATTCGAACATCTTATGGGTTTTAAGGTGTATGAGTCCCCTTAAATCACAAGAAGATGTTCAAAATTCCTTCCATTTGCATCAATGCATACTTCAAAACGTCGACGCATAGTTTCACGGACCCGTTCAAAACGGGCAGGTGTGTCATAGACATACCGCCGCTTCCACGTTAGTGGCAACGAGATCCACGTTCGATGTTATGGTCGTCTCGTATACCATGGACTTCATGTATCCCCACAGATAGAAAATCGAAGAAAGTCAGGTCGGGGGATTGCGGTGGCCATGCGACTGGTCCGCGGCACCATACAAGTAATGCATATCGACTAGTTCTTTGTTAGTAAACCGATTCATCCTTCTCCTGCAACGTCCTCGCCTGAAATGATCCCTCTTTCCATTCTCCCATAAGCCAGCAAACATTGCCCTCTGGCTGTCGCCGTTCATATTTTCGGATACAGTTACTTATATAAATCTTGTTTGTTATGATATGACAGTCCAGTATCTTAAGTTTGGTAGCGACCTTTTGAGACCTGTATTATTGGAAAAATGATAATATTTTGTATTTTTAAGAAATTTTTTAAATGAAGCTTCCGAGTGCACTTTCTCACATTTTTAAAAATGTGATTTTGGCAACAATTTTTCTTTCTCATTGTTGTTGATAGATTTTTGATGAAATCGCATTATTTTGAATAGTTTCATTCTTTTAGAAATATGGGTTTGGCACCAATTTTTCATCGTATTTCTTATGTCACTGTTTTTAAGAGACTGGCATATTTCATTGTCATTTTTTTATACATGTAATACATTTTTATTGATTTTTTTTTTTTTTTTTTTTTTTTGATAAAGTTGTTCTGCAGAGTAAAATTCTGCGCGGAATTTTTTGTTTTTTGAGGTTCTTTCATGTTATTTTTTGCTTATTTCACTGTTTGTAAGATATTGAAAAGATTTTTTTTCTTTAACGGAAAGTTGGTTCATTTTTTTATTAGGATAATTAATATTTGCATTAAGGGATATAGCTTATTTTATTGTAATTTTTTTCTCTTGAAAATATAAGATAAAATATCATTAATTATACTTTGATTTTCAGATTTTTTTGTTTTTTTGTATTCTTTTATGTTATTTAATGCTCATTTCCCTGTCTTTAAGATATTGAAAAGTTTTGAGTGATTTTTTTAGGAAACAAAGTTTTTAACCTCCTTTATACCATTTGAGTTCTTAAGATTTTGCAAAGGGAAGTTGGTTAATTTATGTATTAGGTTAATTATTGTTTGTATTAAAGGATATTGCTTATTTCATCGTAATTTTGTTACACGTAATAACTTTTTTTTATGAAGTTGTTCTGCAGAGTAAAATTCTAAGCAGTTTTTAAATTTAACGTTTGGTGTTCCCTTCAACCATTTTTCCGGTACATTTAATAGCCAGACGAAGGCTGGCAGCGAAGCTGCTAGTTACTAATAAAAGTAAGTTATTAGTAATTATTTATTAGTACGTTGTAAGGTATATCTATGTTTATGCCATTTTCCTATCTCTTCTAGCTGCAGCTTACAATTCCTTACGACAATGAATTTTTAGAATCGCGTTAAATGCAAATGAGAAGTAGAGTGGTATTTAAATTCAAGTCAAGTTCCACTGACTTCGCCAGAGAAAGTTAGGATTCCTGAATAGCGCGCGTTTGCCTTTTGGCTACGTCTCTCTACCTGTTACTACGCTCGGCCGTATTACGTGCCTTTTGATAGCTTCGCCAGCTGATTTAATACTACGGGCCAACTAAATTATAACTTTGTTAGCTTCGGCTAAATCTCTTTAGTTAGTCATTAGTTAGATCTTATTTCTTACATTTTGAGTTAACGCCCAAGTGGAGACCTTGCTGTACGCCCTGAGAAAGGGGCCGACTGTATATCTTTATTTGGAGCAAATAGAGAGTAATGAATTTTTATGATTATTTTATTTGTTTCATGGCTAAGTATGCTTTTCCGGGAATATTTTATTTGCATGTGTTTTTAGCAATAGCCGCACGCTATCCAAAAATGCAGTGTACAAAGCAGCGGTATGACAAAAGAGTACTATTTAGATATTTTAATGAAATATGCTGTGACATTTTATGTTTACCATTCAACTGTCTTTTCTTTATTCTTAGAGGGTTTCCCGTGTGATTTCGAGTCTGCTGATATCTGTGGTTTTAAAAGGGAATCACCGGATGGTATCACATGGAAAAGACAGCAAGCAAAAGGTGCTAAAGTGGGACCGAAAGTCGACAAAAGTTATGGCACAGCAGAAGGTACGTTCCCAAGTCATCTCAAAATATTAATTTTTAACATCACGCAATTGGGTAATTTAAAGACAGCAAAACGCTGTCTTTAAACAACCAAGACAAATATTCAAAATCCAATGGGTAGCACTTACGAGTTATGAAGAGGTATATGTAAATAATAAAATACAAAAATTTATTATTAATAAAAATTACATGAACGTACATTTCAAATGAAATCTTATCAGTTTCCAGGCAATTGCTATTTCAAGGAGCTAAAAAATTCAAGCTAAAGAGGAGCAGCAAAGAGTAATTTTAAATATGTCAAAATTGGTAACTTTACAAATTTAACTTTTTAACTGATAGCTTTTGTAAATAATTTCTGAAAATATTTTAATAAATTTTAGAGATATTCATTATTAATAAATTTGTAAGTAAATTTCATTACCTATTTCATATTTTGTAGTATTTTAACAAAGATCTGATTAACAATATCGGCGATTTCAAAGCGACCAATGACAACGTTATACAGAAAAAACTTTTTTATTTCTAGCGCGCCAGACTGTGTATAGAAAATTCTAAAGATAGGCCCTTTTTAAATATTTTGTGATATTGCTGTTGAATTGAATTTTACGGTTTAAGGAAGAAGTACTTGATATTTAATAAATAAAGGTAACACACAAAACGTTAAAAAAGAACGCCGCTTTGGGTGTAATATAAAATCTGAAAGCCTTCGTATTTTTTCAAACTTTTTTTTGCACTTGCGTTTTGTTCTTTTAGGCCAGTGGTGGCGAACCTTTTTGGGGCCGCGTTCCCCAAACCGGTTTTTCGGGGGCCAGCGGGCGCAAAACTTCTTTGATTAAATCCCCATCGGAGAGCGGTTTACCATGTTTTGCCAGGCACAGTGAAATTTGAAAGCTGGCCGTTGTCAGATGGTTTGTTTGAGAAAGATAATTACCAAAACCAACTTTCTAGTAATTATAATTCCTCAGTTTCCATTCAATAAACACTTTCCGTTCAGCTTCATCAAGTTCGGCAACAACCTCGTGGTTCGTGTTAAAATGCCGTAAGTAAGTGAAACGTTCAAGAATAGACTAGATCAGTTATTTATATCACACAGCATCATTTTATTGTGATTATTGATTAAGGAAGTCATATTTTAGTCGCGTGCCGGTTGATGAGGGATTGCGTGCCGACTGTGGCACGCGTGCAATAGGTTCGCTATCACTGTCTTAGGCTATAAAATACAGGGTGTTCGGGATAAATTTGACAGTTTCGTAAAGAAAAAGAAAATCCGCTTTGTATCAATTAAGTTTAATGAATTGACAAAAAAATTACAGGCAGACTAAATTACAATACTATCAACAAGATTCACTCAAAATAACCACCATTAGCATCGATCGCAGCTTCAATCCTGCTTCGAAACCTCGAACAAGCTGATGCTACAGTCTCCCTGGGAAGAGCCTCAAAAACTGTTTAATTTTATCCATTAACTGGGCTTTTGTATTACTGGAAGTGCGATTGGTGTCTTTTTCAACTGCGTCCCATACCAAATAATCCATGGAGTTAAGGTCTGGGGAGTTTGGAGGCCAAACATTTGGAATGGTGAAGTCGTAGAAATTTTCAAATTTTCAGACAACCATTTTTGACTTTTGGTGGTGGCTACATCCTCGTAGTCACTATTGCAAGTCTCTAGTTCATGCCTGATTGTTTTACTGTGTTCAGGGAGCATTGGGCAGTAGTCATAATATCCTTATTTTGATGGCCGGCACGAATCATCATCATGCAAGTTATTCTTTTCCATGATTCAGGTGGGTTCCAGTCATCTATCCTTTCTGACATCTTGTACATGAATGAAGAAGGGTCCAAACTTTTAAATGACGAGTAGTGTGTGTCAATACCTCCAACCTACGGAAAAATATAATCAAATTATAAATATGTCAAATTTATCCCGAACACCCTGTATATCATTTTGTAGTACTATTTAAAGTAATCAAGGCAGATGAAGAAATAAATCTTAGATATTATTTTACTTCACCGTAGGCCATTATCTGATTGTGTTACCATCAACTAATTCCCGTGTTCTTGGAGACAACAAAGCTCGGTTTATCATACCCAACGTTCCAAGTTCAGGCTTGACAAGAAGCTGCGTTCGATTTTGGTACCAAATGACTGGTGAAAATGTCATCGCCCTCCAACTGTATATGCGGACGCCTGGAGGAGCTTTGCCACAGTTTCCACTTTGGTCTCATGCTAGTAAACACGGTAATGACAGCTGGAGAGTGGGACAACGGACGATAGATGCTCCTTACGTGCATGAGGTATGTGCTATTCTTATCGTGTTTGACACATATATGGTAAAAGATTCACCAGGAAAAATGAAATTATGAATGTAACTTTCATCATGGATTTTTATATTTTTTATAATTAATGAGTATTGGTCCATGGCAAGACAAAGAAAGAAATCCCAAGTACACTCAAACGTGTTTTTGTGCGCTGGATAGGGACCACATAAAACAAAACGCATAAAAAATCGCACAAAACTTCACGAGTAGCTATAAAAAGTAGCTTTTGCAACACAATTAAAAATGTTTTTTTATGCGGTGAATTGGGACAACGTAAAAGAAGTCTTACGTAGAAAATAAGTTGCGTTTTTAAACGAAATCAAGACACGAGGCTTGGCAGTTTGGAATCTCGCCAAACCTTTTATAATCTGATGTAGAAAATGCACATTTTTAAATAATTTGTTTGCATATGTATTTATTTTACACAAAAAACTTTTCAAAACGTATAGCCGTTATCTTTTCTAGTCAGACAACACGCGAACTTCCTTGTGGTAAACTGGCTCAAAGTTGCTTTCGTCACTTGAAGCTCGTTACCTCGCACTCGTTTAGAGTAGACTTTTTCTTTCAGTTACCAAGTAGTCGGTGATTAGTTTTTGCGACGACTGTTGTTTTACTAGACTCGGTTTATATGTCTTAGTAGCCAGATATACAAGATTGAAGCTCCTTTTTTTTTAGTTGATTATTTATTTTTTTATCAATAACTTCGTCAATTATGTTCCAATTTGATTGATACCGAACAAAAAAATTGCGCAAATAAAATATCGCACAGGAAAAGACGGCACAAAAGCTGGTTTGAGTGTATTATTGTTCGCGGTGTTATCAGGAGCTCTCAGAAATAAACAGATGAAAATGTTGAGGGAATAATTTGTATTTTTATAATATTTGTGCGCAATTAGTAAATAAATTGTTTGGCCGTAGCATGTACACCTCGCACACACACTAAAAAAGTTGGGACAATTCTATATCTCCCGTTCTACTGAGCCCCTTGACGAAATTAACTTGCGTTTGATAAGTCTCGAAAGCGCTACTTAGGATATATATTATATTTTTATATAGTATTGTTCTAGCATGGAAATTTTGGCGTAAAATAGGATTTTTCTGAAATAACGTACCTATTTTGTTTTTTATATTTCGATTCTACGAGCCTAATTATGCAAAAGTGCTACATTTTTGTAAAAGCGCAAAGAGTAGTTTTTAAAAAATTGTAAAGACATTAGGTATTTTTTTGAAGCCGGAGAGAGGAAAAATCAGCAAACGCCTTCGTCGGGAATCGAACCACGGACCTCTGGAATACCGGCCCGTCGTGCAGAACCACTACACCACGAAGGCACGCTAGAAATGCGGGAGAAAAACCTTATAAAATTAGCTCTCAAAATGTTTAGTTCCTCAATTTTAATTGAAATGAATACATATTTATTAATTTTTCATTTTTTATGAAACTTACTTGATTCATTCTTTCACAATTCGATATTTAGGTTCAATCCAAATAAATTTCACAGCTACTTTCTGATTTGTTTTTAAAATTCATATTTTTTAGTAATTTTGTATGAATTTTTCGAAACATTTTTCGAAGTATAACTTATAAAATTTTTACCATCACCTTAAAGCAGTTGTATTTCTAGGCATACCTTAAATTGGAGTTTTTATTCAAATTTTCGCATGGTATACGTGAATATATATATTGGCGCGTTTTGAATTTTGCCGCATTTGTTATAAGCGATAATAATGACAAATTTGCACTTTGTTAAAATTATTTGAAAGAAAGAATGGTGCACCTTTTTTCCATCTTGTGGATAATGAAAGAATGGGGAAAGAAAATGGGTTACTATAAAGTAAGAATTTCACCAAATGAATTAAAAAGTGCGCCAAGATAAAATTTTAGCTTCTCACGAAGTTTCTCACCCGATTTTACAAAATTCTATATTTAGGCATAATTTGATTATAGAATCAAAATATGGAAAGAAATTGGTGTGCCATTTCAGAAAAAGTCCGTGCCAAAATACCTATACTAGAACAATATCTATATAAAGTCTTAAATATATCTTAAGTCGCGCTTTCGAGTCATGAAAAATGCAAATTAAATTTTGTCAATTCGCCCATCAGAAAGTGAGATATAGAACTGTCTTTTTTTTTAAATTTTTATTTTATTATTTATTTATTTATTTATTTATTTATTTATTTATTATTATTATTTGCGCAGAGTGTACGTCGCCCTTTTAATGTGCGTTACTAAATAAATCTACGCTGTAGATCCGGAAACCTCAGTGGACTTCCTATACCTAATACTTAAATTTTAACTACCTAATTCTAATTAACTCCTTATACCTAAATTTTATTTTTGATTCCATATGTAGTTTTTTGATTAAGATATTATAAATTTTTCTCTTTCCGAAGCTTTATGTACGAATGGATGTTTTTATATATTTAATTGACTGGTATCCAATTAGTGATACTGAATAAATAAAAGTAACTTTGTGATTTCAAATAAGATGCTATGAACACAAAATAAAACATTTGAAAATTAATGTTTTCGAAAACAGTATTTTATCGAAATAAATATTATTTTAGATTTTAAATGAACGGTAACTCTTTGTTATGATTGTAGCTCGTAATTGAGAGATTTAGATTTTTTTACGGGAATATTTCGATTTAAGATTGCTCTTGAGTATATGTTGCATGAATATTACTAGAAAAGTAAATAATGGTCTAAATGCTGTGTTTTCAAATAAAAATAAGTAAATATATTTCTTTTTATCGAAGAAAAACATGTTAAACAGTTTTAATTTATTTTTCTTACGTTAAGCAAAATGGACACTGGTTTCAAAAGAGTTTGAAATAAAAATCGAAACACCATCATCTTCTATTGTAAAAATTTTGTTGTATATAGAAAATATATTATCAAAGGGTAAAATACAAGATGAAAATAATTTTGTACCAACAGTGCTATATAGTCCTATGTATGCACCATGCCACCAAAAGTCCAAGGGCCCACCAGCGGCCGAGCGGTAAAATCGCTGAACACTGGTAGTTCGGTCCGAGGTTCGTATCCCGCGAACGGCCTGACTGCATGGGCGTTTTCGTGGTTTTCCCCATGTGTAACGTGTATACGAGCCAGTTTCCCTTAGAAAGTCCTCCATGAAGGCATCCCTTCCCTTAGGCAGATACCCCTAGTTTGCTTTGCCGTATTCTCAACACACCACCACCACCGCCACCAAAAGTCCTATAATCTTTATTTACGCATCTTTTTGTTGTATACATATACTTCCAGATATAAAAATGTTTTCCATGTAACAGGTATTCATGTTTTAGCATATTTGCATTAAAAAAAAATCAGTTGTATAAAATTTACGAAATCTAACATTTTTATATGGTGGCATGGTCTCTATAGTTATCTTTCTCTCTGTATATATATATGTGTGTGTGTGTTTGTGTAAAATATAAACTATCTGTCTTTCAAATAATAAATTAATAATGGCCCATTAACTCCTTTCATGATTCTAAAAATATTCTGGACTGCGTCATTTCTAGATTAATCTACGCCGCGAAGCTTGCGTAACGTTGATGACGTAGTAATCAGAAACCTTAACTCTGAGAACTAAACCTTCCTTCTCGTGAGCATCCATATTGGATAACTTCGCACTTTAGCTTCTCTCTCTATGCTACGTGGACGTAATTTCTCTGTGCTTGCTTCCGATCGCAACAGTATCAAAAATGTAAACGTTCTTGAATAAGCACGATTAGAGTGCCAAATGAATTGTGACCGCAAATGTCAGTTTAAATAAAAATAGAATTAAAACAGCTTCGACTGCTAAATTTCTTATTCATTGTGGATCGGCATTTAAGTATTCTGCTTCTTCAATATGGATCTACGTTTCTACGTCTCAGTGTTCCTACATCAAACTTTTCTGAAATTTGCTTTTGCTATATATATATATATATATATTTCTTACTTTACGTCTTTAATATATATAATATTAAAGACATAAAAGTAAGAAATTTAGTACTAATATTTCACAAAGACGATATATATTTAATTTAAAATTTAATTTAACTTTACTATTTTTTCTTATGAATTAATATATATATATAAATGAATGTTTATTTATTTATTTTTTTTTTGTTTGTCTTTTATACAAATCTAAAGTTTAATTCCGATCTTTATGAAACTTGTCACACACAACCTTCAAAAGAAAAGGAAGGTCACTGTCTGCATAAGATTTCTCGAAAATCAGCCCATGGGATCCACACTCCGTATATACATATATTTTACACTAAATCAACGAACATTTAATTAAAAACTCAGAGATTTTAAAGCACAAACAAACTCGACGGTTTAAAAGAAATGAGTTGTCACTGTTTAAATTAAAATGTTTTAAATTGTGTTATCGTTCAGAAAACCGTAAAATATTTATTTTTTCACGCATTAATATGCGTATTATTTTACGTTTTTACGCATTTTCTTTACTTTTTGAAAGTGAATTTGTAATATTTGTTACAAAGCATTACTTTCGGTGGGAAATCAATTAAGCCACCGAAACGAAAATCGATTGCTTTATCTATACTTCAAGCACAAATGAAAAAGTCATCCCAAGCTTCAGAAACAAACGAGCTACGGGAAGCAAGACTGGCAAAAAAAAACCTTCGAGTACGCATCGCTCAAGCCCATTTCTATCATTACGAGAAACGAGAAGGAAGACTGGGAAACGTTCGGGCATGCACTGCTCAAGCTCATTCGTCTGAAACAAACGAGCAACAAGAAGGGAGACTAAAAATGTTCGAGTACGCACTGATCGATCCAGACGAAGTTGGAATAAAAAAAGCTTCATAAAGATCGGAATTAAGCAGTAGATCTGTATAAACAACAAATAAACAAACATTCGTATTTACTCATTAAATTCAATTCAAATTCTACGTTCAAACAGAATAATAATAATAATAATAATAAAAACTTTCTTTCCTTTAAGTAGCATGCAATGCATGCTGGGTAACAGCTAGTTTTATGTAAGAATGTTACTAGATTTGCATTTTGTGCCGCTTTGATTAATAAAGGTACGTGACTAAAAACCTTACATGTTTCTCTTATTTTTAAACATTCCGTTGCACAGAAAACCCCATCAAAGTAAGTGCAGCTGTAAAAAGGTCGTTTAAAATTGATACATATTTTAAAATTCAATATTAGGGTAGCCTTCCAAAAACATTTAGCCAATGTAAATTTTCACGTTGTGTCACGCGACGTTTTCGTACATTTTTCTTTTACCTGAATATTTCAGAACGCCTTGGTTGAATCTTTACATTCTGTTTCCCTCTGTTTTGAACGTTTGTGATAGATATTAACGCGGGACTGCTTTGAATGACCTCCTAGGAACAGATCTAAATATGGAAAACAGAAAACATTGACTAGCGATCTACGAGACAAAAAGGTTGAAAACATCTGGTCTAGACGCTGTGACCAGCTATGTTACTTTGTTAATTTGTGCGCGCATATTATAACATCTGATGACATGATGATAGTTGTAAAACACGTGATCTATTTCAGATTGTCTTCGAAGCGGTTATGCAGAAAGGAAATGACGGATACATTGCAATGGACGATGTCGTTGTAAAAGAAGGAAGTTGCCCACCCCCTGGTTCTTGTGACTTCGAAACTGATCTTTGTACTTGGCAGAACGCAGATACTGATGTCGACCTGGAGTGGGTGAGAAATAGTGGTTCGACTCCAACAGCTAACACAGGCCCAGATGTTGACCATACACTTGGGACAGAATTTGGTAAGTTTTTAAGTTTTTGTTGCGGTTGTTGTAAACGTGTGAGTACAGATTCTAGTATAACATCCACACAATTATTTTATAATACTCAGCACTATTCGTAGATTTTCAATCCAGGATAATTCATAACGTGGGAAAATGTGGGTACATATGAAGTTATCTAGTTAAATAATGTGCATCCAAAAAATTAAGATTCCAATAGCCGTTCACAGTTAAGATTGCAATGGCCGTTCACCGTTACGATTGCAATGGCCGTTCACAATTAAGATTGCAATGGCCGTTCACAGTTAAGATTACAATGGCCGTTCACCGTTAAATTACGCTGCACGAAAGCAGTTATTCACACCAAGGATGAATGTGGGATATGGTACCCACCAGTTACTATGCTTGACGAAGCTTTACCAAAACACGTAAATTAATCTTCTTCTCTCAAGAAACATTTAAAAGCTCCTTATTATGCACAGGAACATTCATCCGTTGTTAAGTGGTCTACAGTCTTCCCGAGAAGCCGCTTTACAGAACAAAAAAGAGGAGTTGACAAGCATCCTATAAAAGTCTTATTTTAAAAAACTTAAAGAAGTTCTCGCCTATATTTGCATGTAAAAGATTGCAGAATTTTAAAGTATTCTTTGCTAAGACAGCGAAAAATTCTCGAACCGCAGTGTTATAATCTGCCAACAGATGGCACAATCTAAAAAGACGCTCGTTGTGGGCGCAGAGTTGAGTAACAGCAGTAGTGCCGGAGGATGTTCAAGTGTGCAACTGTGATGCATTTCGTTCTCCTAGCATAAAGCCGGATGTACACCTTGCACAAACAAACAAACAAGAAATAGGGACAGTTCTGCATCTCCCGTTCTATTGAACCGATTGTCGAAGTTTAACTTACGTTTTCCATGTCTCGAAAGTGCGACTTAGGATATATATTAGATTTATATGTAGCAGTTGTACTAACATAGATATTTTGACACAAAATTAGACTTTTACTGAAATAACGTATCAATTGTTTTCCATATTTCGATTCTGTGACTCAATTTATATTAAATTTCGTAATTTTTGGTGTGAAATTTATAGAGAAATTAAAAAATTTATCTTGGCGCATTTTTTCAGTTTGCGCCAAGAATAACTGACCTGGCGAACTTCTTAATTTACAGTAATCTATTTTCCTCTCCTCTCCTTGTACACGAGCAAAAAAAAAAAAAAAAAAGGACCATCGTTCATACTTTCAAATAATTTTAACAAAGTACGTAAACCACATTTGGCTTTATTATCGCTTGTAACAAATATGCCAAATTTCAAAACTCGCCAATATGTAAATTCACGTATATCTTAGAAAAATATTTATAAAAAAAACTCTAAATTTTTGGAGGTATGCTTAGAAATACATCTACTTTAAAATGATGGTAACAATTTTAGAGGTTATAATTCAAAATTGTTTTTAAAAAAATTATAAAAATTATTCGTATATATGTGACTCTGTCGCACCTAACCTTCTCGGAACAATGCCATATAAGACTTAATTTGTATATTTTGTGAATTTGTACATTCAATTTGTACATTTTTACATTCAATACAATGGACCATGCCCATCGAAAAATAAGAAAGGTTTTCCTGGATGCACTATATATGCAAGCATACGTAGTGTGAAAATAGTAAATTTAAGGATAAGCATAAATAAACATATCTATTTTAGCTAATTCATGAAACTGAGCGTGAATAAACATATTTATTTTACCTAGTTTAATTTTTATTTAGAATAAATAATTGAGACTATTTTTAATATTCAAAAAAACGTTTTAAACTGTTTGTATAAAATATTGTTATGAAATGTACAGGCGCGTTGAGATGGCTTCCACGCAAAGCAGGTTTAGGGTTGCAATAAAGGGCAAGGAAAGGCAATGTTGCCACATTTGGCGATAAACCGCCCATTTGGCGACATTTGGCGGCAAAATTGGCGATATGCCATGGACGGATGGAGAACCTTCTGGAACGAATTCTTACCGGTTTAGCCCAGAATGTTCTCAAACACAAGCCGAAAGCTATATGAACCCTGCTGGTTCGGCAGTCAATCAGTGGGCCTTATCTGAAGTGCGAGATAGTTAATCTCGAGTTAGTCAGTCCGTGCGGATTCAATCGTGTTGACAGCCGGGCAGGGAGTGCCGAGTGGGTCGTCGAGTGCATCGAAGTGTATCGCGGTTAGTACATCGTCGAGAGAGTGTGTTAAGCTCCGGAAACGACTGAACCGAAGAGTCGGGAGCTGTGCTCTATGTGTCGTCGAGTGCATCGCGAATTGTAGCGTGGGGAGTCTCGAGAGTACGTGGAGTCCCGAGAACGACCGAGCAGAGTCGGGATCTGTACTCTGGTGCTTTGCAGTGAAGCTGTCTCCATCATTATAGCTTGATAACCTGGAGGCTGTGTCGCTGATTGTTCCAGCGTGTTTATAGTAGATCTTCGACGACTGTAAAAAGTGACTTTGTAGCTGTCCTGATTAATATTGGTAAATAAAGTGTGTTTCGATATTCCACCAAGTGCTGTCGTCGTTATTCACTCCAAATCCACACTAACCCCGTACGAACGTGAAGAGAAGAAAATAAAGTAACAATATAATTTGTAGATGTTACGTGAATGCACAGTTAGTTCCTCAGAGCTTAATGACTTTTTGTTTGCGAAAATAGTATTGTTACTGCTTTTGTATTTAGATAGCTAATTTTATTAGAATTATAATCAAAATTGCTGTATTCATCTGCGGAGTGTAGCGCTAGACAAATTTTAAGAGAAAGATATGCCGGAAAAGAAAGAATACAGGGGCACGTGCATTTAACATAGAGTAAATGGATATCTCGGTAATTTGTATTTCAATTGAATAAATTTAATTGACCACTATGTTAGCTGTAACAGCAGTTCCATCTTCTTATTGCTTTCCGGTAACTTCGAGAAACAGAAAGTAGTAGAAGTACTTTGCGACCGGTTGAAAAAGTCGGAGAGAGAGCATCTCAGTTCGGTTGCTTAGTTACTGTTGTTGCGAGTTGTTTAGTTCCACATAAACATATCAGACTAAGCTTTCTCTTTAGATGCGCATTATTTAACGTTCTTAGTAGTTTGAACTGCTGATTATAGTGCGTGATACTGTGAACGTGTGTATGAATATCTCTGGGGAAAATTCCAGTTCTGATATATTTGTCTTGATAATAATAAATTTTATTAAATTGTTATCATACTTGTGCATTCAATATATTAGGAACCTGTACGAACGCAACAATATGTTGTATGTATTAATTGTATCAAACGTTTTTCAGCTTTGATGTCTTGAGCTAGTGTATTAGTTTACTAGGATGTTAGGCCATTGTTTTTCATACAGGATATGCATGTTGAAACGATTTTTTATATGCCTGTATTTCTAAAAGTTAAATTTTTTTTAAATTTTGAAATCATACTATGTTAAATAAATAGATTTATTTACTTTATTTTTATAGGTTCTTATATATATTTGCAAGCCGACAATCCTGCTAAAAAGAGGAATCTTCTTGGAGTTTTAAATTCGGAATTTTTCAGTCTTTCAACCGAACGCTGTCTTTCCTTTTGGGCCCACATGAAAGGAAAAGAAATGGGATCGCTAATAGTCAACATAAGCTACTATGATGACAATCAAGTTAAGATGGAAAACAGAAGACTCTGGAGAACTGAGGGAAATCAGGGAGATAAGTGGTTCAACCGCCAAATCAATATTAACATCGATGGAATGGAAATGCTGGAAGAATATCAGCTTCATTTCATAGGTCTGACAAAAGGAGCACTGAGTGACATTGCCCTAGACGACATCGATGTGACAAATAAAAAATGCTACGACGTCCCAGACGATGCTTTCGACTGCAAAGATGGAACCCACGTCAATGCCAGCAAGGTCTGTGATTTCGAACTGGACTGCATCAATGGCGAAGATGAAGCTAATTGCGGAGATTGTGATTTCGAACACGGAGACTGCGGGTGGACTGATAAAGGTTCATATTATTATAATAAATGGATCAGAACCCAAGGAGTAGAGGGCACCAAAAAGAATGGACCAGGCTACGATCATACCTTTAACTCAACCACAGGCTATTTTATGATGATAAATTCTCAGTACTATTCTTGGCAAACTTCTGTGCTTCAAAGCTCGGATGTTCAATTCAAAAAATCTTATGTGTCATGTTTAATGATCTTCTACTACATCAACGATGCTTATGTTTCTGGATCACTTAGAATCAAAAAACGTCTGGGCAGCTGGACTCTGGCAACAGTTTGGGAGACTACGTACAGCAACAATGGAATCTGGCAGCAGGCAAGGGCTTATTTAGGAACAACTGAAAGGCCATTTTACGTAGAATTTCAGCATCAGAGCAATGGCAGAATGTCTTATATAGCAATTGACGATATAACATTCGAAAGCTGTGGAATGCCTGCTAAACGAGAAAAATGTGCATTAAATGAATTCGAGTGTGCAAATGGTAGATGTGTTTCACGATATTACGTATGCGATTTGACTGATGACTGCGGAGACAGATCAGACGAAAATGTGACATTGTGCTCCAAATACCCAAAACCCTGCACATTTGAGATGTTTGGTGACTGTGACTGGAAAACCAGAGGAAAATCAAAGTTTGTAACCATTTCTATTCCAGTATATTACATTATTATACAAACCTATAAAATTTTTATGAGAATTTACATAAGTCTCCTAAAATTACCGTAACGTGTTAAAGTTGACATCGCAACAACAGTTCTAAATTTTTTTATTCTTCTAAATTAATGATCTAATTATCTTTGATTCTGCTTTGCAAGAATACATACGAACATGTCGGAAATAAAAGAAATAACAACAGGCATGTAAAGCAACAATATTTCAATATTTTTCACTATTACACTAACTGGTGGCAATTACTAATGAAAATTTTAAAAACATGATATATTTTTGTATCTTTCTTTAAATTATTCTTCCTGCTTATTCCTTTTTAATTCTTTGAAGGGAAATAAATTTTAGTGTATATTTTATCTCCCGATCACATGAGCGGTAAATAAATACAAGGTAATCAAAAACTTTCTTACCGTTTTTGACGTCCCATTTCATGAAGAGCTCACAGAAGAGATGCGAAATAACCCACGTGACAGAAAAGCAATGGATATTTAGTGCAGCCGTTGGTCTGCTTAATGCAGGTACACTGTACGCCAGTGCTTAAATTGCGCCGGAGCCCACCGGAGCCCGGCTCCGGTGCTTCTCAATTTTTAAGATAAATTACAATTTTAGCCGGAGCGTACCGGAGCCCTAAATAAGATGAGCTCCGGTACTTCTTTTTGTAAAACTGAATCACAATTTAAAGGGAGCAAAATTTAGAATTCCTAACGTTTTAGTTTAACAATAAGCAGACCTTGCAATACTCTCTTTCCCTAGAAATACGTGAGAACATGAGGCGTTCAAGTAAAGTCCCCTCACTCGCATGCGGAATTATATTAAGTATATTTAATTTTTGTGATGATAAAAGAATTCCCCCCTACGATCAGAACTTAAATTGGGTCGGAACTCGCCGAATTTCGGTTCCCGTGCTTTTTAGTTTTTGTAATAAATTATAATTCTAGCCGGAACGCACCAGAGTCCTGAATAAGAAGGCTGCGGCACTTCTTTTATGTAGTTAAATAACAATTTCAGTAGAAATTTTATCTCGAAAATTTTATTTTAAGAATAAAATTATATTAAAAATCGCGTATTAAATTTCAATTTATCTCTTTACATTTTATTTAATTTTAATTAGTTAATTACTTCAATCTTTAATTACTTCAATAAATAATAATTAATTATCTAGTAATTATCAATTAAATTATAATTAATTAATTATATAATAATTGTTGATTAAATAACAATTTCTACACATTAATTAAATAGCTATTAATTAATTTGATAATACCGGTTCCACAGTCCTGGTATCAAAGGGAATATCGATGCAACTCCTTTTCGATTGTTTCCTACGTGATTTTAACCTGGGCTTGTCAGTAGCCGCATCAAGTTATCGAATATGTCAGCATTTGGTGAGGATACCGCGAACGAACTCACGTTGGCTCAGATAATTGGCCAGGTACTAGTTCCATAAGTTCAGGTCTGAAAATGCGTATGTTTGCGATGAACCCCGCAGTGGGCGATCACAGGTACTGAATGATGAAGCCCTAACGGTGGTCATAAAAGAGGATGGAAGTGACACGTATGGTGATCTTGACGAACGCTTCCAGGTTTACGAAGAAAGAGCCAGACTCCGGCGCAGCATAGGAAATATGCATAAAATGAACAAAGTGGGTATCCCACATATTCTCAGCAGCCAACACCAAACAACGAATGACAGCTTGTTTGTCGTTGTTGTTTCGGCACCGCAACACATAATTATGAAATTATCCTTTTCTTTCTTCTTTGTGCCTATGAGGCGGCTGGTTCACATGAAAAAATTATGGAAATATCCGGTCCCTAACCATCAAGCTGCCTATTATCAATCTCTTGAGCACACGCTGACCTGCTCTGATACAACGACATCTTTACGGTTCATTGCCAGGCAAAGACACGTTGTCACTACTGAGGAGGATCATTGTGGAACCTTTGTGTTAACTGATAACTAAGATCTGCTCTGTCCCCATACTGGAAACCGATTGCAGCTTGGCGGAGAACCCACTTGCCGCTTTCCCTTCGGGAAATGTTGCCGCTTCTCCACCGCCTCGAGGTGTACCGTCCAAGGATTGGGCACCGGAAAATACCCCATTTCGTCGAGGGTAACGAAACGTAGGTCCAGTTTAATATTCTCAAGCGTAAAAAAAAACCCAGAGCCTCACACCTCAAGACCATTTATGCATCTACTCAGGGTTATCCTCTGTGTTTTGTGGGCCAATCGCCATGTTGTGCGTTATGTGCTACAACTTCCAAGCCACATCATCACTAAGGACCGTGCTCACAGCAACTGCAGCGGCTGCAAGATGCATTGCAGTAGAAGAATCCAGTGTTGGCTAGTGGCAAGGATTGCTCTGCTTTCTCGACAATGCAATACCACACCTGGCAAGGACGACCAGAGATACCATACAGGGAATTTGGCTAGGATACACTGTGCTCGTCGGTCTAGCGCCCACCCAAATTACCATCTGTTCCATTTCCTGGGCTACCACCTTCATGTGAAACGGGCTACTTTGCGTCTAAGGTGCCGAGTTCTATGGCCAGTACATTGCATAACTGCAAGAACGTTGGCAAAGACTACTGGATGTTGAAAGAGATTAGTGCTTTTCGTCTATCTGTTTCTCACGATGACGAATGAAAAAAAAATGTTTTGGGTTACCTTATATTAAGCGCACAAAGCAGTTATTTTATTTTATATCTACCATTTAATCTCCACAGCATTTTCATAAACGTTTCAGTTGTTTAAGATTCTTCCCAAATTTTAAATTTTAAATTAATTTAGATTTGTACATAAATGTAACTTGTCTCTATCAGTTTTCTCAAGGGAAAAAAGCATTTTCAATAATCAATTCAGATGAATCTCCAGTATAAATTAAATGTTCGTTCGTGTATGCTGATTGATATTCTGAAGCTGTGTTGAATATATTATTATATACGTTGAGAAATTATAAGATTTTAAAATAGGAAATCAGCAGATGTGAATTCCTGTCAATATTCACAAATCATTAGAAATTTTAAGCGATATAGAAAAAACGTATTTATTGCTAACTGTATCGAATTTATATATATATATTTACAGCATAAATTATGGTCATTTTTTAAATTTATAGATAAAAATATATCGTTAACATTTCAGATCACAAGTTTGTAATTTTTAGTAATAATATAAAATTTCATATTACTGAAAATATATAGAGATGAAAAAATTTCACTTAAAGAATTTCCAAAATCTAAGTCTTTTTCGCAGTACATTTTTGAGTTCAAGTATTTAATATTTCAAGAATAGGGTCTGTGAAAAGCATAAATTTGTAATTAGTAAAATTATTATCAAGATGAAGACTGCTGTTTCTAAAAACGTTTTTCATTTATTTTTAGGAATAAATGGAGTGTTCAGAGGTCTTCGTCTTCAAGAGGCACGAGCATTTCTGGGCCTCTTAATGACCACACCAAAGGAACTGATCAAAGTGGAAGTTATCTAAAACTGATGCGTTATTATACAGATAACAAATATCCCGAAGCCTATTACCAGAGTCCTAATTATCAGATAATGAGAGGATCATATTGTTCTCTAAGGTTCTACTATTATATGCATAACACACCTTTGGCAAGTTTGAAAGTGTACACCGAAACAGAAAAGGACGGTTGGAACTGGCAACTGCGAATGGCAGGATTCGGTTCATATGGGCAGAAATGGAATAGAGCAATTATCAACATCCTGTACTCTCAGCCTTTTCATTTCATTATAGAGGGCAAGCTTGGAAATTCAACAACGTCTATACTCGCTATTGATGATATATCAGTCAGTAGCGGTTGCCAAAATTACACCGCAGATCTTCCCACACCACAGTCGACACCACTGCCAACCGCATCAGTGTGCACAGTGAACCAGTACAAGTGCAGATCTGGTGTTCCCCTATGCATACCATTAGAAAAGCGATGTGATTTCACTCTCGATTGTTCGGATGGTTCCGATGAAGAAACCTGCGGTCCTTGTTCATTCGAAAAAGACTTTTGTGAATGGAAAAATGAAAGTCCAGGAAAGTTTAGTTGGAGCAGAAAGAACGCCTCCAATGCTAATGGCTATGGTCCTTCAACAGATCATAAAAATTCTTCTGAAGGTTGGTATGCTTATGTTCAACAAGGCTTCGGATACTATAGCGACCCAGCTATCTTACAAAGTCCTCCACTCCCGCCAACATCCAGTCATTGTGTTATGGCCTTCTGGTTGTATGTAAGCTCAACGGCTGGACAGTTTTACGTCGAGCATAAACCACCCGGTTATTATTATTATACGTACAGAAAAATATGGACTTTACCTAAGCAAACTGAAACGAACTGGCAACTTGTTGAAGTTAGGATTCCCAAAGCAGAAACTAAAGGAACTATTGTCAGATTTCATAGTGTACCGAACTGGTATTGGTTCACTCAGGATAAGAATGTTGCGATATCGGAAGTGAAATTTATGAACTGTAACCCAAAAGAACTCTTGGTTGACTGCAATTTCGATGATGATTCCTTTCATGACGGATTGTGCTTTTGGACCCAGAACCCACTGGCCACTCTGAAGTGGAAACGTGGTAATGGATCAACAGAACTCAATTTTACAGGTCCAACATCTGATCACACAACTGGTCATGGATATTATATGTACATTGATCCCCGAGATTCATACGCTTATCAAACAGCACGGCTGACAAGCCCCACCCTCCCTATGAATATTCCTGAAGGAAGTTGTTTTTCATTCTGGTATCATATGTATGGTCAACATATCGGCACATTGGGTATTGAAACATCTTGGTATTGGGCCTATCAAAGAAAATGGACAAGAATGAGATCTCAGGGGAATAAATGGATTTATGGGGAAGTGGATATTAGTAGTTATCGAGATTACACCATAAATATCGTTGCATACAGCTCTTGGGGTAAAGAAAACAATATCGCTATAGATGATTTGAAAATGGTGGACGGAGCTTGCACGCAAACAGGTATTTGCGATTTCGAAAAAGATTTTTGTGGCTGGAACGATACGTTCGAAGGCAGCACTGGATGGATACGTTCACAGGGTAGCGGAAACTGGAGTGTTGAAAAACCTCGAATTGATCATACTACTAATTCTGAATTTGGATATTTCATATACCTTCCATATAAGCGTAGAGGAGACTTGGCTAGACTGGAAAGTCCTATGTACAAAAACTATGGTGATATGTGTGTCAAATTCTGGTATAATATGTTTGGTAACGACATTGGTACGTTAGCTGTATATCAGAGGACAAATCAGGAGACTAGACTGGAAAATTTAAAAAGTTTGTGGAAGAGATCTGGTGATCATGCTGGCGGATGGAAACTTGGACGCGCAACTATGAAATCTCTTCCTGCATTTTATGTAGCATTTGAAGCTGAAACAGGAGTAGGGCCTTTAGGGTACATTGCACTTGATGACATACATCTCATGCACGGAGTGTGCTCTGATCCTGCATCTTGTACTTTCGAAATAGACACCTGTGGTTGGAGCAATTCTGATGCTTTCGCTGACGTCGACTGGATAAGGCGAACAGGTGGGGATCAAAATATGGGTCTTGGGCCTTCAGCAGATCATAGTACGGGAACTGTTAATGGACATTACATGTATGCATATTTGACAGGATTATCTGCTCAGTCTCAGTCAATGCTTATTAGTGAAGATTTGGAAATCTATCCTAATTATTGCTTTTCATTCTGGTTGAGCATGTTCAATGCTGTGAACTCCTCTTTATTAGTCCAACAAGTTTTGGTAGGAATGGGCTGGGAAGGTATTGCCGAAATAAAATCTTCTGACGTAGACATGAATAAATGGATCCAAATAGAAACAAATATTACTGCAGAGGATGCTGGAGACTTTTTTCAACTTGGGCTGACAGCGCTCACGGCAATTGATCAAGATAATATCACTTCAAGGGGAATTGCTATTGACGATGTATCCCTGAGGCAACAAAAGTGTGGGCAACAAATAATCACCACACCGACACCTACGACTACTACCACAGCTTATCCTCCAACTAAATTCGACTGTGACTTTGAAACTGATTTTTGCCTGTGGGAAAATAATGCCGATTCAACTGCAAAGTGGGAGATTAAAGAGGGTCACTCTGACATTAAACTGACACGACCCAGGACAGATCATACGACACTATCGACTAGTGGACATTATATCACATTAAATGATGCTTCAAAGAACTATTATTGGTCCAAAGCTACACTCACTAGCAAAGATGGATTTGATCCCGATGAGGACGGCATATGCTTTAAATTCTGGTATCACATGTACGGCAATCAACCAGGTACATTGTACTTAAAAGTCCAAAACTTCCATGACGAAGACAAACTTGAAACCGTTTGGACAAAACCAAAGTCTCAAGGACCCACGTGGAAATATGAACAAATACATATTGCCAGAGATTATTATTTTAAGTTAGTATTCGAAGGTGATGGAACAAGATATGGAGACATTTCTTTAGATGACTTCTCAGTGAACTTTAAATCATGTCCTCCAAGAGATTTTTGTGATGTAGAACAAGACTACTGCGGATTCTCCCACGATCCAGAAGGAGACTTTCAATGGCGTAGAGGAAATGGATCTCGCACAAATGGTCCGGATATTGATCATACCTATGGTACTCTGTTTGGAAATTATTTCTATGTAGACACAAGCGTGCCCACTTCTAAAGGAAAAGTAGCCAGACTCGAATCCCAGCCTTACCGACCAGAAAAGAAATGCATGCAGTTCTGGTATTATCTGTATGGGGAAAATGTCGGTACATTAGAAGTCTTAGTACGAAATGGTGACAATAAAGATAACATGTGGAAGGAATCTGGAGATAACACAGAATTTTGGCATGGTTCTGAGGTGCTCTTGAAAAAAGAACTTGCAACACCATACAGTTACATATTCCAGGTGAGTACAAGATCTGTAAATTAAGCATGCAATTATTGGTAACTTTTTGCTTTCATGAAAACAGAATACACGATGAAAGTGTGATACTGATCACCAATATGACTATGATCCTTACTTTTATTTTGATAAATGAAGTGTCGAGGAACCTAAAGAACTGTTAAGCGAGTTATCGCTTAGTTCAAAGGACAGAGATCGTAAACTCAAGAAGGGTTAATTACCCTTTATTCACTCAAAATAAGATTAAGAGTCGGCCCTTTTCTTCAGGCTTACAGCAAAGCCTCCACTTAGGCTTACACTCAAAAGTAAGAGATAAGAACTAACTATATCCAAAATAAGATATTTAGCCGAAGGTAACGCAGTTCTAATGTAATTGGCCCGTAAACTATCCGGCGAACTATCAAAAGGCGCGTAATTATACGGTCGAGCGTAATAGCAGCTTAGAGATATATATCCCAAAGGCAAACGCGTGCTACTCAGGATTCATAACCCTCTCTCACGAAGTCAGTTGATTTTTCCGCAATACTATCTCTTCCTCGTTTGCATTCGATGCGTTTCTAAAAACTCATTTTGGTAGGGAGTTGTAATCTGAAATGAGGCAAAATAGGAAAGGTCCACTAAATTACAATAACTGTTATAAAATTAAAATATACTTTACATGACAATAAAATACTTGAATATGGAGGATGTTCGAGTTCATAGCCTTTACATTATTTTTCTCATTAGTTTTAATTTTTATGCAATATATAATATGCGTACGAACGATTTCGAACAGGTCGTTCTTAATTTAAACCTTTCTTTAAGAAGAATAATTAAATTTCTATTTTAATTATATATTTTTGAATCATTAAGATTGAAAAACCCAATTTTAAACTAAAACTGATTCCAAAAATAATAGTTTTTTTCCGAAATCCAGTTCTTCTAATCACTTCGTAAATGAAATAAAAATCATGCTTACTTTTAACCTATCTTATATTAAAATAAAATATTAGATAAAAATGAAATTTCATGTTTTTCCTCTGATATTTTGGAACATTTTTAAAAATATGATTTTTCTTCCGTTTACCCACCTGCAGTAGAATAAGGTAATGTTACAGAAAGATTTAATGTTTGGTTGCTTTTTAAGAATTAGTGAAGAGATAGGAAGATTAAGTGAAATGACATATTTTCCACAACTTTCAGTCTAAAATTTCAATATTCATAACATTTGATAAGTTGACATCCAACATATATATATATATGTTGATTTCTATTTTTTAAATTATAACAGCCAGCAATCTAAAGCATATTAAGATACTAAGCGTTTAGAAAATAAGCAAGTTTGTTGTTGCTCTTGTGGCTAATCTAACTTGCCTGACCTAATCAGAACAAGCCCACGAAAGTTTTCGTGGCAAGGAGTACAAGGTTGCGTTTGTTTTGGCAAAAGCCTTAAACGCCCCTCTCTTTCCCTACCAACAAACCACACGAGAGTACTTTTGCTTCTCCGTATATTTATAGTGTCCCCATGCTGCAAAAACACTTTCCTCTTTTAAAGTGGCTTCAATTTAAAGGACCTGCTACGCTTGCACGCATAAAAAATACAAGATTCATACAGTACGTAAATAACGAATTAGTTAAGGGTATTTTGAACGGTCAGTCTCGTGACCTAAACGCTCAGTAATTTGCGATTATTATGCTATTTCAAGAGTTAGAGTTGCTGAAAATAATTAGAGCTGTGGGAAGTTTGCCTTTAATTTTTTTTACACTTAAAATAGCTTTTAGGGGAAATGCGATGATATTATTTATAAAAATAACTAATGTAAAAAATTGTTTCTTTCGCAAATGATTCGCTTTTTTTGTGAGATGTCATAAGTGAATGCTTCCCAAATATTTAACATCGGAACCCATATGCACAGAAATATTTCCTCACAGGAGGAGAGTGAAATGGAAATGTAGAAAGAAAATATTTAAATTATGAAACAATAATAAATTAATTTACTTAATTCTTAACATTTACTGATAATCATACATTGGTAATTAGCGATAAATAGATATATGATAAATCAATAATATTATACGATGTGTGACACTAAAATAAACGAGACTAAGTGTGGGAAAACAGAATTTAGTTGGCAACAACTATTTTGATGACGTCATGCCACACACCTCCTCTATCCATGCGGCCAGTTTCGACTTAACCGACCACGCCAGTGGGGAGTACTGCGTCATTGAGTGAACAGGTGCAACTGCACTCTGCTGGAAAAATGTCTAATGTAAAAACGGAACAGCGAATCAACATCAAGTTTCTTAAGAACTCAACAACGGAGGAAACATTTCAAATGTTAACCGAGGCTTATGGAGATGAAACTTTGTCTCATGCACATGTGTTTGAATGGCATAAGCGGTTTCCAGGGAGAAGGGACAGTGTGGAAGATGATGAACGTGCTGGTCGCTCCTTTATGCGCCCAGCACGTTCATCAGGATTGAATGGGTTCCCAGTTGTCAGACTGTTAATAAGCACTACTACATTGAAGTACAGAAGAATGCACGTGCTCACATGGTCCTATCTGTCACGCAGTTTCTAACAAGCAAAAACATCACTGTGATGGGCATCCTCCTTATTCATCTGATTTAGCTCCATGCAACTTATTTCCTAAAGTTAAATCTTACTTTAGGGAATCCATTTTACCCCAGCTGAAGAGGTTCAGGAAAAATCAGAAAATCTCCTGAAGGGTCTTCCAAAAACTCGTTCCAGAAATGTTGCCAGCAAGGGCAGCACCGAATGTAGAAGTATGTGAATGCTGAAGGGAACTGCTTTGAAGGTGATAATGTCACGGAGAATTCTGTAATTACAATGATTTATTGGACCAGTCTCTTTTTTCTTGTATCACACCTTGTATAATAGTAATATTGTGTAACAAATATTCCGCGATGCATTTTAATTCTTTTGCGACATTGGATAACACTGCAAAGAGAAATATTTCATAATAGTTAATAGACTTAAATAAATATATGTTATAATTGCGACAAATATTAACAAATATTTCGCGATGCACTTAAAATTCTGTTGCGACTTTGGATAACACGACAGAGATAAATATTTCATGATTAGTGACAGGTTTGTAAAATGACGAATTCCTTTTTAACTGCGGCACGATATAATAATGGGTGTTTCCGCACAATATAATAATAGGGTATATAAGGTTTGTAAGGATTATGTTAATTTTATCAACAGTTAAATTTTAAGTTAAAGTTCCTGTCCTGTCAAATTCTTAACTTCAACTTACCACTTCCGGCCAGAACGTAGTTTTGGAATCTTGCTGAATATTTAATGAGCAGAAGTGGTATTTAAACCACGAAATTACTTAGTGAGTCAGAGAGAGAAACAGTTTCTGATTTACGCGCGTCTGCCTTTTTGGCCACTCTCTCTCTCTCAAAGCTGTTATTACGCTCGGCCGTACTCAGGCCCTTGCTAATCTTCGTAGTCAAATAAGTTAAGGGGAGAACTCGATTTGAACCTTGATAGCTTCGGCTATACTTCTTTAGTTAATCTTAGTTTTAGTTTAATTCTTAGTCTTTTAAATTCAAGTTCAAGTGCGGGCTTTGCTTGTACACTCCCAGGCGGTGTTTTGTTAAATCTTATTGGAATAATAAAGGGTTAGTTACCCTTTTATCTTGTTGTTTCTTGTCACCGAACTCAAGCGATTATTCGCTTATCAGTTCTTAGATTCTTCACTTCCAACATTAACTTAGAATTCCGAAGTGAGGAACTCTACAGGTTAATTAAAGGTATATTTGTTATATTTACTATTAATAAAATGTTAAATGTTTCCGAATACTACATTTGTTAGATATCCCTAGCTAAAACGCTTATCTTAATTTTTCCATTCGTTTACGATTGCTTATATCTAAACGCTTGGTAAAGTAGCGTTCATAACACGCTTTATAAAATAAAAAACATACAGTAATACAGTAATAAACTAACGTGCAAAGCAAAGCAATGATAGGTTCAAAGAAACCAAAAGAAAATTTTATGATGTAACACTTTTTTCTTTGAAATAATTGCCACTTTGTTTCTTTTCATTTAGGTCCTTGTTTATAAAATAGTGTCACATTAGCTGTCGCTGACGTTAGATTATTAGTGAGAAACTTAATAGCTGATTGATTTGTATTTAAAATATTCTTGTAATACATAATTAAATGGTTTTATTTTCCTCGATGTCAGGTAACTGCTGGATCGGCTTTCAGGAATGGTACAATAGCTATTGATGACATTGATGTGAGAGCAGACTGTCCACCACTGGGTTCCTGCAATTTTGAAGACGGAATGTGCCTCTGGACAAACGACCCGTACGCCGATCTTCAGTGGCTTCGAGGCTCAGGAGAATTAACCGATTCTGCTCCTGCATATGATACCACCTTAGGCACCCAATTCGGTGTTTATTTATATGTACATGTTGTCAATCAATGGAAGTCAGATCCTTCACCGGCTCGCCTATTCTCCCCTTACTTCCATTCTGACTCTAAGCGTTGCATTAATTACTGGAACTTCCGAAACGGAACTGATTTCAATGGAGAACTAACGATCTCTGTGTATGATGATGACACCGACGAAATGACCATCGTTCAGCATTTCAGTCAAGAAAAACTCGGTCGATGGAACAACGAACAGGTACAGATAGACAGAGACGAGGATGAAGGAAAATACCAGATCATATTCGAAGCAGATTTGACATCATCGTGAGTATCTTTTTAAATCAGTCTGTACAGAGTCACATACATGGAATACCATCGTATATTATTGCCCTAATAAACAGAAACACACTAAACTACTTGACGTTTAGCTAATTATGATACACCTAACACTCCGACCACTGATCTCTTTATTCCTAACTTACTCACGCACTGTTAGCACAGGCCTTGTTAGTGATACATTCAATACAAACAGATTTGCTTACTGCAGAGCCTTTTCGTGAATTTCTTAGACAATTATGTTTTGCTATGAAAAAATATCGTTTGATTCGAAATTTTCTTTTTAACTGTAACTATATTTTTAAAATTCGAAATTATAGTCTTGGCAACTTGGCTGTTTTGTTTTCATGCAAAATGGCACTTTTAAAGAAGCAATGGACGGAAGGTTATGTTTGTGCTCTTTACGAAGCAAATTATTCGTATCTTGTTATTAACAAACGCTGTAAAAGCCATGATTTTTCGATATCTTTGCATCGCTATCTTTCCAAGCCAGAATCGATATCTTTTTTATATGTTTGCAAGCTAAAATAGGTAATATTGTCAACAAGAAATGGGGAAAAAACGTCAATGTTCAACTACAAGTAGAAAAATTGTTCCAAATATATGTCCAAAGAAGAAGTGGAATATTTCGAATGTTGAAAAAAAAAATCCCACTAAGTCAAAGAATAGTGGCAAAAGCAAATTCATTAAAATGCTCAGTTTCAACTGTAAATAAAATTATAATTCGGATTTGAATCTTAAAAAGGCGTAAAATCATAATGTCTACCGTGTTCCTTTACGACATACTGGCGAACGTAGAACGCGCTGCAGAATTATTTATGAGAAACATTTTCCGGACAAAAGTAGAAAATTAGATAAAATAGATAAATAGAAAATTGTCACAATAGAAGAAAGATTAATGGACTAACATGACTGCAATAAAAAGAGATCCAATGATTATCATCAAAGAACAGAAAAAAGGTTTAAACATGGTTAAGAATCTGAAGGAAGTTTTTCTAAGGGATTTATGATTGTTGTTGGTTTCTCATATAACGGGAAATTAGTAAAGAGAGTGGCGTCAAATGTTAAGATCAACTCCACATATTATCAGGAACATATTTTACATCCAGTTTTCAAATATGAAATAACTTCTGTTTATCCACAATGCCGTCAATCAGTAGAACTGCATCTGGACAAAGCAAGCAGTAAATCTACTATTAATTTCTAGGAAACAAGTAATATAAAAAAGAAATTTTGAAGTCAATTCCTACTTAGATCAACTAAGAAAAAAATTTTAAAATACAAAAAAAAAAAAAAAAAAAAAAAAAAAAAAAAAAAAAAATTAAAAAACTTTAAGAAAATTTTAATTTGTGAAAAAAAACTTTATTAACATCAAGTGTCATCCACTACAAGTTTGAAAAAATGTATTTGAACTTGAGTGGATGAATAAAAGTGTTTTATTAACGCTTGAAATTTAATTAATTTAATAAAAAATTTTTAGTCAACTCCTACTTAGGTCAACAAAAAAATTTTAAAATTACAAAAAAAATTTAAATTAAAAATTTTAAAAAATTTTAATTTTAAGATATATTTACATATTAAAAATTTTTACAAATATATTGCATATTAAAAGTGTTTAATATGTGAATAAACTGTATTATCATCATGTATCATCCACTAAATTTAAAAAAATGTGTTTGAACTTGAGTGGATGAATAAAAAGTATTTGGACTTGAGTGGATGAATAAAAGGTTTTTGAACTTGAGTGGATAAATATAAATACTTTATTGAAGATTGAAAATTAATTAATTAAATAAAAAAATTTAAAGTCAATTCCTACTTAGGTCAACAAAGAAAAATTTTTAAAAATAGAAATAAATAAATAAATAAATAAATGGCATAAAATACCTCTTCCAATACTACAAGAGATTTTACTGTCTTCAAAATGACGGTATAGAAAGTTAGTGAAGAATAGGGTTATCAAATAGAACATTTAAAACGCGAAAATTTGAAGCAAAGTATTTGTGCAGATATAAAGAACATTGTCTAAAAATGTGAGACTGTCTCTGTATACTTCAATGGGTTTTAGTTTTCCAGCATCAGTGTTAATCTGGACCAAACACAAAAATATAGAATGATTAAAATAGTAACCGGTAGTGAAACAGAAGGAAATGTTTATGTATAAAATACACAAGTAATTGATCCGAGAGCAATACACAGATTGTTGCTGCAAGTTATAGTAATCCTATTCTTGAATGAATCTTATGCATTACCGTTTAGAAAGCAGCAGTGTCGATGTGTGGACGTAATCAAGATTGAAGGATGTTCTCGAGACACTCTTGATTATTCATCAGAACGTAATTTATGAATGAATGGTTTTTACGGTCGTTTTTTAGCTTATTTTGTAACTTAATTTTTATTATATAATGAGGAAAAATTTCACAGAGAATATATTCCCAATTCCAAAATATAGCGGTCCAACAAGCCAAATACGTTTTTTAAGTCAAAATCAGGCATGGTCAAACTTCAGCTTTTAATCATTAATAATCATTTGATTTTTCAAATTGCAGTTTGCGTAGAATAATTTCGAAATAATTTCAAAATGTTTGTTGAGCTTTAATAATTATGATGTATTAAACAAAAGCCTAATTACATTGAAATTTTTGGTGCTGTTTTCCCAACTGAGGGTGGCTATCGGAACAGCCGAAAAGGTACTTACTATTATATTATTATGATTATAAGGGGCACAGCCCCGATCCTTCTTGCTGGCACAAGCCGGCCGTATGATCAAGAAGCCAGAGACTAGCCAGAGAAAAACACAAATATAAGAAGGAAAAGAAATAAAGCCTCCAGTGTAACATGTATAAACTTCTGGGAGAGGTTTCAACACTAATGTTTCTAAATATGAAGTTAGCTGTCTAGAATATTTTTGTATAAAAGCGTTACATTGAAAGGAACATTTCGATAATTTATTAATCTCTTATTGCAGACAATTATCTTTCAGTTCGAAAACATCGTATTCGAAACCATTTCGTATTTCAATGTAAACAGCTTCAGAAACCTATTAGCAGAGTTAATCATTAAAACACACCGTGAGGTTATAATGGAATTTATACTGTAAAAGAATTTTCTGATGTCAGCATTTATACCTCAATTATTAGTATATTTCTAAAACTTGATGATTTAATCAGTATTTGCTTCATCTTAAATTGTGATAGCTTTAACAAATGTGTAGTTACATATGCTTACATTTAAATGTTTTTTTTTCTTTTTTTTCAGTTTAAACCATTTCATTGCCATTGACGACATTTCTGTGACTGAGGGTGAATGTACTCCCATCGAAGATAGGCCGCCTGACTTTACTTGCGACGAAGGCAAAACGCATATACCGGACGAACTGCGCTGCGACTTTTATGTGGACTGTAAAGATGGAACAGACGAAAGCGAGTGTGGAACTCACTGTGATTTTGAGGACGAAGGGCCAGATCCTTGCAATTGGAAAACTACTACCACACGTCAAACTTCCTGGAACCAGACCTTAGCCAATGGAACAGCTGAACCCGATCGAGATCATACTAGAAACAATCCAGGCGAAGGGCATTATATGAAAATTAACTACCTACAACGTTATGTATATAGGGGTCAAGCAGACCTCATCAGCCCTGCTCTCACTGAGTCCTCACCTTCTTGTAGAATGTTCTTTTGGTACTACTTCTATGCAGTTTATCCCACCGAAGCCTTATCTGTCTTGTATGATTCTGGTCACGAAAGCACCAGAACTACACTGTTCCGTTTAGAAGGAGATCAAGAAAGGGCCTGGAAACGAGCAGAAGTGGTTTTGGGTAGGATCCGAAAACGATTCCGTGTTATAATCAACGGAGATAAGAAATCCATGACGGGTGTTATTGCCATTGATGATGTGGATTTCGAGAATTGTGACATCCCAAGAAAACTAGATAAACCTAAAAAATGCGGAGATGACGAATTTCAGTGTGATAATGGAAACTGCATATCCAACAACTTAGTATGTGATTTTGTTGATGACTGTGGGGATTACAGCGACGAAAATCGGCTAAAAGCTAGTTGCGATTTGTACCCTGGACGTTGCGATTTTGACGATAATAATTATTGTAGCTGGAAACGAACTTTAGAAAGTGATTACACTTGGCAAATTAGCAAGACAAACCTCGAAAGTTATTTTTATAAGGTTTTTGTTCCCAGAGATCATACTCGGAATTCCAATAGTGGAAAATTCTTATATTGCAGCAACAGATATCGCACCAAAGGTAATGTAGCTCGTCTGTCGTCGCACGTTATGGAAGTCAAAGATAGTACTTGCAAATTAAGATTCTTTTACACATACGGAACTCAATTTAATTCCACCAAATATGACCAAATGAGAGATATCGGCAGTTTGACAGTTTACATTAAGAGAGACGAAGTTAACGTATGGAAATCCATATTTGTTGTTCGAGAACCGCCAGGCCAATATTATGAAAAGGTTATTTTGCCTCTGAGTGATATTAAAGATCCATTTGAGGTTGTCATCGAAGGTAAAGTCGGCAGCACATCCAAGGAAGGAGGATGGGCTGTTGACGATGTATCTTTCACAACAGGTTGTATTGAATCCGAAAAAATATTACCCATCACTCTCATTGAACCTACTCCGACGCCAGTTGATAGCTGCCCCGAGGGTCAGTTCCTCTGTGCCTCTGATAAAATCTGCATAAATATAGAAAAAGTGTGCGATTTTGTACACGATTGTTCCGACTCGTCAGATGAAGCTAAATGTGGAACGTGTACATTCGATGATGACAGTAATCCAACTTGTGGCTGGAACGACGCAAAAGGCGGGAAGTGGAGAAGAACAACAGGCGCACGGGGTAAAAACGGACTTACTTCTGATGTTAGTGGATCTGGATATTACATGTACGTCACAAAAGAAAGAACAGGAGCAGTCAGTAGTCAGGCGGTGCTTCGATCCGTTGATTTCCATCAAGCTTCGGCAACTTGTGAAGTAAAGTTCTACTACTTCATGTCTGGCATCGTAAACAGTGATGCTTCTTTGAAATTGCAGCTGCAAACAAACAAAAAGCAAGATGTCATGCTATGGAGAGAAATTTCTGATCAAGGTCGGAATTGGCAGAATGCCACGGTTAGCATAGGACGAAGAGAAGCTGGATGGCACTTGGATTTCATAGCAACTCATGTTTTGAGTGAAGGAGATATTGCCTTAGATGAAATCGAATTTATGACATGCGCGCCTCCAGAAAAAAGAAAATGCGCTAATAAAGAAGAATTTGCTTGTTTAAGTGGAGAGTGTATCAACAAAACATTGGTGTGCGATTTCAGCTTAGACTGTCCCGATGGTTCTGATGAAACTAATTGTTCTGATTATCTAGAAAGATGTGATTTTGAAAAAGGTAATATGTGTGGCTGGACTCAAGATGAAAAGGCTACCCAAAAATGGGTATTGACATCAGGAAGAAAACTTGCCGAAGGCACTGGTCCTGATAGAGATCATACCATTGGTGACGAAACAGGGCATTTCCTAATGGCGAATAGGGGAACATCATATTATTACTATTATAGTGCCCGAATAACAAGCACCGCTTTTATGGCTGACACCTCAGGAAATTGCCGTTTAAGATTTTGGAAACATCTCTACAAACCATACACGAGCAGTATCACAGTCTATTTACAACTAGCAGATGATACCCGTCTCCGACAGGTCAATAAAATGTATGGTACATCTGGAGATGAATGGGAAAGAGTTGAAGTGCCACTGAAAAGCAAATTTAACTTTCACGTAGTCATAGAAGGTTCTCCTAGTAGTGGTCTTAAAGGTGAAGTAGCAATAGATGATATATCCTTTTCACTTGAATGCATTCCTGTGTATACGATAATAACAACACCCATACCGACAGTCCAACCTCGAGGAGTCTGTAAGAGACTGGGAGAGTTTACTTGCGATGATAATTCTTGTGTTCCTTTTGATGTAGTCTGCGATTTTAAAACAGATTGTCCGCACGGAGGAGATGAAAAAAGTTGTCCTGCTTTTTGTGACTTCGAATTAGGGTCAACTTGTGGATGGACCGCTATAACAAGAGCTGGTGATGGTGTAGAAGTCAATGTTACCATCGCAGAATTCGCCAAAGATATCTCACCAGACGCTCCTAAAGTAGATAAGACGACTAACAGCAGTAAAGGATCATACTTAATTATACATACAAGTTTAGAAACAGAAACTGGCCCCATAGACGAGTATAAAAGTCCATCGTTTTCGTCATCTGCCTCAACCTGCAAATTTTCCTTATGGTATGCTTGTAAAAAAATATTCTTGCGGCCTGTCATTACTCTAAACACCGCAAACAGTACAATGGATATGGTTTCAATTACAGCCTCAAATACATGGAAACGTGAAGAAATTGGTCTCGGGCGACGAACAAGCAACTTTTCTATCAGCATTAACAAAAAATCTGGCATGAGCCGCTGGGATTACTTGGCACTCGACGACATAGAATTTGTAAACTGTGCTCTTCCTAAGAAAGAAACGAATATTTGTGGCGGGTTCCGATGTAAAAAAACAAAAGCTTGCGTAGACGACTCTCGTGTTTGTGATGCTACCGACGATTGTGGTGATTCCACCGACGAAGAAGCCTGCTCTGATTTAAATTACCACATTACAGACTTCGAGAATGGATTTGGTATTTTCAGGCAAGTTATGAATGAGCCTTACGCACCTCTTTCTTGGACTATAAATAAAGGACCGGCTCCTGGTCACGTAAATGCGAGGGTTGGACCACCTTTTGACCACACTCTGTCCGATCCTGAAGGTCACTATCTTAGCATGACAAGAGGTAGCGTAGGCGCACTGAATGAAAAAGCTTGGATAATTTCTGATGTTTTGCAGAGCATTGCGAAGGAAGATTGCCAGATGAGATTCTATTACTTCATGTATGGAGACAAAGTAAACCAACTCAATGTGTTTACCATTACGGAAACAAAAGGACAGTTGTATCCAAAGTGGACTCAGACAGGCGAAGTTGGAAACTTCTGGATGAGAGCATCAGTGACCTTCAACGAAAGTGTTCCATTCCAAGTCATCTTTGAAGGTAAAGGCGGTGTCACCACAAACGATCTGATTGCAGTTGATGATATATCATTCACTCCAGGATGCAAGTAAGGAATAAAGTTTATTTTCACGTATACTGATTTCTAAAAGTTTTCATTTAATATATATATATATATATATTCATTATATTCATATATATATACGTTTGTTATAATAATAATCCCCAAATTAATTATTTTCAATCTGCTAAAGGAAACTTTTTTGCCCTATAAAAGTCAATTCTTCTTTGGCAGATAAACAATAATTTAATTGTAATCTTCATATTTTGTTTCTATTTTGAAAAACGCTTTAACATTTCTGTTTCTATTGTATAATTTTATAATGTATCATACACATTTTCGGGCAACATTTAATAGCATTTTAGTGGTTAGTATTCATCAGTGCTATTTGATGTTTATATTTCACACTTCTAAATTTTTTGAGTTATATATTAATTTAAATTATCTACTTTATTTAGCTGTACTAATATTGAAATGCTGTTCATAGGAAGTAATAATAAAACTCAAAGATATATATATTTATACAGTAGAGTCCCGTCAACTAAACTTCAGGTGTACCGAAAAGGTGATGAATTAACGAAAATATTGATTTTAGTGATGGGTTATTCCCAGCTCATAAAACTTCGTTCGGCATCTAAATCTATGGTAATTTTATTAATATTTTCGTTTTTGTACAGTCTCTTAAGGCATCCACTTTCCTGTCGTGTTAATGTTTTTAGACAACACAACATAATATAATACTTATAGACTGGTTATAAACTGAGAAACTGTACCAAGAATGAACTTAAAGTTTAGCTTTTGAGAGTATACAGACATAAACTTTCAGGGTATACAGGCAAGCTTAGTAAAGGCTAGCAACAAAAAGAAATGTTGAGTGGTCCTCGACTTGCGGCTATCTAACTTTCTTCAGCCACTTTTAAGGATTCAACTTCACACTTCAACCGCTCTCTTACTGACAGGATGAATGGGATAGATTGGAATTTGAACGAAAAGAACAAAACTTGCCACTAAATTTGTTATATAAATTCCAAGAAATCACGTCTCAAAGGCAAAAAAATAGAAACTGAAAATTATCAAAACAACAAATCTTTGAACACAACAGTGAAATTTGCGGACATTCGTATGTATAAATATGTACTGCAATAAAAACATACTTTTACTGTTTGCGCCACATAGACGGTTACATATAGGCGCACAGCCCCAGCCCACTTAGCCGGCCTATTGGGGATATAATAATAATAATTTCTAATACACTTAGGCGGTATTAAAAGTTATTACAGTCTAGCTCTTAATAAACCCCTATATTATGTCAAAGATAAGATTCTGCTTGAGCTGCAGAAATCTTTTACTAATTACAAAAATATGATCGTTGTGTTATAAGGAATGTCGAGTGGTCGGAAGCCGAGTTTGCGGGACTGTATATATACATATATATATATATAGCGAGAGAGAGAGAGAGATTGTATATATAGAGGGAGAGAGAGAGCGTTTAATATGGCAAAGCACACTGGGGCTAACTGCCTAAGGGAACAGATGCATTCGTGGAGGGCGGTTTTCCTAAGGTTAAGGATGCCTTCACGGAGAACTTTCGAAGGGAAAATGGATCGTGTACACGTTAGGCATGTAAATCACGAAAACGGCCATGCAGCCAGCCGTTCGAATGGATTCCAATCCAGGCTGAAACTACCAGTGTTTAGCAATTTTACCGCTCGGCCATTGGAGGCATATATATTTATGTATGTGTGTATGTGTATATATATACATATATAATTTTAAAAAGGAGAACAAACTAAAAAAGACCTTTGTGGTCAAGAACTTTGCGCATTGAACTGCAAAATTTAGAAAACAAGTTAAAAGAAAATTCTCAGTGCTTACGCTAAAAAGTAGCTTAGCTACTGTCGTTCCGGTGACAAATTTTAACATAAGTAAAGTGCAATGAAAAGTTTAAACTTTAAATAAACAATATTATCACTAGAATATTTATAAATAAAATTCAAATTTAATTGTAAGTAATATGTTGATCAAGGTAAGGCAAACTTTAAACAATAGAATAAAAGTGTGACATAAGGCTTATGCAAAAATACAAAAACAAAAAGCGGTAAATGGTAGATTAGCCTAATTCGAATCTCATTATGGACTCTTCAGGGGAAATTTTATAATGATTTTCGAATCCAGCTAATTCCATATCGCGTTTCGTCGAAACAGACAATTGAAACTGTAGACGAAACTCTTTTGAATATTAACTGAAAAAACTTAGTCAGAAAACTTTAGTCTCAATTCTCTGTTCCATTTTCCGACGCGTCCGCTTGAAATAGCGTATATATATATTATATATAAGTAAAGACATTTGCACCAATTTTTCACAAAGACCAAAAATTGAAATTCATAGTTAATAAATTTCAAATAATCCTATAAATGCAACAAAGAATTTAAAAAACGTTATAACCAAACCTTTTCAATATTCTTTTTACGATCAATAAGTAAACGTAATTAGTGTGCTAGCCTAAATTACAGTAAAGTTTACAGAGGAAAACTTTAACCCTTGCGTTTGTGATTTTAGTTCAAATCCCTAAGTTTGTAAAACTACTAAAATAGTATAAGCGCTAATAGCTTCTCGTTGTATTTCATAATTACAAAACAAATTGTTTATAATTATATATATAAGAAAGTAGGATACTTATAAATATATATAGAAAGATACAGATAGATAGATAGATAGATAGATAAGGAAGTAATATTATTTTATGTGTGTAATTAGAATTAAAGAACAATTTTCGCTAAAGCAGCAAGATTAATCAATATTTAAAGGGAAAAAAATTGCTAAACATTAAAACCTTTTCAAGAAACAAAATATATATATATATATTTTAAATTACAAAACAAAAACAAAAATATTAAACAAAAAAATATTTTGTTTAATATTTTTGTTTAACAAAATTTAAACAAAAAATATTTTAAATTACAAAGTTAATAAACGATTAGTCGGTTAATTTTTCCGATCTTGATATCATTAGATTAACTAAGATCATTTTCAACACATCTCCTCCCCTTATGACAGCGTGTTTAAAGCAATCTTTGTTATTCTAACATTTTTTTTTATTTTATTATGATACAGGTTTAAGTACAAAGAGCATGATATTTAATAAATAAAGGTAACACACAAAATGTTAAGAAAACGTCCATTTGGGCCTCATATAAAATCTGAAAGCTTTCAGATTTTTTTTTCATTCATTCTGTTCCATCGAAAACTGAAAATATTAATTCTTTTTCCAAGGCACTTGAAGGGAGTAACATTCCCTCCCGTCACAGTAACTGGCACTGGTTCAACGACCACTCCTATGCCTACTGGTTGTAAGCCTGATGAATTCTTCTGTGTGGAAGATAAAGTATGCATCCCGGGAATAAAAAGGTGCGATTTCCGTGAAGACTGCCAAGATAAGAGTGATGAAGCTGGTTGCGGTATGCATACTATTCTCTAATAAAATCAGAATCCTGTTTACCTTGAATTAACCTCATTGAAAAGTATAGAAATTTATTTTTGCTCTGAATATGTCCAACTGTATATTATGTTGCAAAATATTAGCTTGCATATACCATCAAGCTAATCAAGAAAATATGTTTTTAATGGCCTAATTTTTAAATTAAAAGATACCATATTTACGTAAGGTTATTTCGGGCTGCATTATTCCGTTTTGTAAAAGAAGCATTCAAATTCAAGTTAAAAGTAAAAATATCAAAAAATTTTAATATTATTTATGTAGTATTTATCATTTATGAACAATAAAAATATTTTTAGAAGACCAAAATTCAAATATTTTAAATTGTAAAGTTCCATAATATTTTTTTTTTTTTGGTTAATTGGATATTCATGACAATCTCTTTATCCCTGAATTCAGTTAAATATTGGTAAAGAAATAGAAATAATACTAACTATATTAAATTTGGAAACAAAACCTTAGCAATTTTATTCAAAACAGACAATTGAAAGCTTCATACTATTGTTACGTGCGCACGAGCTCGTAACAAATTGAAAGCACTATGATCATAGCTTGATAAATCTTATTTTACCAAAAGAATCACTTCACAGTTCTGGAACTTTCCACAAAAATACTCCTACAGCCCTTCACCCTATCGCAGTTCACCCAATAACTACAGTCTGTCTATCATAAGAAAAGCTCTCGCCAGTTAGTCTGCAGCTGTCTGTTGCCATAAAAACGAATCTTGACCCATTTTCCGTAGGGATGTCTTGAAGATGAATGATAAACTCTTTTCCTCTCAGCAAACAGTCACCAAAAACAAAATAACAGTAAAGCAACCCTTGGTTCGCCCCTATTTGAAATGTACTAGCCCTGTTGCTATAGCGACCGCCACCCGCCAGACACTGTGGCGAGAGCTGTTCTTCTCGTAGACAGACAGCAGTTACGTTTCAGACTACAAGGAACGTTAAGCAAAACCAATGCAAAGTGCATCTAAAACGCGAAGCTCTCACGGATATCTGAGTACTCCGAATTCGGCTCTGAACTAACAACTACTACTCAGAGACTGATGTTCATCCCAATCTTATATAGTTTTCTCCCGGCCGCTTCGAAATTTCTAGTACCTTCCTTTTCTCGAAATTATTGGAAGGCATATGAAGGCTGAATAAGGTTACAACTACATATAGCATTAATTACAGTTATTCAGTTACAGTACCCATTACAGTTAAATAGGGGCCAGATCGAAATATCGCCAAATGGATGCCAAAATTGTCAACTTTTGGCGATATCTTGCTAAATTTGGCTATAAAATTAGTCTCTAAAATCATCGCCAACTTGGCGATATCTCGCCAACTTAACGAGATAGCCATTTACTCATTTACGCAATTTACTTGTCCCTGCAATGGGAATTGTAAATAAATTTATGATTCTCATATTACACTAGGAGGAAAAAAGGGAAACTAAAATTTCAAATATAATTTCACTGAAATTATTTACATGCTTACAAAATTTGTAATATTATTTTATTCTTCCAGTGAAAAGCTACTGTGACTTTAAAGACGATATGTGTGGCTGGGATATACTCCATAAGAATAAAAACATAACTAGAGCAAAGAGGCAAATTGATGAAGAAAGTGTGTTTAGGTGGATTCGCATTCAAACTAAAGACGAACATACCAAGGTACGTACTAAAGAACTCAAGACGAGTAAGTGGATGTTAAACGTTGAACAAAACGTTCAATATCTTCATGTTCTTAAGATGCTGAACAGCATGTTTTCAGAACGTCGAAATTTTGTATATGTGACAGCCATTGTGCACCTCATTTAACCCACTCTTAACCGGCTCGGTGAGCTCAGTTTTTTTTTTTTTTTTTTTAAATTTTATTATTCTTATATGTTGGCAAATTTGGCATTGTTTGCATTAAAAGTGATTGAATTATGTTGTTCTTATGTTCCGGTTAAGGTTTTTATGCCTTAACTTAATCTGGATGCAATAGTTGTAGGATTATAAACAATTTAAAAGTTGTTAAAACTTTACTAAGCCTAACGAAGCCGTCATTTATTTCCACTCTAAAATCTTATTATAATAGTGAATTTAGTTAGTTTGTGCACCAACTTGAATGTCCTTTGCCAAGTGGGACCAAAAGTAAACTGTCAATTTTGTATATAGTGTACAGGACAACTTGCTACTTTGCCACAAGATAACCAGCGTGTTAATGCTAATTTGAGCATTTTATACTTAGGTGTATCTAATACTACATCTTGAATTTACTTAATCTTTTGCTACTATTGGGAAATATCAAGAGATATCTTCTATGTATATTTCTTTATATGAGTTCCTTAGTTCCTTCTCTGAATGACTAACACATAATGAGAAAAGGATGGCTGAACACATCTCATCATAAATACTGATGGCACATGTTTTTTTAGAAGTGACTGGAACCCACTTTTAGTACTTAACATAGTGGCACAATTATCATTTCCAAAGCCAACGAGATTATATATTAAGATGTTTTCTATTATATGAAAAGGTTTTGCAGTTTGATACAGCTTTTCTGAAATGGGATGTTTTCTGTATGAAAAGGTCTTGCTTACTTCAAGATCTTTTCACCTCTCTTAGTTGTGCACCTCTCTTTAGAGCTTTGCTGAAGTACCATTTTCGACGCAAACAGTGTCAAGTAACTCATCTGCGACAGTGTTCGACGATCAAAATGTGTAACATCATCAGCTAGAAATTTGTGATACAAATATATCTGTCACTCTTAAAAACGTGTTGTTTCTGCATATGTTAGAAATGCATATTTCGCCATCTTGGAACAAGCAAAGGCACTTTAGTGACCTTCATCTGAACTTGTTTTGCAATATTGCAATCACGAGATGTTCTTCACATGCTTCTTTAAGAGGATCACATGGCGCAAATTGAATACAGTGCACTCTCGATTATCTGGGGTAATGCCGGGGAAGCAGGTCACCGGTAATTGAAAAACACGGATAATCCAAACTATCCATTTTGATGGGTACTGGAAGTGTTTATTTCTTAAAAAAGTCAGTAATTTTACTTTACTTTTGATTGTGTCCAAATATTTATGGAATTTCGATGCGTATTTTTCGAAGTGATATTTTATCACAGTTTCCGAATGCCCTTTGATCGACGGGTCCAATAGAGTTTCTGCACGCGTCACTGCTGTCTCGAGATTAATGTAATTTAGTTTAAATATCATGCTGAATAACAATCAAGAACAAAGTCCAACATTAAGAAGCAGCGTAAATTTTTGTTTCATCTCATCAATAGATGGCGCCAGTACCTTCTGTCCAACTTTTCTTACCTTATCTCTATCCTTATCTTACATTTCTTCACCCTTTATTTGGTTCATTTGCACTTAAGCAGCTGAAGAAGTTAATTCAAAAGCTATCGGAACAAGTACTGCAAAACTTGTTTCAAAATTTATGCTGATTCTTAGTGGCGGACTTTGTTTTTGATTAATGTACCAAGGTATTTTTATCGTATATTTACTTTTTTTTCTCATATGATTTTGAATAAATGTAGTACTTAAAAAAAAATTTTCGAAGTTTCTCGATCGATTTCGGAAGTGGGGGGGGGTCGACTTATACGCGGGTTTCTTATTTTCTACGAATTTTTTATGTCGAAGTGGGGGGTCGACTTCTACGCGGTATCGACTTATACGTTGGCATATACGGTAATTGTCAGTATCTTCGTATTTTTAGTACCATTATATGCCTCTTCTGTTCTTGTGACATGTGAAATGATATCGGCATGACTCGAAGCTCTGAAAGCCTTGCTCAGTCAAATCGTCATGAGACCATTCCTCGATGTTTTCCCGATCGTCCTTTTCAAAGAATTTTACATTTGTAATTTTTTAGCATATGGGTACTATTATTGCCTTCACAAATTAAATAAATCTCCGATTTCTATATTATGTGGTTTCTTTCTGTATGCTCGAACCAGTGGTATTGGTTTTATTTTTGACCTAAAATTTTAAACCAGTTTTTCAAAGATTGAGAAGAACTTATGCACAAAGTTATACAGAAAACAGAAACATCCCAAAAATCAACCGAAAGGACGCCTTTTAGTATGCGCATGATGCAGCAACTATGTATTCAACTATGCAGAACAAAGTACGAGGTGCCTCCAGGGAACAAAGTGCCTGCACATTGATTATTTGGTGTTAAAACCAAGCATTAGCGTTTTTGTTTACACAGTTTTTTTTTTTTTTTTTTTTTCAGAATACGTGCATTTAATATGTGCATTGATCTCAGCTTTCTGTCAAAAGGCTGATAGAAGGGAAAAACGGATGCATGACCTTTAGATTCCATTCTCCGAAACGATCGTAAACTATTTAATTAAGCCTGAAATGTAGATCGGCAAATATTTATAATGAGCTGTACTTGAGTTGTATGGTCGAAAACAATTCTGTTGTCTTTAGTGGGCTTTAGACAGTTTACTGTTCCTTGGTAACTCAGCAGTTAATGTTGACAATAAACTTTTCTTTTAAAGTTTTCTGTAATTTTCTCGTTAACATAACAGATTACTTTTTCTAATGGAAATAATCGTAATAATCGTGTTTTCATTTTCTTGTATTCTTTCGTTAGTCCTATAAATTGAAAGTTCTCTCATTATTCATTTATTTTCATTAAGTCTTATGCAATTAAAAGATAAAATGTTTTGTATCTGCGAAACAAAATAAAAATACGCTTTTTGACTTCCTTGTCCGAAGTAAAGAAAGTATTGTAATCGTGGAAATTTTCGGGTGTCATATTTCAACGAAACTATCCATTTTGGCCGCTATCGAATGCAAATTAACGCTGTTTTTGCGTGGCATCTCTAAGTAATAAGTATCGTAAGAAAAGTACTCTTTTTCCCAAAACGTGCACCAAAAAGGATTTAAAATGGATTTGGGAAGAGATTCTTTCGTGACGTCCATATGTACGAATGTATGTATGCATCTCGCGTAAACTCAGAAACGAGTAACCTCAGAACGTTGAAATTTGCTTATAGGACTGCTATAACAAGTAGTTGTGCACCTCTGTTTTTGGTTGCAAATCGGCCGCACCAAAGTATATAAATTATAAGTTTATTACTGCAGCTTTAGCGCAAATTATGGGTTTATTAATTTGCTCCTAATTACTTTATTTAGACTATATATACTGTTAGTCGGCTCAGTGAGTTCAATTTTTTTTATTGTTATATGTTGGCAAATTTGGCATTTTTTAACGATTGAAATATGTTGTTCCCATCTTCCGGGTAAAGTTTTTATGCCTTTAGTTAAACTTCATTCAAAAGTTGTAGAATTCTCAACAATTTAAAGATTTTTTTAAGTACTGCCAAGCCTAATTTTTTTAACCATAGTTGCCATATTTGTTTACATTTGAAACTTAACAGACTAGTGAATTGAGTCAGCTTCTGCACCTCCAGTGTGTTTTTGCAGAGTGGGACCAAAAGTACACTTTCAGTTTTGTGCACCGAAAAAATTTGCCATTTTGTCCGCTGGTCGAATTGCTTGTTTTGGCGTAGAAACTCTTAAGTTTAATTGTAAAAAAATGTTTTTAATTCTTTTAATTGTATTTGGTAGTTTTTTTCGTATATTTTTCAATTTTTGATAAAGCTAATTTGAGTTTTTATGTATTTTTGCCCTGTCGCGAAGTGAGAACTGAATTAATTGAATGAGAACTATAATCTCTGTTGAAATTCGAGGAAATAGGTTTAAATGAAATGCAGCAAAAAATGCTTATAATTTAATATTCCTTGCAAGGAAGTCTAAGTCACGTGGTGTATGTACACGTCAGATTTTTCCATGAAAATTAAACAATGAAATTAAGATAAATGAAAGAAAAATAGTAAGCCTAAATGTTGTCATTATCAGTAATCTCACTTGTCTGATAATAGTCAGCACAAGCCCATGACATTCATTGTGACAAGGAGTCCAATGCACCTGTCGTGGGTGCCTTTAGCACCATATAGGTGACAACTCTACTTTAGCTCAGTTCCGCTCCCCAGTTTTGAGAGAAAGCACCACGGAAGATGACCCCGAGGGCCTCCCACTAGCTATTCTCCTACAAGCGGCCTCTCAAGAGCACTTGCGTCTTCTCGCCGCATATTTGGAGTGCCTTCTGGCTCACAGACAATACATTTACAAACATCTACGCCTTCTCCTGGATTCGAACCTAGGCTCTTCAGTTCCCGTAGTCAGAGTCGCTAACCACTATCTCGGTTGGGCGGAAGCCTGTATGTCATTAAGTATGTAGAGTTCCTCACTTTGTACTTCTAAACTGCTGTTGGAAGTGAAGACTCTTAAGAACTGATAATCGAATAATCGCTTGAGTTTGTGTGACAGGAAACAACAAGATAGAAGGGCAAACTACTCCTTTATTATTCAAACTAAGGTTTAACAAAACTCCGTCTTGGAGTGTACAATAAAGCCGACACTTAGGCTTTGAACTTAAGAGACTAAGAATAATGCTAAACTAATCTAAAATGGTATAGCCGAAGCTATCAAAATTCTAACCAAGTTGCCCCCTTAACGTTAATAGACTGCGAAGCTATCTAGGGCCTAAAGTACGGCCGGGCGTGATAATAGCTTATGAGAAAGTAGCCTAAAAAGGCGGACGCGGGCAGCCAGAATACCTGGTATCTCTCTCCCTAAGACCGAAGAACTTCGCGGTTAAATACCGTTCTTCTTCATTATGTATTCAGACGTGATTCTAAAACTACGTTCTGACCGGAAGTGGTAAGTTGAAGTTAAGAATCGACAGGAAAGGAACTTTAACTCAGAATTTAACTGTTAATAAAATTAACATACTCCTTACAAGTACATTTAAAAGCAAAAATGTAACATAGAATTGCTTTTCCATTAATGTTCGCTGACTGTGCATCTGCTGAAAGCTACCTTCTTATATAAAAATATGTAAGTAAGGTTATTTTTTCTTGGCCTAGAAAGAAAAACAAGCGAACTGGATAATTGGAGTTTCAAATATCTAAAGTTCGCATGATTCAAATTTAACTTGTGAAATTAGCATATGTTTACCAATTTAATCATTGCATTCCTAATAACTAAAGGAATTATCATAATATTTTCTTTAAACTATTGAATTATTCCTTTAGATCAATCTGAACTACCGACCTAAAGTTGATCATTCTACCAACTCAACTGATGGATGGTACATGCTGGCAGATGGTGCTCCGGGACGGCAAGGGGATGTTACGTCGCTTGTAACTCCCAGGATTTCTGCTACGCATTCCCATTGCGCTGTCGACTTCTGGTTTTTCTGTGGAGCGTGGACCTGCTCATTAAATGTTTACACTGGCAAAGAAGGCACAAAAATGCAACCTGCGTGGAAAGCCGAATTAGCTATATATGGAAGTAAGTGCAGTCTTAGAATCTTGATCAGTCTAAATCTTGGATGTATAATTTCACAGCTTGAAAATAAGTTCTATAGGTTGAAAATGTAACCTGTTTAGGTCGAAGTTGAGTTATGAAGATAGAAAATGAAATCTGCAGGTTAAAATTGAATTCTTTGGATTGAAAGTGAGATCCATGACTTCAAAATTAATTTATAAATCTTGAAATATTTTTGTAAAGAATGGTTCCCAACTAAATCCAACTATTCACTTACCTGCTCAGATCAGTTTGTCATTTACAGCGAATCCATCATCGTTCTTTTTTACAAAATTCAGTTTTAAAGGCTTAAGTTACATTGACCAGTACTTTAACTAAAAATGGTAGGTGTTGAAAACTTCCCTTTCATAAGCCATAATTATCAATAACCAAAACGTTGCCAGAAAAACAGGCAAAGTTTTTATTTTTTTAATTTTCTTAACTACAATATTACTTAAGCTTTCGTGTGATATTCAAACAAACGTACGACGAATAATATAAAATTTTATTTTAAAGTCAAATCCTACTTGGTCAACAACGAAAAATTTTAAAAATACAAAAAAAATTTTAATTAAAATTTTTAAAAATTTTAATATGGGAAAAAACTGCATTAACATCAAATGTCATCCACTGCAAGTTTAAAAAAAAATTATTTGAACTTGAGTGGATGAATAAGAAGTATTTTATTAACGACTGAAAATTTGAACAAGATATAGGAAGAGGAGCTAATAGTCGGAATTTAAAAAACGGTCAGCAACTCAAAATGCTTTAACACTTTGACTGATGCGTCATCTGAGTATGGGTGACGGCAAGAATTCTGATAGGCCCTTATCATCCGTATTCGGATGACAGTTCTTTGAGTACTTACGAGGTAAAGTAGGTATTTGGAAAAGTGATTGTTGAAAGAAACGAAAATGATTAATAAATAGTTAAATTCATTTCATTTTCTAAACTGAATTGTGCTTTCTTCGGAATCAACTTTCATTCTAAACAACCAATTCTTGTAAAATATGATCGGTAGTATCAACAGTGCATTAATTATCACTGCATTTATCAATATTCGAATCAGAATCTGAAGATATAATTTTGTTTATCTCGATTGTTCCTGATCGCTACGCTTTGAATTTTTGTAAAGCCTTACAACAGGTTTCTTCTTCGCTGCTGTTCATGACCTGTTGTTTCATATAAACCGTTTTTTTGCCTTTCACGTCACTCACACACATATTGCTCCCCTTAAAGCGTGTCAATTCAGTACACCATTGTTCGAAAGCCTGGGAAAAAATCTTCGAACAAATGACTTCAAAAAATAAGCACATCGCACATGTAGCTTCGTAAAGAATAGGGTGCGCGTTATATGGCGAATATATCTTATAACGACTTGTATAATTAAGACACAATAACACGCCGAATAAATACTAATTCAGAAGTTAAACAACAAAAATCAGCGTTAATTTACAAAATTTTCACAGGACTAGTTTCGATGGTTATACCGAACCATCATCTTCAGCTGCAAAACCGCAAATTTTGTAAATTAACGCTGATTTTTGTTGTTTGACTTCTGAACGACTTGTATGTTTGGCATTCGTAAACTGAGCTTGGCGTTAGAAGACTGTTTAGTGAATAATCAGTAAATCTTTAAAGTACTACTGAGTAAGAGAAAGGATGTAAAGAACCCTTTATTTACTCAAGCCTAATAGCAAGAATAGCTGAAAGCCACAGAAAATCAAAAACAGCAACGTGGCCTTCAGGGAGGCAGAAGACGCTCTGATTTCACGTTCCAAAACTTTCCCTTTAAATGCTAACTTCTTTTGACTTTATTTGTATACACGAGTGCTAGTCGATTTGCATTCTGGCAAGAAATTGTGAATTGAAAGCAAGAGCGGTAGGAAAATCGCTTAAACACAAAACAACTGTTATGTAAATAAAATAAAATCCCCACAGCCTAAAAATTTTAAAAAAAAAGGTAGTTTGAAATTGTAGTTGCGCGCTTTACGCCGGAATATATAGTAAGTCAAATTCAGGAAAAATGTGATTATTAGCTTACTGGTAGTGAAATTATAGGGAAATTGTTGCCTGCTTGCTATTTGACCTAACTTCGAAATCTTGTATATAATTTCTTCTCCTTCCTTAAATATTTTACTAATTTGCGTCGTTTGAAAATGGTTTAAATTGAAATAACAGAAAGAATCAAATTTACACAGACTCGATTAGTTAAATCTGTAACGCTCTGCATAATTTTCCTGCTAAGTTAACGGTGGTGGCGGCATCTGTCGATAAGAATTGGAACTGTAGTTTAAGTTGGGAAGTATCGAATGGTGGACATTTCGGTTCCGGTTCAGACAGTGGCATAAATGTCACAGATGAATAGTCATAAGCATAAAATACGGGAGTTCCGTTCACACCTACGAGACAGGGTCTAACCAGTAACCAATTAGAGAAGCTAAATTTACGCATGCGTGAAAATGTCTAAAGCTTTCTCTCTCAATGGGTTTCTCATCTTCGCTCTAATTCGTCAACTCTTATACAAAATCGCCATAGAGTTGAAAGCTTCAAGCTTTATGCCAAAGCCCCTAAACCAGTTTTTGTGACGTAAGTTAACCAGCAACGAAGCTCGCCTTAAACCGGTTATGACATTTATACCACCGTGTGAATGAAGCCTTGGCCCCGTTCAGACGTGGTATAAATGTCACAGAGGCATAGTCATAAGGCATAAAATGCGGGAGTTCCGTTCATATCTGCGAGACAGGATCTAAGCAGTACTCAATTAGAGGAACTACATTTGTGCATGCGTAGATGTGTCAACAGCTTTCCCGCTGAATAAGTTTCGCGCGTTCGCTCTGATTGGTCGACTCTTATACCCAGTCGGCATAGGGTCGAAAATTTCAAACTTTATGCCAAAATCCCTAAACCAGTTTTTGTGACGCAGCAAGGTCTGGTTACATGGTTACATAGCAACGAAGCTCGTCTTAAACCAGTTATGACATTTATACCTTCGTTTAAACATAGCCTTAGATGGCCTATAAATGCACGTTCCAAGTCTGAGCACTGGATTTCTCCAATGTCTTTTCTTCGATCGGATGGGATTGCTACAAATTTAAAATCTGACATGTTTATAGTTGATATTTATATTATTCGTTCTATATTCTATGACACTGAAATTTTAATCTTCTTCCAACAGGAGGTTTTAGCAAAAAGTGGATGCACGCCAGAGTTCCTGTCAGCGCTTTGACCGATTTCCGGGTGTGGTTCGACAGTGTTCGCCCCTATACGTACACCAATGCTGTCTGCTTGGATGACGTTTCGTTCATGAAATGTGCTCCACCACCTACCGTAGACTTAGAGAAAGAAGTTTGTGCCAAGGAATACTTTTCTTGTACCAATGCAAAGTGTGTTGAAGAGAACTTGCGTTGTGACTTCAGTGACGACTGTGGCGATTTCAGCGATGAAAAGGATTTTGTGTGTCAGGCGTACCCTGCCCGTTGTAACTTCGATGGTGCCCCGTGCGCACACTGGCACCTGGAGCAAGATGGTTATGCTGCCTGGGGTATAGAAACCCCCAAGACCTCACTTTTTGCCAACTCACCTTCCACCGACCACACTACGAAAAGTGCTGCAGGTATGAACATATATTTTGTTAACAACATTGTTCTTCAATTACCATGGCATGTTAAATAGACCTTTTAAGTGTCTCTATGATATGTATTTTGCAGTCCAGGGTACTTTCGAATGCATGTAAGTCAACACTTTTTATTGTTTCTAGCAAAGAAACTGTTAAAAAAGTAACTCTTAGCAGCAATAATTATTAGTAGTTTTTTGTTTTGTTTATTATGTTCTTATTCATACTTTTAGTGTTACCTCTTAACATGTTTCTGCTTACATTGATCTGAAAAAGAGTACTTGTATTTTGTACACTTCGTTATGAACTGTCTGCAGTTTTATATAAAATTTAGATACTTGTTGTTGCTGTTGCTGTTGTGACTTAACTCGCACGTCTGACAGTAACATCAGAACTGTTACAGTGCAAGATTGCGCCTGTCGTTGGCAAGAGCCTTGAGTGCCATATAGTACGATATTGCACCGTTCCGCCCCCAGTTTTTAAGGAGAGGACACCGGGGGGGGACGGCTCGCATAGTTCTCCACCCCTCTTCCCCTAGAGGACTTTCATTTCGTCGCATTTGAAAGTGACCCCGTGCCGCACACACACACCATGCATTTACAAATATCCATGCCTTTTCAGGAATTCAAACCGGGCCCTTCGGTATTACAGTCAGGCTTCGGCAAATGCTGGTTCACACTTAAATGTTTAATTACTACATTTCCACTATTAGTGTCTGAAAATACACTCTTTTGCAATAAAATCTAAGCACCATGAAGGAAGTGGGTGTTATTGATGAAATTGAATATGTGTATAGGTCATACACAGATAATAAAATGATTAAAAATATATCAAGGTCATAGTATTTGTTCACGGCTCACAATCACCCATTGAGTGTTCAAATTAGCAGTTGGTCGAATTGCCGCTGACGGCAATGCATGCTTGAATTCGTCGAGGCAAGGAGTGTTAGAGGTTCCTAATGTCATCATGCGACACATTATGCCAGACATTCATCAGTTGTCGCTTCAGATCTACGAGATTTTGTGGTGCCCGAAACTGGCAGTCTATCATGCCCCAGACATGCTCGATTGGTGAAAGGTCTGGTGACTTTGCTGGCTAAGGAAGAGTATCAACCGCACGGAGACAGTCCAGAGATATGCGAGCGGTATGTGGTCTGGCATTATATTGTTGGAAAAGGGCCCCAGGAGGATGTCGTGCCATGAAGGGTAATGCAACCGGCCTCGGTATCAACATATCGTTGAGCTGTTAAAGATGTACGGAGGACTAAAGATGGTGTATGGCGTATTTTAATTATGGCAAAGCACACTAGGGCTATCTGCCTAAGGAAGGGATGCCTTCGTGGAGGACTTTCTAAGGGAAACTGGCTCGTATTACACGTTACACATCGGGAAAACCACGAAAACGCTTATGCAGCCAGCCCGTTCGCGGGATTTGAACCTCGGACCGAACTACCAGTGTTCAGCAACTTTAACGCTCGGCCGCTGGTGGGCGGACTAAAGATGACCTGCTATCATAAGAAATAGCGCCCCACGCCATCACACCAGGGCGTATGGCTGTATGCCTTTGTAAAACAAAGGCTGATTGGAACCGTTGGCCCCGTCCTCTCCAGACACGAACAAGGTGGTCATCTACTTGAAGAGTGACGCGGGATTCATCGCTGAACACTGTACGATGCCAGTCTGATTGCAACCATGATGATCGGCTGCAACACCACTCCAGACGCCTCCGCCGATGTTGTGGAGTCAAAAACAAATGTCTTAAATGTCCTCTGTGAGCGTAACTCCGCCTCAAACAAGCGCCTTGAGATGGTGAACCACGGGAAATATAGACGTGGCTGTAGTGCGTTGAAGAGTCGACAATGATACCTTTGGGGCGATTCGGGCCTGGCGAACAATCGTCCTCTCTTGCCTCGCATTTGTGCTCCTTGGCCTTTCAGAGCCTTCATTTCGTCAGCAGTTTCTTTCTAGCAACCATTGCTGCCAACATCTTTGAACAGCAGTGTCTATACGCTGCAGGTGGCGACCTATTGCTCGGTATGACGACCCAGCTTGACGCAACCCTACAATGCGACCACGTTCGAAGTCGTTTAGTTGTCTGTAAGGTCTTCGATATCGTCGTAACGGCATCTTTAGTTGCTTCTTTACGGAATTAAAATGGCAGCAACAAAAAAGGATAAATTTTTCACATCTGTTACTGGTTTTATACTTTTCGAATTGCGCACTAGAAATGCACGCTATGATCCTAATTCCAATTCATTTGCCTTGAAACTTTGAACATTTGCATGTTCAATCAAGATGTTTTGGCAAACCAAATTTCGTCGTGATTGCAAAATTCCTTCTTGGTGCTTCAATTTTTTTCAAAAGAGTGTAATTTTACTAGAACTATTTTGTTTTAGTTTTTGAGAAAATTTTTAAAAAGCAGCTGTGTCGCACTCTAATTGGCAAATGGCATGATGAGGATTATGCTAAATTACAAAAAGCTAAAGAAACTAAACTTCAAGAATTTTACTTTTCTAGCATTCAATTTCGTAATTTATATCCTTTTGTTTTCTCAAATTCAGCAAAGTGAATACATATATATATCTTATGTAAATTAATGTTAATTTGTTGTTTGCCTTTTATACGGACCGTGGTGCAGAACCATATCTTCCATGCAATTGCAAAACCAGTTGCAGATCTTTCATGTACCGGAGATGTGAGACTGGCATTATGGTCCGGGGTCGTAATTTCAGACAGCTTCTTTAATGATGATCGTTGTCTGTTTGTATTCGTATTTGTTGGTTTCTACTGTACTAACAAACCTTTTCTTTTTGTGTCGTCACTACTGCGCCAAGAAAGCGTTTCCAACCAGCATTGCTATGTGATTTTCTATCGTCTAGGTGTGATCTGTCTCAGTTGAAAGTTTGTAACCGATTTGCTGAAACACCCTGTATATGCGATCATATTAATGGAAATATTAATTTCTAGTTACAATTGATTTTGCTTTATTATCTGAATATTCCTTCTATACTTTTTTTAATATATTTAGGCAAATTCCTGACAGTTGGGTCTGGATACGTAAATCGCGACAAGAAACCGTTTCCAACCAGCATTGCTATGTGATTTTCTATCGTCTAGGTGTGATCTGTCTCAGTTGAAAGTTTGTAACCGATTTGCTGAAACACCCTGTATATGCGATCATATTAATGGAAATATTAATTTCTAGTTACAATTTATTTTGCTTTATTATCTGAATATTCCTTCTATACTTTTTTTAATATATTTAGGCAAATTCCTGACAGTTGGGTCTGGATACGTAAATCGCGACAAGAAACCCAAAATAAGATCTGATACAATAGATGGTATCTCCAAGGGGTGCAAGGTACGTGAATATCCTGTGTGTCATACATTTTTTTAATGTTTCTCTACAATATTTTAAGGTTTAGTGAATATATAATGTATTTTAATAAAAAGCAATATGATTTCTTAGCGGGAAGTATACTTTTACCGGAGTTTAGTTTCAAAGTACACTGACGGAAAGAAAATCCCAACACCATGAAGAATTTGTGTTAGATAATGGAAATTTCGTAGGCGTATTTATACGTCTAAAAGATGACGTCTATTAAAATTTCGCCCCAGACGCATAAGTGTGGCTCTAGTAGCGCCACTATGAACAGTTTTGCTTTAAATACGCATTGTAAAGTTCGTGAGCTTTATTTTTGGGGGGATTTGACATAGTCATTAGTCAAAAAAGTTGACAAAGTTGACATTAGTCAAAAATGCCTTTCAGAAGACAAAGCGATTATCAACAGCTCAGTGTGTTTGAACGACGTCGTGTAATTGGACTATGAGAAGGATTTTCTTTCCGCGATACTGTAGAAAGACTTCGCAGTAAAGTATTCATTGTGCATGACTGTTGGCAGCCGTGGTCAAGGGAAGGTGCTGGCTTAAGAAGAACGGGTCCGGGTGGCCACGTGGCACTACTGAAAGGGAAGACCGCGGTGTTCGGCCTATGGCTGTGGCGCATCGCACTGCATCTGCAACAGAAATTCCAGCAGCAGGTTGGCACCACAGTGACAGTAACTAATCGGTTACTTGAACAACTGCTTCGAGCCAGCAGCTGTAGCGTGCATTCCATTGATTACAAACCAATCAGTTGTGTCAAGCTAGAGCTCATTGGAGGACGGAGCGGAGATTGGTTGTGTTTTCTGATGAAACCCGGTTCTGCCTTGAGGTGCCAGTGATGACCGTGTGCTGGTTAGGAAGAGGCCATGTAAGAGCCTGCAGCCTAGACACACTAGATCTACACCTGGAGTTATGGTCTGGTCAGCAATTGCGCATGACAGCAGGAGCAGTCTCTCCGTTATCTCGCGCACCCTGACTACAAATTTGTCAGTCAGTCTGGTAATTTAACCTGTTCTCCTGCCATTCATGAGCAGCATTCAAGGGGCTTTTTCCAACAAGTTAACGCTCGCTCTTATATTGCTGTTGTAACCCAACATACTCTAGAGAGTGTCGACATGTTACCTTGGTCTGCTAGATCACCAAATCTTTAGCCAATCCCGCACGCATGGGATATCATTGGACGACAAGTCCAGCGTCATTCACAACCAGAATTAACAGTCCCTGTATTGACCAACCAAGTGCAACAGGCAATCCACAACATGACATCCGGCACTTGTATGTCACAATGCATGCATGTTTGCATTCAAAATTTTGAAGGTTACACCGGTGATTAATGTAACACCATTTGACACTTAGTAGTAGTTCTTAGTAGGAGTAGTTCTTCTCGCGCTTGCATTAACCTGCGATCATGAAAATTTAATCAATCAAATTTGTTACCTATAGAAATGTATTGCCGAAATCTCATTATTCTACAGTATTTTTTCCCTTTCTGTTGGGATTTTTTCCCTGTCAATGTATTTTACAAATTTATCATCAATAATATATTATTATTTATATCACTTTCCTTTGAAAAAATTCTTGAAGGCAAATTTTGATCATAATTATGATTTTAATCATTTAGTAGTAATTTTCTCTTAAACAGTTTTAGAACTTACACTTTGAACAATTAATTTCACGATATTAAAAGTAAAAGTTAATGCAACTTTTGCTACATCGAGCAGTTCTCACAGCTTCTAATTCAATAGTAGAAGCATTTTCCCCATATTAAAGTTATTGCATTGTGCGTTTCTGCACTAAATCTGGTCGCGGGAAATCTTACTGAATTTGCAGTCTGTATAATGAGAAAACTCGGAGTAACCATAAAGAAAAGCAATTAAGTGCTAGTCTACAATGTAAACAAGTGCTTAATGTACGGCATTGCGAGTATCTTTAATTAATTTCATTAACGCTTTTATTAAAGTATGTAGTATTAATGCTTAAAAATTGGAAGTCAGATGTATTGTAAATCATAACAACAGATTTTAAATATAAAAAATAATTAGATAAACCTAATTATATAAACAAATATTAACAGGTGTTCTTCTTTCAGTTCTCCGGGTACTCCTGGTCCTTTCATTTTTCGAGTTGCAACCTCATTATTATTGAGTTATTATAACTCATTATCACTGAGTATCTGAGTCAGAAACAATGCCCGCATGTCCATTCTAACTCAGCATTATTGCCATCTATATGATAGCCTTGAACATAATTGTGTCGCATTGCACTCAAAAAAGTATCATACTCAAAACTGTCAAACATTCTCAAGGATTATCTGATATGCTTGTTTTAAAATTCATTTTTTTTCTGTCGCTTTTACTTAAAATAACGTGAAACGCCCGTAACAGCCCCTTTTACTAGATAGGGCACGTGCAATAACATACTCCTCACCTTTTCCTTATAAGGTTTCGTTTAAGTTCTTTAACCAGTTATGTTTCCTACCAGAATGTACATTTGTAGCTCACGTGATATTCAAATGAGGTAGAAAGCAAAGAGTATTTAAAGGAATGTTTTAGAGGGAATGATCAAAGAACGTCTATGTTCTTTGATTACATGAATGAATTTAATTACATGAATATGTATTGATGAACAATACATATTCTTTGGTAGAATGGGACTTCTGCAAGACCGCGCTGGGATGCACAAGCAGCCAATGAACATGCTCTTTTCATGCACACTCCCCATTGGCGCGCTGGTGTCCGCCGATAACATCGCGGCAAAAACATCGCAGTCGAAAACGTCGCGGAGAAAACAACGCAAGGCGAAAACGTCGGGCTACAAAACATCGTGGGAGAAAACATCGCAAAGAGAAAACATCGCAGTTCTAAAACGTCGTGGTACAAAACACCGTCGTCGAAAATAAAGCGGTTCAAAAACTTCGCAGTTTAAAAACATCGTCGTCGAAAATATCGTGGTAAAAAATAAAGTATCTACAAATGATCGCATGACGATAACATCGCAGACATGCTTTTTTCAGATTTTAATAATTGTAAATGGATATTCCCATAATGATTTGTGAGCGCAAGATGTAAAGAAGGATAATTTTGACTTTCACATTTTTTTATTAACTAATAAATTTTTGTTGAAAAAGAAAGAAGGAAACTTCTTCTTTTGTTGAAAAGAAAAGAAGGAAAAGAAAGAAGGAAACATAGAAAATTAAGTACAACTTATAGATTATACGTTTCATGAAAAATTACCAGTAAAAACTTTATAAAAAATTATTTATTAATGGCCTTTTTTAGTTAACTGTGTCGATTTAAAATTCTATTAAGTGCTATAAGTTGCATTAATTTTCTATGCTTAAGTTTCCTTCGTGTTTTCTCAGCAAAATTTTATTACTTAATAAAAAATATGAAAGTAAAAATTATCTTTCTTTCCATCTTGCGCTCACATACCATTATGGGAATATCCATTTACAGTTATTAAAGCACGTCTGCGAAAAGCATGTCTGAAAAATGCATGTCTGCGATGTTATCCTCATGCGATGATTTGTAGATACTTTATTTTTTACCACGATATTTTCGACGACGATTTTTTTAAACTGCGAAGTTTTTGAACCGCTTTATTTTCGACGACGATGTTTTGTACCACGATGTTTTCTCTTTGCGATGTTTTCTCCCACGATGTTTTGGCCTTGCGTTGTCTTCTCCGCGACGTTTTCGTTCGCGATGTTTTCGGCTGTAACCGGCGCGCTGGATCACGTGGCATAGTTGCCTGCACACTCCGTGAATGGACTTTTCAAACTGCTCAATCAATCTCCTGGTAACGAACGGTTAGCACTGCTCTCTTCAAGCACCTTATCTCGGTCCTCGCGGATCGTCACATTTTCGTGAGTAAAGCGCCGTTAAAAATTGATATTGGTAGAATCAGAGCGTATTCTGTCTACTGAAAACCACACTGCTAATTTGATGTCCTTGCGGGTAGTGTTCTGCGGCATTGCGTTATTCTAGACATTAGGCTTGTTAGGTCGACCTTAGGTCAGAGACAGTTTCTGCATTATTCTAATTTTGCAGCCGTTAGCCTAATTTATTTTTTCTCAGTTTTAGTTAATCCATTACTCTTGAGTTAAGCTGTAGTTGTTGGCTTCTGTAAGCACTAGGGGTGCCATCTGTTTTTCGTCTTTTAATATAATTTGCAATCAAGGTTTTTAGGCAAGAACTATCATAGCTAATAAAGAAGCCCTATAAATGCTGCATTTACAAGGCTTTCTACAATAACTAATTAAGATTAATATATTGAAATAATATTGCACAAAATATAATTATCATTAAAAGATGCTTTGTAAATTTTGTTAACGTGAGTGAATTTTTCCCTGCTATTTACTTAAATTCGCTTTAGCTATATGACAAAAATCAATAAATAGTTTTCAACTATTTATTGACGTATAACGTATTACGTATTTTAAAACGTCTTTAAGCATTGTTGAATAATTTAATCATTTAATATCATCAGGATTTCTGTAGTAATTATTCATATAAATGAATGAAATGTATTCTTAAAAGAGAAATGAAATTCATGCACAAACATATGACAAATTCAAAATCTTTAAGTAATCCGATAGTTCAAAAGGGAAGTTTTATACAGCTTGTTATTTCCCCTTTATAACAGACTTAAATTACATGATGCATGAGAAAAACGGAAAATATATTTTTTCCTTTTAATATATTTCTAAATTAAATATAGGCGTTTTTAGTTAAATACATTCAACTATTTATTGCAGCGAAGCTGTTAGAACTATCTGCCTCTAAGGAAACACTTGTAGAATCAGTTGCTCTGTGTTCATATTGTGCACGGAAAGAAATTGACAAATACCTCATATATTAACTAATTCAATAGCAAGCAGTTATTTCTGCTTGCCAATATTCAGCTGTTTTGTCATTCAGCTCATGGTATGCTACTCTTAGTAGAATAGGAGTATTGAAATTTAAATAAATTATGATAAAGAGCTTTAGTACTTATTGCTTAAGCACAATGTAAATTTTTCCCTGTGAAAGAATTTAATTAAGTTAAAATCAGAGTAAACTATAAACATTTTTGTAGTTCACTTACGTTAATAACACACGCATTTCCAAAAAATAAGCATTTAAGACACAATAACACGCCGAATAAATACTAATTCAGAAGTCAAACAACAAAAATCAATTTGTAAATATAACGCTGATTTTTGTTGTTTGACTTCTGAATTAATATAAGCATTTATAAAGGAGAATAAATTTGAAAGTAAGTTTTGAGTATTATAAAGCAATATTTTAGACGCAATTATATTTGAATCATATCAATATACCTATTCTTGAAACAAAGCCCCTTAAATAAACAAGAGACATTTTTAAAGACTTTTATTTGACTCAAATAAAGGGGTTTTTTACGCCTTTTCCTTGTCTCTGTGATACTTACGAGACGTAGAGATAATTCGCTTTTAGGCTTAAGAGTTCTCGTACATCTGTCGTACTAGTACATTTGTCTTACAGATTGTCGTTTGTACTTATCATACAAATTTGATGTTACCAAAGAAGACGAGACTCTATAACTTCAAAAAAGCAGGTAAAATTGCTAACACAGTAAAAATACAAAATCTTTTTGACAAGGCGAGTAAAATTAAACTGAGTGATAATCTAACTTTGCTTTATAACTTCTTAAAGGTTACTATAATAGACTATTCATAATATGTTAAGACAAATAATAATATTTTAGTAAGATTTTTAAATAAAACTGTACAATCTTGTTTAACAGGTACGCTTCTGGTACAATAATATATTCGCGAATAACCCCTTGCGATTATACAAGAGATTAAATTACAATTCGGATGGTATGGAATTCTTGATAGAATTTGCAGATGACGTCACTAATTTCTGGCACCGAGCTGAGCATGAAATTGGCAATTTGGATTCACAAGACTATCAGGTGAGTCAAACACATAATAATTTGAATTGTATTCACCAGTATTTATATATGTCAACCTTTTGTATTACAACTTTATTTATTATTTATTATTTGTGTTTGTGACTATAACACTTATTTGAAGATAATAATTTGAATTGTATTCACCAGTATTTATATATGTCAACCTTTTGTATTACAACTTTATTTATTATTTATTATTTGTGTTTGTGATTATAACACTTATTTGAAGATAATAATTTGAATTGTATTCACCAGTATTTATATATGTCAACCTTTTGTATTACAACTTTATTTATTATTTATTATTTGTGTTTGTGATTATAACACTTATTTGAAGATAATAATTTGAATTGTATTCACCAGTATTTATATATGTCAACCTTTTGTATTTAGATACATTTATAACACTTATTTGAAGCTAATACAAATATTTTTGTTTTTAAATTTACGAATGTAGATTTTATTTATTAAATTACGAATATGCATTTTATTACACGTATTTTAAATTTACGAATTATGATACCATTTGTTTGGATAGAAAAAATAACTTAATAATCTTACTAATTACAAAATATATGAAAAGGTGCATTATAATAAAAAAATCACTAGCTTCTGCTGGTTTAATAAAAGGGCGTTAGCCCAAATGGACTATTATTCTCGAAATGGGATTTTGCGTGGTCCACTATAAATGACGAATTACTTTTCACATTGTTGCTACCAAATACTGTCGCTCTGTATTTGCCTTTGAAGAAATTAAATAATAAAGAATCTGCATCTATGTACATATGTTTCTCCATTGTACAAAAACGACAGTAATTAGGCAAATAAATTTTGAATAATATTGTCCTCCACCCTAACATGTGTATCTGGAAAGCCAAATTTTGAACTTCGGAATTTATATTTCATATTTTGTAAAACTTTAAGGAATCTTTGGTTTAACAAACTCAACGATTTGAAAGCGTGCAATAAACGGAATGCAATAGTATTCTCTTCCAGCGCGCGAGACAGTCTGTCGGAAATTTTAAAGATATAATGTTTTTAAATATTTTCTGATATCGTTGTTGAACTGAAGTTTATCTGCCGTAAGTTTGAAGAACGTCATATCTAATAAATAAAGCTAACACAAAAAACGTTAATAATAAAAATATGTAAAAATAAGTTTTGTAAGCTATCTTACTCAGAAAACTCATTACTGATATGATGAACTGAGAAAAGACTGAAAAAAGCTAACAAAATAATGTAGCTTTCAGATTTTATATGATGCGCAAAGGGGTGTGTTTTTTTCATTTATATACACATACAGTTTCGAGAGCATTTGGGATAATGTTCCTTTGAGCTAAAAATATTTAAAAACAGCCTACCTCTAGAATTTTCTATAGGCAATCTCGCTCGCTGGATATAATTTTTTTTTAAATTTATTTTATTATTTTTTTTACCCCGTGCTCCCTTTGAAATCGCTGAATTCGTTAAAGTTTTACAAAATATAAAATGCGAAGCAAAACAAATTCGAAATTCAAAATTCGGACTTCCAGGTGTCCATATTCAGGTGGAGGTCTACGTTATTCAAAATTTGATGCCTCTAGGTACCGTTGTTTTTCACAGTGCGATAAACATGCATATATTCATGCCAATTCTTCATTATTTAATTCTTTAAAGATAATGCAGGGTGATATTATTTGGTTTCAACAATTTGAAAAGTGATTCGGGCTTTTATAGTGATTTGACGAAAAATCCCGCTTGGAGACTAATAGCCCTTCTGGGCTAACGCTGTTTTAGAGTCAAAATAGAAAGACGAATGCCAGCACTTTAACGCTGCATCGGAATCTAAACGTATGCTGCTATGGTGCTTTTAAAATTTTTGTAATTTTACTTTTGAATCGTATATGGCGTAAGTGCGAAGCAAATTTTAATAATAAAGCTAGCAGAAGTGAGTGTAACAGCAGAACTGGTAGACTATGAGCTCAGCGAGAGCCAAAAAACCTTAACAAATCCTTTTGGGCTATCGTTAATATCTGAACTCTTTCAGATTTTTTTTTAACAACTTTTAACATTTCTGTCCTATTGTGTATTGCTATCTGTTGTGCACACTTCCGCGCCCAACAGTTCCAATTTCCAATTCTGATAATAATTTTCAGGCATAATTTCTGCACCTGTAATACATTGAGGGCGTTGTTTGTAGTATTTATTGATCATGGAATTATCTTTTCTGTAGATTGTGATTGAAGCAGCACTATCAGGAACTTATGGCAGCGTTAGCATCGACGACATATCGTTAACACCGGAATGTCATCTTGCATTAGGTAAGAAAAATATCTCATTTTATAATTCTTGCTAAATTTTGCAAAAATCAGTTTTTGAACACTTGAGCCAAAATGTAGAGACTTACTTATTACTTTCGTTTAAGCACCTCGCACAATAAAAACCGCGACTTAGGATATACAAGGTGTGATACAAAAAAAAATAATAAAATAAAAAAATAAATAAATAAATAAACGACACTGGTCCAATAAATCATGGTTAAAATTACAGAATAACCATCTAATTACAGAATCAGTTCTCCGTGACATTATCACCTTCAAAGCAGCTCCTTTCAGCATTCAACACTTCTGCATTCGGTGCTGCCATTGCTGGTAACAGTTCTGGAACGAGGTTTCTGGAAGGCCCTTCAGGAGATTCTTCGTTTTTGCCTGAACCTCTTCAGCTGAGGTAAAATGGGTTCCCTTTAAGCAAGATTTAACTTTCGGAAATAAACGTCGCATGGAGCCAAATCAGGTGAATAAGGAGGATGCCCCATCACAGTAATGTTTTTGCTGGTTAGAAACTGCTCGACAGATAGCGCCATGTGAGTGGGCGCATTGTCCTGGTGCAACAGCCATCCATCACTTCCCAACTATGGCCTTTTTTTCTTGATTTGTTCACGAAGTCTTTTCAGTACTTCAATGTAGTAGTGTTGATTAACAGTCTGACCACTGAGAACCCACACAATCATGATAAATGTGCTTGGGCGCCCGGCAAGTTCATCATATTCCCCACTGTCCCGTTCCCCTGAAAACCGCTTATGCCATTCAAACACACGTGCACGAGACAAAGTTTCAGCTCCATAATCCTCGGTTAACATTTGAAATATTACCTCCGTTGTTGATCTCTTAAGAAACTTAATGTTGATTCGCTGTTCGGGTTTTACATTAGACATTTTCCAGGCAGAATGCAGTTGCACGTGTTCACTCAATGACGCAGTACTCCCAACTGGCGTGATCGGTTAAGTCAAAACTGGCCTCATGGATAGAGGAGGTGTGGGGCATGTTGCCACAGTTGTTGCTATTTCCCCTCTTTTCAAGCTACACAGTTAGTCTCATTTTTTTGTGTCACACCTCGTGCATATTTTGTTCTAACATAGGTATTTTGACACGAAATCGGACTTTTTCTGAAATGACAAGCGGTTTTCCTCCATATTTTGATTTTAAGACTAAAAGTAAAAGTATTCTTAAATATTAAATTTTATAAAATTTGGGGAGAAATTTAATGAGCAATTTAAAATAGGCGTATTTTTTTTAATTTTGTGCCAAGAGTAATTCACTTAGCCAAATTCTTAATTTATGGCAACCTATTTTCCTTTCCCTTTCGTTGTGCTCGAACAGAAAAATGGTGCATTGTTCATTTTTTCAAATAATTTTAACGAAGTGTAAACCACATTTGGCGTTATTATTGCTTATAATAAATATAACCAATTTCAAATCGCACTATACATAAATTCACCTATATCTTCTAAAATTTTGAATAAAAAATCTAATTTTTTGCAGGTATTCCTAAAATGCATTTTTTATTTTAAGCTGATGGCAAAATCGTTATAGGTTATAATTTAAACGTTTTTCGAAAAATTTACAAATATTACTAAATTTAATATACAAATTTTAAAAATAAATCAGAAAATATTTGCAAATTTTATTGGATTGAACCTAAATTTCGAACTGTATGGAAGGAGGTGTAAGAAGGAACTGTAAGAAGAAAAGAATCAAGTAAGTTCAATAAGAAAAAAGAGAGATTAATAAATATATACCAAATTGAATTAAAAGAATTGAAATGTAGCTAAGAAAGAGCTTGTTATTATTTAAAGTTTCCCTTAGAAAGTCCTCCACGAAGGCATCCCTCCCTTTAGGCAGATAGCCCTCGAGGCTTTGCCGTAATTAAATAACCTAACCTAACCTAACCTGTGGGCCCAGCAGCGGCCGAGCGGTAAAGTCGCTGAACACTGGTAGTTCGGTCCGAGGTTTGATTTTCGCGAACGGGCTGGCTGCATGGGTGTTTTCGTGATTTTTCCCATGTGTAACGTGTATACGAGCCAGTTTCTCTTAGAAAGTCCTCCACGAAGGCATCCCTCCCCTTAGGCAGATAGCCCTCGAGGCTTTGCCGTAATTGAATAACCTAACCTAATCTAGCCTTTTTCTGTGTAAAAACAAGGCGTTGTCTAAGAATTCCCAACTATCTTGTCATGTTTTACTCTTTTTTCAGACCGTGATATACCTGGAAAACCAACTACTCCTCCTCCCATAGATGACTGTGCCCCTGAAAAGTTTTCTTGCAAGAACAAAAAGTGTTATACTCATCTCCAAAGGTGCAATTTTATAGATGATTGTGGCGACGGAACTGACGAAGAAGACTGTGGTAAGTTCGCATTAATTTTAATTTTACTTTTCCAATTATTAAAAGTATTATACACTCATTAGCGTTCGAAGTGGCTTGAGGTCTTGTCCATGCGTAATCTCAGGGTTTTGGTTCTTCATGTTCTAAAAGGAAAGACATTCAAAGCCTGTTATAATGATCCATATGATGAATTTTATATGAATATTTATATTCTAATATAATAATGACCAATTATAGAAGAGCTTTAATTTTAAGTAAGATTAACAATAAATTTTAAGAAATGTTCCTACTAAATCCAACTTTATAAAAGAGAGGAATTAAATAATGACCTTTAATAATTGACTACTATAGATATAACCTACCTTTAAAAAGCTGTAGGTGATATTTATTTTCTGCTCATGTTTAGTTTTTAATGCTTAAGTTTTCTTCTTGTGGAGCCAAACAATGGCCTAACGGTAAAATCGCTGAACACTGCTAATTCGGTCTGCATTTCAAAGTATTTAGTTTTCGTTTTTATGAATATTAAAAAGCTATTTTTATTCAAATATCGATATTTATCAACAAGTTCTGTATTTTTTTTTCTTTGTTTCTTTAGTTTATAAAACATGTTAAAAATTATCTAAATAAATCTATATATGTATTTTTCGAGTTTCTGAAAGGAGGGGCTAATGATCTTCTAGCAATGGTGATAGTAATGATACTGTTATTCATTGCTGTTCAATGCTGCACTAGTATATTGTGTAAAATTTGAATCATTTCATCAATTTAATTTTCAGATTTCAATCAATTCATGTTATTGATTATTCTTCCATAAACATAAGTACATAAATAATGGTAATGTTAAACTAAAATAATAATAAATATTGCACAAATATAATTAATAATGAGATAATAATGATACTATTATTCGTTTCTATTCAATATTGTAGTAGTATACAGTCAAAAGTCGTAATTCGGACACCCATAATCCGGACCTCAAAGCTACAAACTTTCTGCGCATGTGGCGCGTTGATGCATGCGCATTGGCGTTTACGCATGCGCGTAAGACCTTAATGGCTGCGCATATGCGTGTGCGCATACGCATAATACGTTTACGCATGCGCGTTTAATGTATAACGGACGGTATAAGCTAAAATTATCTAATTATCTATTTCAGTTAATGTTGCAGATTGCGTTGTTCCTTAATCTTCGAATTGGATCCGGCTTATTATTTTTTGTAGACTCTTAGAGCAATTTTATAAAAAAGTAAGCTTGAACTTTCGATTATGTCAAAAAGAGTTTACGATTCTGGAGCTGCCAAAGGATCTTACACAAAGCGAAAGCATGTTTCGGTGTCTATCAAACAAAAAGTGGAATTGCTGCAAAAAATGGATAAAGGCATGAAGAAAGCGACAGAGGGGTTAGTGAAAACGAAAAAATTTCGATTGACAAGTTAGTCGGTATTCTCGGCACAGCAATTAACGGGACTTGAACAGCGGAACTTTGTAACTGAACAAGAAATTATGTCTGTTTATATAGAATTAAAGAGAAAGTATTAGCACATAAAACGAAGCAACTTAAACAACTTAAATTGAAAGAAATGTTTAATAAAGTAAACAAATAAATGTTAAGCTTTTTTTTTTGTTGTAAATTTTGATACCCTTTAAATCATAATTGTTCTTTATTTCATAAATTAGGGTTTCATATTTTTAATTTTATAATTTATGCATGCCATCTTACCAGATTTAAACTGATGATCTATAATCCGGAAAAATCGAAAACCCGGAATCGTCGAAGTCCCGACGAGTCCGGATTAACGACTTTTGACTGTATTGTGTTACATTTGAATCATTCCATCAATTTAATTTGCAGATTTCAATCAATTCATGTTATTGGTTATTCTTACATAAACTTAGAACATAAGTAATGGTAATGATATTAAAATAACAATAAATATAATAAATAAGGGGAATAGTAATGGTACTATTATTCATTTCTAATCAATAATATATTAACACATTGTGTTAAATTTGAATCATTTCATCAATTTAATTTGTAGACTTGAATCAATTGATGTTATTGATAATACATAAAAATGGGGTTTCTGTACATAAATAATGGGGTTTCTTTCTTCGATATTACGTTTTAATGTATCTTTCTAGGTACTTCTTGTGATTTCGAGAATGGAACATGCGGATGGTTTAATGCCTTTGGATACAAAGGAAAGTGGACAATTAGACAAGGAAAGACTAGCTATAACATAAAAACAGATCACACATTAGGAACCAAGGAAGGTATGTAAAGCATCTTCACAATTGTTTCTTTGATAATAACAAAAAGTGACAAAGAACAATTCTACAAAATTGCATGCTTCTAAAAGTAATTTTAAATTAATAAGTTTTTTTTTTTTTTTTTTTTTTTTTTTTTTTTTTTTTGAATTATGCTTTGGACATGTTTTTGGAACATCGTACTTCAGTATTTAAGATAGTTATTAGCATCGTAGTTTATCAACACTGAATGTTTCATCTTAATTTTGACAGAAGGGATTTATTTGGCTGAAATTGCGTTATTAATATTTTTAAAATGTCGTTATTTCAGGTCATTACTTGACCCCCGTGAGTTTCGTGAATGAAGTTGCCCAATTACATTCCAAGCCTTATGTGATATCTGGAGCCAATTGCAAGATGTCCTTTTGGTACTACATAGATGGTTACAACCCCGGTGAACTTTCCGTTATGATATTGCATAATAAGAAAAACAACAAGGTAAGCATTGAACACTGGAATGAAAAGCATTCCATGAAGCTCCTTTCTCTAAGACTACATATCTGATGAACGTGATATAGTTTGTAATTTATGCATTATTCATTATAACTGTGAGAACAGAATGTTTTTCTGAACTGCATTTTTCATTGTTATTTGTTCCACATATTTCATGTAATGAAAAATTATTAGTCCAAAACGGCATTAACCCAGAAGGGCTATTATTCTCGAAACGCCAATTTGCGTCGAATCACTATAAACGATGTTACACTTTTCAAACTGTAACCGCCAAATATTATCACCCTGTATTTTATTTAAAGAAATTTAATAATGAAGAATCTGCATGAAGGGACGAATGTGGCTCGCATTGGGAAAAGTAATGGTACCTAGAGGCATCAAATTTTGAATAGCATAGTCTTCCACCCGAACATGGGCACCTGGAAGCTCGAATTTTGAATTTCGAATTCGTTTTATTATCTATTTCATATTCAGTAAAACTAGTCACCCAGGCAGTATAGTGGTTAGAGAAGCTTACTGCGGTACCAAAGGGCCAAGGTTTGAATCCCGGAGAATGCATGGTTGTAACTGTCCGTAACTTCATAAGAGGCAAGGGTGACCGCCTATTAAGTGCCTCCATTGCCACCACTTCTGGCCACTTAAAGTGCTCTGTTACGCCAAGCGTTATTTTGCGTTGATTTTTTTTTTCCATTTTTTCTATCGTTTTATTTTTTTAAACTATTTTTAATTATAACCAATACAAAAAAAGTTTTTCAGACAGTTTTGACATGTACCTCCTTGCATAAATATTGCTTTAACTTTGTTACTGTTTCATTCGATGAAAGTTTTCAAGTTTTCTTTTTGAAAATGGCAACCTTTCTCTCTTCTTTGGAGGTCAATTTAGGCAGATGAACACGTTTTATTTTCTTTTTTCAACCTATAAATCAATTCAAATCACCTGGATTATATTATAAATCGACTCTTATTTATTATGTTCCCGATTTAAGAATATGATTCGTTTCAAGTAATAGCAAACGTAAAAAAAAAAAAAAAAAAAAAAAAAAAAAATTTGCTTTATGTTTCGGGCGGACCAAAATTCTGTTAATGCAAAAAGGATTAAATTTTCAGGATTTTCGAAAATAAAAGAAGCTTGTTTCACGTGCTAAGAATTTTCACATTTCACGCTTGCTAAGAATAAAAGAGACTTCATAGACTAATGTACAAAACTTAAGGAACTTTTCTGATTTTGGCCGTAATTCCACAAAGAATCAACTAGGAGGCATTAAATTCATAGTACAGAGGAACAATGTAGTACTTAAGGAATGAGGAAAGTATAGTAGCAAAAAAGCAAAAATTTATAGTACGTATATAGTACGGAGGTAATATAAAAAGGTTTTATTGTCAGAATGTCATTGGTACGAAAAACTCTTTGTGCAAGAGGAAGAACAGCAAATCAAAAAACCATGGAAAGACATATGATCTCCTCTACCTGCAATGGTGGCGTTACACCATCTGTCGATTCTCAACACCAGATTATCTTCCAGTTTTGGGAATTAGAGTTCCCATTCCTCAAAAAGCGTCTGTTTCATTCTTCTGGTATTCTCCACGGTGTAAGATTGTGCGGCCAGACTTCTTCCTAAAGTATCCCACATATGGTCAAGGTATCGTGGAGCACACGGCCAATCCATTCTGTGGATATCCTCACCTTTCAGGACCTCTTGATTAGCATGAGCGCTATGTGGTCATGTATGTAGTTTCATGCATAAACACAATGTCTGGACCAATGGTACCCCGTAAACGATGCACGTGGTGGAACAATCTCTGGTAAATCATCACACAATCTCTGGTAAATGAACCTGTGTCGGAAATGGGGAACTCTGTCCCTCCGTTCATCATAATGCCTCCTGATACAAGCACACTAGTGTCCGTTCATCAAAATGCCTGCCTTCCGATACAAGCACGTCAGTACCATCCCAACGGTCTCTTTCCCTGATGTTAGTGAGAAGACGTGACCTTATTCATGAGATGCCCAGTCTTTATGGTCTCTTCACCACTGCAAACGGTGCTGCCGATGTGCTGCTGTCCTAGTGGGCAGCGTTCAGGAGGCGGACAAGTAAGCCATTTTAATGAAAACTTGTGGCCATAGTACTGCCTGTCTACCAGAAGAATAGTTTTCGCCTCAGCGTCTGGCGGGTGGTGGTCGCTATAACAACAGGGCTAGTATATTTCAAATAGGGACGAACCAAGGGTTGCTTTATTGTTATTTTGAGTTTGGCGACTGTGGCTGAGGGGAAAATAGTTTATCATTCATCTTCAAGACACCCTTACGGAAAATGGGTCAAGGCTCGTTTCTACAGCAAAAGACAGCTGCAGACTAATTGGCGAGAGCTTCTCTTATGATAGACAGACTGAAAACCGGGACTGTGTATTCCGGTTGCCGTACGCAACTGCTGAGCAATTTTGCCTACTGCCTGGTTTCGATCTCTTTTCCCATGACTGCATATATATAGGTCATCAGTCACCGTTGTTGTCCTTGGCCGACTACCACCAACCTTTGTTATAGCTGTACTTGTCGTCTGAAAGGCTTCCCAAGCTCGTCATCACATTTTCATCAATTCCAAACACTTGGCCCACAGATGTCAAACTACGCCCCTTTTCAGACTTGTCAATCCTTCTACCATGTGTAAAGGCGTATTGATATTTTTCTTGTGGCCATACTGCATGTAGAGACGCAATTTCATTTGGAGAAAAATGCGTGGAAATGCGCCTTCCTTTCTTCTTTTTAAGTTGCCTTGCACTGCGCGCGGTGTTCGTTTTTGACGTATTTTGACGTACAGTTTGGCATCATGATGCTGAATCTACATATGCATCACCTTTCTATTGAGTTGGCCTTTCATTGTTCACAGAAAAAAAAAAAAAAAAAGAAAAAAAAACCTTTTCAACAGTTTCATGGTTGTCTGTTGAAAAATGGATTTGCTTCTTACGTTTTGCATACTAGCGTATTTGATGTACATCTCCTGTATTACTAGGAAAAATTTGAAAACGAAGATTGTCTGCATAAACATCATCTTTCTGATAAAGTTGTTGTAATGATTTTTAAATTTACAAAATACTTAAAATATTTAATAAAATTTAGACTCAGAGATAAATAATTATTATGTTAAAAGTTCAGTGGTCTGGAATAGTACTGAACGGCAATTTATGCAAAAGCAATTACGAGTTGAACATGCGCCTGTATTTTTATTCACCATGATATGTATCATAATGTTATAGCGACAACTTTAGAATTTGACTTAAAATCCCTAAAATGTAAAGTTTCATTTTCTAAGACATGTTTCGTCATTTTTTGCATTCTGTTCTTTCAGAACGAGGTACTATGGAAAGAATCTAAGCCCCAAGGAAAAGATTGGAAGGAACAGGTCGTCGACATCAAAACACAGGAACACTTCAGCATAGTTTTCGAATCAACACAGGGATCCAGTTACTCTAAAGCCTTGGCTATTGATGATATAAAATTCATAACGTGCGCCTCAAGTACGTGACACTTATCTTTCTCAAATTTTGATATGGAACTAAACTAATGTAAGGTTTATCCCAAGTTTTCAACAGTTAACTTTAGTTAAAGCTACTTTCCTCTCCCTCCTAATTTATAATTTCCTACAAGAATGTGCTTTTAAAATTGCGTTTAATGCAAATGAGTAAGAGCCGTATTTAAGACGAAGTTCCACTGACTTCTTTAGAGAGCCTGAGTTTCTGACTAGAGTGCGTTCGCCTTTTGGCTACACTCTCTCTCGGCCGTATGTCAGGCCTTTGATAGCTTCACCGGCTTTTTTGATATTTAAGGGCCAACTACTTGGAAATATTGATATCTTCGGCTATATCTTTTTAGTTAAGCATTAATTAAGTTTTACTTCTTATTACTTTGAGTTCAAGTCCAATTAGAGGCTTTGCTGTACGCTCTGAGAAGGAGCCATCTGTTAGGTTCTTTATTTTGAGAAATAGAGTAATTAACCCTTCTTGAGTTTTCGTCTGTGCTCATGAAATAAAGCGATTATTCGCTTAAGTGTTCACCAAGTTCCTACACACTTAGCTATTAGATAAAAGGTTGCAACCCCACAACATTTTCCCTTAAATATTGAGGTACGGTGAATCACCTGCTAACTACATCAATATAAATGCTTTTATATCTCTATCTGCCATTATCCAAAATGATTTCTGGATAGAAACGCAACTTAAATTTTTAGCCCAAAGGGGTGTCAGCCCAGAAGAGCTATTAGTCTTGAAACGGCATTTTGCGTCGAATCGCTATAAACGGCTCTACCGCTTTTCAAATTGCTGCCACCAAATTTTATCGGCCTGTATTATATATAAAGCAATTAAATAATAAGTAACCTGCATGAATGTATGCATGTTTCTCGTTCTGTGAAAAAAACAGCAGTATCTAGAGTCGTCAAATTTTGAATAACGTAGTCCGTCACCCGAACATGGGCATCCGTAAGCCCGAGTTATGAATTTTGAATTTGTTTTATTATCTATTTCACATTTTATAAAAAATTCAACGAATTTTTGATTAACAAGCTCAACGATTTCCAAGCAAACAGTGCCAACAGTGTACGGCAAAAAATATTTCTATCTCTAGAGCACGTGACTGTCTGTCGGAAATACTAAAGATGTCCTGTTTTTAAATATTTCATGTTTTTTCTCTCTTTTATATATATATATATTACCAGTATGGATGCACACTTTTAAAATAATTCTACTTTAATTAAACTTAGGAGATAATATAATCAATTAATCAATACTGTTTAGGAAATAAATTATTATATATATATATATATATCGCGTAAGCGCCATGAATGCGATTATTGATAAATAAAGTAAACACACAAATCGTTAATAATAAAAAGACAAAAACAAAATTGTAAAGCCATCATAGTAAGAAAGTCTGAACATTGATATTGATGAACAGAGAAAAGACTCAACAAAACAGAAAAATGTATGCCAACAATTAACGCTGCATGGGAATTCTAAACGTTTACTTCTACGGCGCTTTTAAAATTTTTGTAATTTCGCTGTTGATTACTGTATGGCGTAAGGGCGAAGAAAATGGCGCTTAATAATAAAGCTAAAAAGGCCAGAAAAAAATAGTTAGTAGGAGTGAGTGTAATAGTAGAGTGGTAAACTACGAACTCAACAAGATCGTAAAAAACCTCAACAAATCCAACAAATCCTTTTGGGCGACCGTTAAAATCTGACACCTTTCAGTTTTTGTTTTTAATTATATTATTATTGTTTTATGCTGACAAGCTAATTCTGTCATTCAAATCATAAAATATGTCACGGAACTTAAATTGTATTTGATGCCTGTAACAGAATGACAGATTCACTTACGAAATACATTTTCCAGCTCATCCTCCTGTTGAATGCTCGAGTGACGAATGGATGTGTGAAGACAAATTAAAATGCATCAAAGTTTGGGCTCACTGCGACGGAAAGTACGACTGTGATGACAAGTCTGACGAATATAAGTGTGGTGAGTCTTCTAATTCTTTATATTTAGCTCAGATAAAATGAGCTTAAAAGCAAATGATTGCTTTAATTACACAGATTCTATCTGTGTATTAATACTGAGATTATTGTTGTTATGTATTATTATTAAGTATTGTCAGATTTTCCTCGTATCTGTTCCAGAACCTCAACATGGCGACTGTAATTTTGATTCTGAAAACTGGAAGGACGAATGTGAATGGGTGTCGAAAGAGTTAGAATTTGAGTGGTCCAGGGCGAAGGAAGGCCGAAGTCCGGAAACTGGGCCCGAGAGAAACCAGAATCCCAGACAGGAAGGTAAAACGGGGCTCCGCAATCATAAATATCTCTGTTCTTATGCTTAAATGAAATATGTAATGCTAATTAGTGAAGATATAAAACTTAGCTAATTATATAATAAATATTTATAAGGAAAGTCAGGACAAGCTTGTAAGGTATTACTCCAGCCTTCTTAGCATGCCTTCATGGTAAAATGGCCAGCACACTCCGCGCGTATCGAGAGGTCCGTGGTTCGAGTCCCGGCTCATTTTTTATCACTTCTGGTTCCAAAAATACATAATGTCTCTACAGTGGCGCCCGAACTAAAAAAGATGGTAAATGATGATTCTTCACTACCAGGATTTGGTGATTGGGTCCCCTAATCCCCACTCGCCCTTTACAAAGGAGAGTATGTAAGGTATTACTCCAGCTTTCTTAGCATGCCTTCGTGGTGTAATGGCCAGCACACTCGACGCGTATCAATGGGTCCGTGGTTCGAGTCCCGGCGAGGGCATTGCTCATTTTTCCTCTCTCCTGCTATCAAAAAATACCTAATGTCTCTACAAGCTTTTTAACTATACATTAATACTATATAATTTTTATGTAATTGCTAAGTTATGTGAATACAGCAAGAATAATGAACTGTTAACTATTAATATAGTATTTTTATTAATAAATATAGTAATATTTTTACCGATGGCTCTTTTTGATGTTGTCCTTTAAACGTATCATATATGAATTCTTATCAGCACAAACTTCACTAAGAAGAAATGAACTCAAGCTCTCTTATCTTTTTAGGTTATTTCTTGTACATTGATTCCTCCAAAGCATCGGAAGGCGATCGAGCTGGTGTCATGACACCAGTATTCAAAGCTAGTGAAGGCAAATGCTACCTCCGCTTCTGGTACTTTATGAAAGGGTCTCAGACACTTGGAAAATTAGAGGTAACGTTATTCTGTTATTTATTTATCGATTAATTCTGTCGAAAAACCCTGTATTAGTGTTGCACTGAATTCAGTTCATGTGCCTGAATTCAAATAATGAATTATTTTAGAAGAATCCCTCAATACTATTAAAATATGTGCGCGTCAAATGGATGTTTGCTTGTTTGTAACATCATCTCCTCGAGAACGGCGCGGAGGCTTCGAAAGAGATACCCCCCCCCCGTATTTCAAAAATTCGTGGGCAGCCATTTCGACCATTCTTTTCTTCGTACGACTTTCATCAGCCGAGATATATTAAAAACTACGAAAACGCTAATTTTCGCATTCATTTTTCCAAGTGGCAACAATCTTGCGCACTGGAGATAAAAATCTGCTTTATTTGAAAAGTGTTGCCACCCCTCACTTTCAAATCGTTTTACAAAATATAAAATAAAAATAGCATTGCCAAACTTTAAACATATAATTATTAGTGTATAAGGTCATAGTCTGATGTTGAATGCATGTGACGTCACTGTATGTTGAAAATTATTTTATTATAAATAGTTGCTGTTGGCAACTTTTTGTTTTAGGTTAGGATAATTGATGCGATATGTTATTTCCACGTTAATTCTTTTATTGGTATTGAAAAAAAGTTGTTGTATTAGATTAAATATAAATACTGACATCATGTGTATTAACCTGAATTGCCAAAAGTTTTTGTTTCCTGGTTTGGCAACAAAAAATTGGTTATTGCTTGGAGAGACTGAAAGGATTTTATTCATATTGAAAGGTTTTTATGCATTTTTTTTTCAGGCGGACATGTAATTTATAAATTTTATCTTAGCTGCACAGCTCGCTAGTAAAAAATAATATTTAATACTAAAAACTAATACATTTCCACGTGTGAAACATTCGTGATAATGGAAACATTTTAGCCGAGATTATATCTTAAATCAAGCTGAGAGTATTATGGATAAGATTATAAAGTAAAAGGTATTTCTCCCGCTTTATTCGCATGCCTTAGTGGTGTAGTGGTCAGCACGCACGGGGCGTCTTCTAAAGGTCCGTGGTTCGAGTCCCGTGGAGGGCATTTCTAATTTTTTCATCTCTCTTGCTTTCAAAAAATATCTAATGTGTCTACAGTGGCGCCCGAACTAAAGAAGATAGTGGATGATGATTCTCCAGCACCAGGATTTGGCGACTGGATTCCCTTATCCGCAGGGACAGGGACAGGGGAAAGTGGACGGAGCACCAGAACTTCGTCAGTGACTTTTACAGGTGTTGCTCCGCCGCACTACTGCACCCCGCTGAGCATTCGGTTGGCCCGCATCGGATGCTAGCCTACCAAGACATTTACATAGTAATTTTACATTAATATTAGACTTACGTATTGAATATACAATTACAAAGACATAGTATACAATTATTACAAAGAAATTAACCTATTAACAAAAGTTGGAATACGGAAGATTGATATAACGTAATTATCCCTTATCCCCCAATCGCCTTTTAAAGAAGGAGGGGTATATAAGGTATTTCTCCCCCTTCTTAGCATGTCTTCGTGGTGTAATGGTCAGCACACGCGGCGCGTATTCGAGAGGTCCGTGGTTCGAGTCCCGGCGAGGGCATTGGATATTTTTCACGTCTCCTGCTTCGAAATAGCTGAAATGTTTCTACAAAAAGTAATGACAATTTTAATGCAGATAACTTGAGTATAAAAACATGCTGTAACAACGCTGTGAAGTTGTAGCATGAAAAGCTAAAAATAATAACAATAAATTTGAGTAAATCGCCTAATTAATATTTTTTATCATCAATATTCTTAAATGGAGTTTTTTGGTGTAACTATGTTTGCGAACTTTAGGAAATATATAATGATAAAATCTGCCGCAATTGTCTCTAGAGAGTGAAAACAATTATTACACTTTTAAATTTAAATATTAAACTAATAATTTTAATTTGATAATAAGATTTCTCAATTTACACTGGTGTGCAAAAATTAAGGACGAAGTCGAAAAATTAGCATATCAGCTGAACGAAGAGGCAGAGCGGACAGAAAGACCAATCAGGAGATTAAGTAAGGTGATGTACGGTAGCACATGCGCAGATATGCAGGTGGACGTAATGGGGGAGTGTCTCAGTAGTATAAAGCATGTTGTCGGTGTAAGATCAGTATTTCTGGCAAAGAGATTGCACGCCGTATAGCAGTTAAAATCACACCGAGTTGCTGCCTCAGCGAGAAATGGCGAATAATCAATCTGTTAGACGACATCTGGATGCTTTTGCCCGAGGTCGAATCATATGGAAGTTGAAGGAAGGCCGCTGTGTGACAAGTGTGGCTGCAGAGTTCGGAATTGCTCACAGCATCGTTTCACGACTTTAGAGACAATTTCAAACTACAGGAACAGCTATCCGGGGGTTTAGTAGTGGTCGTCCACGAGGAACCACACCCGCAGGTGCCTTACAGGCCACAAGAAACAGGCGGCAGACAGCGGTAGCCGAACAGCTCTTAGAGAGTGAGGATATTGAACGTATGGATTGGCCGGCACGATCTCCGGATCTCAATCCCACCGAGCATGTATGGGATTTTCTAGGCAGACGCTTGGCAGCTCGTACCTTACCACCAGTAACAATTCCGGAGCTTCGATTGGCGCTGCAAGACGAATGGGCAGCAATGCCTCAACAACTCATTGACACCCTCATTCTCAGCATGGGCAGATGCTGTGAAACCTGCCTAGCAGTCAGGGGATATCATATCCGCTATTAAAGACCGGATGTTTCTTGCTGGACACCCATCACAGGGATGTTTCGGCCTCCAGTCGCATTGCGCTCCATGCTACTTTTTCAATAAAGCTTCTTTTTATCCCTCTGTTTTCTCTTTTAGTAAGTGTCGCTTACATTACTCATGTCCTTACGTATTGGGGATCTTACGGTATTAAATGTGGTAATTTGGAAAGCTTTTGTACAAAGTTATATTGAAAAAACCGTCTCGTCCTTAATTTTTGCACACCAGTGTACTTATTGGCTATTAAACAACGGCAGCTCTCTTGCTACAGATAAAGGAAGACAATTTGACACCTTTTGCCCAATTCTACCACCGTTTTCAGTTAAATTACCTCCATGTAAAACTTAATTTTAACTGGAGAGAAACTGGCTAATTAATAAAACTTTCGTATCTGAATATTCCGACCGCAAGAAATTATAAGCATAGTATTATCTCAAGTAAAGGGTTTCCATTTAGAAAAAAGAAAATTGCATGAAATTTTAAAAAATCATTTCTAACTCTGCTATAAAATCGAAAACTTAATTTTCGTTGAACATTTAAAATAAGTATTCAGACTTTAAATTAAATTAGTAATCATCGTTAGAATAGCTTAGTTTTAGCCCAAACGGACGGTAGATCCAAAGGGCTACTAGTCTCAAAACGGCATTTTGCGTCGTTTCACTTTCTGCGTTCGTTCACTTTTCAAACTGTTGCCACAAAATATTATCGTCATGTATTTTATTTAAAGAAACTAAATTATGAAGAATCTGCATGAATGTTTCTCTCACTGTGAAAAACAAACCCTACCTAGATCCATCAAATTCTGAATAATACAGTCCTCCAACCGAACATGGGCATTTAGAAGACAGAATTTCGAATTTGTTATATTATCTATTTCAAATTTTGTAAAACTTTAACGAATTTCCGATTAACAAATTCAACAATTTCAAAGCAAGCAATGGCAGCACTGTACGAGGGAAAAAATTATTTCCAGCCCGCGAGATTGTGTATTGGAAATTCTAAAGATTTGCTGTTTTTAAATATTTTTTGGTATTGCAGTTGAACTGAATTTTATCTGGTTTAAGTGCGAAGAACATGATATGTAATAAATACACGTAACATAAAAAACGTTAAAAGAAAAGCGCCCCTTTGGGGGTAATATAAAATCTGGAAGCTTTCAGACTTTTTTTATTAATATTTTTATTGCTGTTATATTTTTGCAAGTTTCCTGTCTAGTAACTTTAGAGTAGATAATGAGAGGAATTTTGTACTTCACAGGTTCTCAGCGAAGGAGAGAATGGACAAATATTTCCACTATGGGTCAAGTCTGGTCCTCAAGGTGACAAATGGATGTACGCTTACGCTGCAGTCGGCAATCCTCAAACGTACAGAGTTGGTTTCATCGCTCATAGAGGTGGTGACAACAGGACTGACATCGCCATCGATGAAGTTAAATTCACATACCGATGTGCTGAAGGAGGTGAGTGGTCGACACTTATTGCAGATCATTTACTCTGTCGTCCAACAAAATCCCTGGAGTCCTCAAACACTTTAATGCACTGAATGAATCTAAATAAATGATCAGTTTAGCGAAAGCTGTTTAGATATAAAACATGATGCATAGTAAAGAGCTGCTTATTCTGAAGTGATTACATAGCACTGACCGACTGAAAACCGACCTCTGAACTCTGAATTACAAAGGCTGCAGTAGCATAGTGTGTAGCCTTCGAAATATCGAAATATATTGGGGGTATACCTATTATACTCACTTCTACGTTCATCAGAGTATTGTCTATAAAAGGCTTCACTTGTATTATTTTTGTCGAATGACTGAAAACATCAAGAGAATGGACTGATGCATCATACCAAGGAGGAATTTCAAAACGATTTGCCATTTGAACATTGATCCGGTTTATCCTCAAGCAAGGAAGGAATCTTCAACGGAAAAGAAACCACACTTAGGGGTCGCGCTTGGAATAGTAGATTACATGTATGAATTATCGAGCATTGAAACTCGAGCAGGATGGTTATGTTGTGTTGTTATATTAAATTTGTAGAAAAGAGATACTTTCTCATGCCTCAATTGAAGCGACGGTTCAAGACATTCTAGATAAAGACTGTGCACTGGAGATGTTTTGAAAGCTCCATAACAAATCCGCAGAGCTTAATGATGAACGGGATCCAATTTCAACAACAGAGCCGACAGTGCAGATCCATAAGTAATTGACCCATTATCAATTTTAGATCGGAGAAGAGTTGCATGAATGTGTTCCTGGGAAATGCTTTATCTATTCCCAGGATATATTGGATAAGAATTAAAGTATTTAATTTTTTCATATACGATTTCCTCGAGTTTGAAATATCAGACGGAAAATTTAGCTTCTTGTCGAACATTACACCTAAGTACTTTGTCTCCTGTGTAATGGGAACTAGTATATTTCCCAGATAGAGCTCAGGATCTGAATGCAGGTTTCTTCTGAGGTAAAAGTTAATACAGACGGTCTTCTTGCTTTAAAACTTGAATCCATTACATTCTCACCACTTAGTAATTTTACTTGGATATATTTATAGCTATAAAACGGATGGCTGCACTTTAACAGCTAATTTGTAAGCCATCGGCATATAATGTTGTGTTGATAGTACGAGGAAGTTCTTTAAGAATACAATTAACTGTTAGATTGAAAAAGTGTCATACTCAGCTCACAGCCTTGAGGCAATCCTCTACTTGAAGATTTGACAGTGATTCTGTATTGCTATAGCTTAAAGACATGTTGTCAATGGTATGATCGATGAGGAGTGATCTTGAGCAGCAAGGAGAGTTACACTTCCTCGCACTTGGTCCCCACTGACATTATCTATCTTGGCTGTTGAATACCTCCGAATATTTACAGATATATCTGGTTTCAGAATGTTTCCTACACCACAAAGCAGACAATGTGGTGAGCTTCAATGAGATCTTTAATAGTGGCAATGTTTTGATGAAAGCCGTGACAGCTCTACGAAATGAGGGTGGCCATCATGAATGTTTGCTTCGGCGATGCTATTTCTTAGAATGTCGGGATAACAGATGTTTTAGAATGTCTAATCCTTCTTTTTTTCATACTTTCTGAATCAGCACGGTCTGAATACATACTTGCAACTGGACCATTGCTGGACTTCTATCTTTAGTTACGTTTTTTGATGCTTTCTTAACATTATTTGCCTGAATTCTGTAAAATTTGTTTGGTTCCTTTTTGATGAGATTTCGGAGCGTCTTAGGATTATTGAGATTTGGTTACTTCTTCCGGGGTGGCTTTTACTGTTTGTAGTTTTATTATAGTGTTTGGAAAAGTAGAATACATAGCTTGGACACCAACTGCATAAACAGATTTCCCACTTTTGGCATAATATGTATTTTCACGGTGGTTGCATATTATTCAATATTCCTTCCTCTCCGTAAGAAATATCTTTGTTACTTTAATTTTTGGACTTTCTTTTAATTTTGCCATTTTGGATAATGCCTAGGGTATGCTGCGTGGTCACTCTTACAATTTACATATAAAGAGACAGCGGATAAATTTTTCAGTTTCACGCACTATGCACTGAGCACTTGTAATGCTGCCATGATATTTTAGACTGGTCGAAACGCTGGCTTTAACGACGCAAGGGGTTAGGGATATAAGGCCTGACGGGACAGCGAAGATACCCGTTTTAAAATTACATGTTTGGTATTAATTAGCAAGCCATCCCTGCGCACCTTAATTCTTCTAGCAGAGCACACTTTTGGGACAAAAATTTCACAAGAAAATTCTTCATCAGGAACTGAAAGGAGCTCTAATTCAGATATAACATCCCGAGAAAAATATAAGGTCTTCTGTGCTGAAAGTTTCAGGATGATTCTTCAAGTTTCGTCATTTTGAGAAATGAGGTGGTCTGAACAGCAGAATGTATTTCAATGAGAAGATCCCCAGAACGAAGTTTTTTTATGTCTTTAGGTTCACCTGCATAGGCCTTGATAAACTTATGGGTAAATAATGAAGCTCGGGAATAACCAGCAACTGCAAGATATCTAGGGATACTAGCATTTTCATTGTCTGAATAGTGTTTAAATTAGTCATAATGCAAAGAAGAGAAAGAATCCAACATTGGCTGCACCGCCCACCACACAGCCCAAGAAGGCGATGCAACCCGTGCATCAGTGACTGCAATGTCTAAAGCTTTCAAAGCACTCTTTAACCTGCCCTCCACCTTTTTAGCGAGGTAGCCAAGAGATGCACCGATTGCTCAATCCGAAGACAAAGGGTAGTTTTACCAGCTGATTGATACGTAAGGGACCAGTATGTACCTCGTTTAAGGAGGCTCTTCAACTGTTTGTTTAAATGAGAATTTAGCTACAATCTTGAAAAAGAAAGCATAGCTGAGCGGGCTAGACCCATGGTTCTTTTGTACTACGGAGATCAAGCTTTCGATCCCAGACGAACAAGAAAAAAATAATAATTGGGACTCGTATATATTTTTATGTGCTTTTTTATTTAATCTAGAATTTTTTGAATTTACTGAACTTTTGAACTTTAGAGCAATTGATTTCCTATTGGTCAACTCGGATCATATGACAACGCTCAGAAAATGCCATTGCTTATCTCAAGAAAATGCCATTGCTTATCCTTGACTCTACAAATTATGTTATTCCGATGTTTTTTAACCTCTGGAATTTACGATTTCTATGAATGTTCAAAAAGTGATATATAGAAGTAAAAATTCACGACTGATTGCTTCTTATAAGGCTGATGATCCGATCCTTCTTTAAACTGAAACAGAGGCTAAAGCAGCGTGTTACAAACAGAACCTCACCTCTCAACTAGCAGCTCCTCTTTTCCAGCCTCACGAGTCTTCTTGCACAGCAAACGCGGGGCAGTTTTCTCTCAATAAGAAGCTAAAAACAAAAATATGCAACGGCATCTCACTTTGGCCCTTAACTTCCGAAAAGAAAGCCACAAGCCACGAGGTCTTGATATCCAGTTCATCAAGAGGATGGGTCCCTTGGAGGGCTAGGTTGCCTCGGGATTGTCTCCCAAAGCCTCTGAGGGGGCCAGCAACAGCAATACAGATATATTGTTGCCAGCGATCTCAAACAGCATGGAATATCTCGTTACTGACGAGATTCTTTAGCAGTTTTTCTTTTTCCTTTTAGTATTCTGTTTCAACCCTACTCCTTTGAAGTTTTCTTTTTACTTGTGTTAGGATTATAGCTGAATACAGAAATAATGGAAAGAAAATGTAACACTAGAACTCTTTTGTTATATTGAAATTGTGGAATGTTATCTCTAAAATGTTACTTTCATAATATTTACAACGCTCTACCTGTCGTTTTCAGGTGAAGCAATTGTGCCAACCGGACCAACATCTTTGTGCGGCAAGGATGAGTTTATGTGCAAGTCTCGAACCCAGTGCATACCTAAAGAATGGAGATGCGATTGTGCCTACGACTGTGACGATGGAAGCGATGAAGAAAACTGCCGTACGTAGAATTCTCTGTCTCATAGATTTCTTTGCTAAATTTTTAATTTTTTAATGCATTTATTTGTATTCGTCTTATAATGATATTCATTTTTTTTCCTTTGTAGCGGTTCAGTGCTTCACTACAAGACGTAAGTTTATTTATTGTCTGTTTGCTGCCATAATTTTAAATAATAAACATTTTAATATTCTTATCAGCACTTTTAGTAAAATGCCCTGAGTCTTTTGAAAACATCTTATATGAAATCATTTATGCTGGATCATAAATAAATGTCTTTGATATTATTACATCGTTACACATAAATTACATTTAATTCCGCATTAATAACCTACGCTCGTTCTTACAAACTATCTTATCTCAGGAATCTTACGAAGGAGACGATATCGTTTAATTCTTTACGAATACATTCCGCTTTTGCTAAAAAGGAATTAACGCTAAACGTCTATTATAAGTCCGGATACAGCAATTAAATGTTAAAGCCGTCCTATCTTGAAACTTTCAGTCAAAAATATCAAAATGCCAAGAATCTATTTCTTATTAACGTTTTCTTAAATTAAGTTACTCTATCTCTCAGTTCACACGCACACAAACAAACAAACAGAACGCATTTTTAGACAATTTTTTCCCTGAGATATGCAGTGAAATATGATTTTTTCTAAGATATGCAGCAGAGGCATTTCTTCTAAGATTCAATCTGAGATCCTTAAGATCCTTCAAAGATATGCAGTGAAGGTTTCGAAAAATACGTGTGAAAGGTGTAATATTTAATGCCACCTACGGCCGAGCATTGAACACTGGTAGTTCGACCTGGGTTAGATTTTACGCGAACGGGAGAGCTACATGGGCTTTTCCGTGGTTTTCTCCATGTGTCACATGGATACGAGTCAGTTCTCTTAAAACGTCCTCCACGAAGGCATTTATTCACTTATCCATCGCGTACTTCGCTTTCAAACGAAACCAAACCAAGTCTAGAATTTAATAACGTGTTATTAAAGCAGCTGTTGTATAATAAAATCATTATACTGCATTGCATGTTCTGTCCTTTAAAAATCAATTAAAGTTTCTTCATATTTTTATTCGTTATGCGTTTCTTCTTCAGCTCCAAAACCTCCCAGCAGTATCACGCCATATATCGAGCCCACAGGAACACCTATACCACAGAAGCATTGTCCTGAGGGCCAAAAACTTTGCGGTGATGGCAAGACGTGCATTCCTGGTCTTCTACTATGCGACGGAGTTCCTGATTGTCCAGATGGTTCAGATGAAAAATATGGATGCGGTAAGTCTGTCTTGACTATCTGGCGTACGATAAATTTAACTTGTTTCAAGATGTCTTTGGATGGTGTTAATGGTTGTTTGAAAAGTCTTGAGAGACAATGAGAGAGTTTGAGATTTTGGATCTATATTTCAGCATTCTTTCAAGCTATCCTATATTATAAATGGGAACACTTTTATGAGATTTTTCAAGGCCATCACAATTTGGTCATTTTGGGCAAGTAACTTCATTTGACACCGATTTGTGAAACTTGAACACAATTAGATATCTGCAATTTGCCGCTAAAATGCTTCATGCTGTTACTTTTTATTTCCTTGTACGAAGCAAAGGAAGTACTCAAATCGTGAAAAATTTCGGGAATCATATTTCAACGAAAATATCCATTTTGACCGCTCTCGAATCCGTTTGAAAGATGTTTTTCCATGACATCTTTATCGCATCACAGGTTTTTATGCCTTTAGCTAATCTGCATGAAATAGTTGTAGAATTATCAACAATTTAAAAGTGGCGCGTTAAGCTTAAACCGCTATTTATTTACATTTGAAACTTAGTAAAATAGTGAACTAGGTCAGTTTTTGCACCTCCAGTGTCCTTTTGCCGAGTGTGACCAAAATTAAACTTTCAGTTTTGTGCAACGAAAAATCTGCCTTCTAACCGCTGGCCGAATTGCTTTTTTTTTTTTTTTTTTTTTTTTTTGCGTAGAAACTTTAATTTTAATTGTAAAAAAATTTATTTTTTTAACTGTTTTAACTGTAGTCTATCTTTGCCTTCAGCCTTTAAAGAAATTATGTTTTAGTTCTGGTTTCATCAACAGATGGCGCCAGTAGCTTATCTCATGCCCAGGCTTTCTTATCTTATCTAATCGTTATATCTTATCTCGTTCATTTGCGTTTTTGCAGCTGAGGATGATGTTTCGGTAAAACCATCGAAACTAGTCCTGTGAAAATTTGAAAAATATTATGCTGATTTTTGTTGTTTGATTTCTAAATTAATGTTTTAACTGTATTTGATGTTTTAGGCATTTCTGTATTTTACAATTCGTACTGAAGATGCTTTGATTTTTTTATGTATTTTTGCTTTGCCGCGAAGACAGAACTGAATTAATTGAATGGGAAATATATCTCTAATGAAATACGAGGAAATAACTTTAAATGAAATCCGGCAAAAAATGTCTATAATTTAATAAGCCATACAGGGAAGTCATATGTGGTGTCCACATGAGAGCTTTTTTGACTTTATTTGTTTATATTGGACGTTTAAACATCTTAACTACTATAACATGTTATATTGAATTTCACTTTTTGTACCATAATTTACATTTTTTTACTTTTCAGGAAATGCACGGCTGTGTTCAGGAAAGTTCTATTTCTGTATGGATCGTGCCTATCCCCCCTGCGTGGCAAGAGAGAAGCTCTGCGATGGAGTAAAAGACTGTTCTGATGGATCGGATGAAAGTATTTGTGACAGTATGTAGAATTCTAAAAAGCCTTTAGTTTACCAGACTGTATCGAATCTCTTTGCAATTTGCTTATTACTAGATTCAACGAATAATGTAAATCGATTCCGTCACATTGTAGTAAATTCTCTTTTCACCAGCCTAAATGGGACCGGGGTTAAGTCGGTTAAACGAAATTCCGGTTAAAGCGAAGAATGAAAAAAATTATTTAATTGATGGAAATGCACTTCTTTATAGTTAAAATAAGCGTTCATTAAATGTGTCAATTTATTACAAACGTTTTACATACCATTAGTAGAAATGTTTAAAAAATTCAGTTATTTTTTGCTGGAAATTCGGACACTCGCCGGAAATTTTCGCCATTTTTTAAGCATTAAATCAATGAAAGAAGCCGATGTCTGTTGTTCCATATAGCATAAAGCCATTTTCAATGCTTTTGCTCCACCTGTATGTAATATGTCGGAGGTCGCATTGTCATCGATATCAGAGTATTTGTCATCGTTAAAGTCATGTTCATATCATGTCAGCGACAACTCCAAAAATGTCGGCGATGTTTGATGTCAACGACATCACCATCGTCGACAAAGATGTCGTCGTCATCTTGTTGAAGATCCTGCCATTGGTCAACCCCCGCTCCACGTCTTCAGCATCAACATCTTCGCATCCATTAACCATTAAAACATTTGAACTAAGATTTTTTTTATTTCGTATTCAAAATACATAGATCAGGTTTTTTTTTTTTTTTTTTTTTTTTTTTTCCCAGTCCAAAAGGGTTTTGTCCCTGAAGGCCTATTTTTTTTCGTTTTGCGATTTTGCGTTGGTTTACTATAAATGTCCGTTTCACGTTTCAAACTGTTGCCACCAAATGTTAGAATCCTGCATTATATTTGAAGAAATCAAATAATGAAAAATCTGCATAAATCTATATATATTTTTCGCATTGTGATACAACAGTACATAGAGCCATCGAATTTTGAATGACGTAAACCTACTGCGAATATGCGCATGTAGAAGCCCTAATTTGAAATTTGGAATTTGTTTTATAATCGATTTTATATTTTGTAAATCTTTAACGAATTTTTTATGAACAAACTCGAGGAAAAACACTTTTATCCAGCGCACGAGACTGCTTATCGGAAATTCTAAAGATATGCTCAATTTAAAATTATTTTGGACGTAATTTAAAATCTGAAACCTTTCAGATTTTTATTTTTTTTTTTTAGTCCAAAGGGATTTGAATCCCGAAGGACTATTAGTTTCGTTTTGGCATTTTGCGTCGGACGGATAAATGTCGGTTCACTTTTCAAACTGTTGCCATAAAATGTTAGAGTCCTGCATTATATTTGAAGAAATTAAATAATGAAAATCTGCGTAAATGTATGTATATTTCTCGCATTGTCATAAAATAACGGTACATAGAGTCATCGAATTTTGAATAACGTAATCCTCCAACGAATATGAGCATGTGGAAGACCAAATTTGAAATTTGAAATTTGTTTTATGATCGATTTCCTATTTTTTAAAACTTTGACGAATTTTTGATTAACAAACTCAAGGATTTCAAAGCGAGCAATGGCAACGTTGTGCAGAAAAAAACATTTTTATCTCCAGCGCGTGAGTCTCTGTATCGGAAATTCTAAAGATATGCTCGTTTTAAAACTATTTTGCGATATTGCTGTTGCACTGGATCTTATGGTTTAAGTGCGAGGAACATGATATTTAATAAAGAAAGGTAACACACAAAATGTTAAAAAACGCCCCTTTGGACGTAATTTAAAATCTGAAACATTTCAGATTTTTTTTTTTTTTTTTTTTTTTTTTACTTGAATTAATAACACTCGTTAAAGCGGAGAACCGGTTAAACGGAGGCCGGTTGTGAAGAAGTCTTTTCTACTTTAAACTGGTGATTGCTGTTGAACACATATTACTTTAGTTGTTGTCCAAATCCTAAATTTTGTCGAATTTGAATTCAAATTCCAAATGGCTCTCCAGTCAGTCCTTCGTATAAAAATAATTACGAGAAGAAAAACTATTATTTAATATTAGAAAATTTAAGTAGACTGAAAATTGAATATCCATTTAATAGAAACAGTTTTAAGAATATTCCAGCAATTTTGCAACTTTTTATTATATACTAGCTATAAGGAATGGACCTTTATAGCCGATATTTTTCAGGTTTTGACACTATTATTAATCGTGGAAAAAATGTATGCAGTTTCTGCATTTTTTTACGATAAGCACTGACATAAGTTTGTTCGAAATTTTGCAACTTTGATAGAAAGTGGTTACTCTGACAATAAAAAAAAAAAAAAAATACCTTGGTCCATTAATTCTTTACCACAAAATATCTTGATCCATTAATTTCTTGCCAGAAAATATCTTAGTCCATTAATTCTTTGCCAGAAAATATCTTAGTCCATTAACTTTTGTTCAAATAATTAATTCTCTGTGAAACAAAGCAGAACTTCGTGAAGACATTTTGTTACAAAAAATAAGTTTTCTATTTATTATTTTTTATTCTGCCACAGTTTCAATACGAACTTTTAAAATTCTGTACATAAATAATTTCCTCTGTTTCCTACATATTCGAATCGGAGTATATAAACACAAGAATTCATTCACTAACCTTTTTACCACACTTTTAATTTTAAAAAAGGCTTTATCTTTATATGGACATGCATATATAAACCTTGATTGTCTAGATCGATATTCAAATATGCGAAGAACAGTTTTTCACAAGTAGAAAAGGAGAAACTACGTAATGCTGTGCAAAAGCTTTGAAGTGTGCTATTTCTATTTAATTAATAACTATAATGCAACTTGAAAATTTTGCATTAAGTTTTTTTTACCGAATGGGATATTTGTCTCGAAATGGCATTTTGCGTTGAATCACTAAGAGCGGCGTATCACTTTTCAGATTGTTCCAATCAAATATTATCGCCCTGTATTGTGTTTAAGAAATTAAATAGTGAAGAATCTGCATGAATGTATGTATGTTTCTCTCAGTGTGAAAAACCGACGGTACCTAGAGCCATGAAATCTTAAATAAGTAGTCCTCCACCCGAACATGGGTAGCTGGAAGCCCGAATTTTGAGTTTCGAATTTGTTTTATTATCAGTTTCATATTTTGTAAAATTTTTAATAAAAAAACAAATTTTTTTACTAAAAAATTTTACCGATTTCAAAGCGAGCAGTGGGGAAACTGTACGGAATAAAACGTTTTTATCTCCAGCGCGCGACACTGTCTACGGGAAATTCTAAACATATGCTGTTTTTAAATATTTTGTGATTTTGTTGTTGAATCGAATTTTATGTGGCGTAAACGCCACGAATGTGATATATAATAAGTAAATAAACATGCAAAACATTAATAGTAAACAGAGGGGGAAAAAATTTTAAATTCCTCCTAGTGAGAAAAGCGAACATTGATGTGATGAACTGGGGGGGGGGAATGTTATACCAACATTTAACTCTGCATCGGGGATTCTAAACGTATACTGGTATGGTGCTTTTAAAATCTTTGTAATTTTTTCATGGAATTGTATATGGTGTAAGTGCGAAGAAAATAATGCTTAATAATAAAACCAAAAAAAGAAAGGAAATCTGAAATGTTTTAGATTTTGAATTACGTCCAAAGTGGCGTTTTTTTCTACATTTTGTGTGTTACATTTATTTAATTAAATACCATGTTCCTTCGCACTTAAACCATAAAATTCAGTTCAAGAGCAATATGGCGAAATAATTTTAAATTGAGCATATCTTTAGAATTTCCGATACATAGTCTCCCGCGCTGGAGATAAAAATGCTTTTTCTGTACAACGTTGCCATTGCTCGCTTTGAAATCCTTGAGTTTGTTAATCAAAAATTCGTTAAAGTCCGTTGTTTTATCACAATGAGAAACTTACATACATTTATGCGAATTCTTCATTATTTAATTTCTTCAAATATAATACAGGGCGATAATATTTGGTGGCAACAGTCTGAAAAGTGAAACGGATATTCAGAGTTATTCGACGCAAAATCGCAAAACGAAAACAATAGTCCCTCAGAGACAAAGTCCCATTGGACTAAAAATGTGTTAGTAGTAATGAGTAGTCTAATAGCAGACTGGTAGACTGCGATCTCAGCGAGAGCTTAAAAAACCTTAACAAACCACCCTTCTAGTAGACTGTTAAAATCTGAAACCCTTCGGAGTTTTTTTATTTATTTATTTATTTATTTATTCATTTATTTTTTGTGTGTAAACACCTTTGTTTATTAAAATAGTTTTGCATGCTTTGCAGTGTCAGGAGTTATTAACTATTAATAATTTTATCACGTGTTTTCTTTTAGAATGCCCGCAAACATTCTGTCAAAATGGAGGAAATTGTTCCATTGTTAAACGGGCTCCAGTTTGCAAGTAAGTTAACTTTATTGCTTTTTTTTTTCTCCTATGGACAAAACTGTTTCATGATTTGCGGTTTTGCTAATTTAACAAAATAGTTATAAATTCAAATGTATTTGTTTCTACTGCATACATCCCTACCATTCACTTGCCCAAGCCTGAAAACGATAGGTTGGACAATCTATGCAAAATGTCTCGTTTCGATTAACAATTCTTTGTTTTCGATTGTTGTTCCGTATAATTACATTATTTCTTCTGAATGGTTGCAGTAGGATAAAACAATTCATTTCTGTGATGTGAAATATTTGAAATTTCAATTAATCAAGCAGACCCCGAATTTATATACTCACTCTAAGGTTCTTCACTTTAGAGATTAACGTTGTGAATAAAAATGAAGCATATTTAATTCAGCTAAAAGTATACATAAATATGAAAAGCCTGTTATTTCGTAAACATAGTGATAACGTAAAAGTTTTTAGTTTGCATCTGCATAATACCGATAGAATTGTAATGCAGTATGATAGATCTTTCTTAAACCAAATAATTATTTGTGTAGAAGAAAATTTCCTCTCCTGAGTAGTAATTCTCATTTGATAGCATTAAATTTTTTAAACACCTCAAAATGATCACTGAATATAAATCTGTAACATATGAAAATGATCATTGAATATAAATCTGTATCTTTGAAATCTGTAACAGCAAAGCAAGAAATTAAAGTGCCCAATAACAAATTCTCTATTTAAATATTATATTTCCAAACTGGAAATTCTAAAAGCTGTTAAATCAGAAGAATTAAAAACCTGAAGAAATTGTAGAGTATTAGGATTTTTCTGAAGAAGGAGACATGAAAAATGACCAATGCCCTCGCCGGGACTTCTCGAATACGCGCCGAGTGTGCTACCGCTACACCGCGAAGGCATGCTGGAAGGAGGGAGAAAGTATCTTATATTCTCCCCTTTTAAAGGTCCATTGGGAATTAGGGGAACCAGTCGACAAGTCGGCAGTGACGAATTATCATTCACTACCTTTTCGGGCGCTATTGTTGATTGTTCGGGAGCTATTATAGAGTCATTAGGATTTTTCTGCAGGAGAAGACATGAAAAATGAGTAATATCCTCGCCGGGACTCGAACCTGGACATTTCGAATGCGCGCCTAGTGTGCTACCGTTATGCCATGAAGGAATGAAGAAGGGAGAAAATACCTTGACAAACCTTCTAAACTGTGCTATTTACTGACTTGTAAATATAATTTTTCATATTTACAAGTCAAGTCATCATTACAAGTTTTTCATATTTACATAATATTTTTTAATCTTATGCTTTAATAAGCTTTTAGTTAATGATACAAAAGAATTGTGCATGGTTTTGTGAAGTGAAATAAATTTCCTCGTCATGTCTAATCTAACGTCGGGCTTTAAGAATTTAATTTTTTTTAACACCAAATTAAATTATTTAAATTATACTGCTAAATTTGACACTTAAAAATGTCCCAAATTCTTCTGTTAATGATTTCCATTTGCTACTTTAGTTTTTAATTTCCTTTATAATTAATTTAATCTGACCAACAATCAGTACTCTAGTGGTTAAAGCCAGGAAATACCACAACTAATTATGTTCTGATGAAGTGAATCGATTGCATGAAAGTCTTCACCAGCGTTTTCATGTGTGCCGTAAACGCCAGCCAAGTTCCCTCATAAAGTCCTCCAAAAGGGCATCCTTTTCCTCATAATAAGATATTCCTTCTACGCTTTTTTTTTTTTTTTTTTTCTTTCACGTTTAAATAATTTTTATCCTTTTCTAGCATGCGTTCTTTAACCGTTTAATGCTGAAAGCATTTAGAATATACTTACCAGGGATTAATTTCTAAGATTAGAAGTGCCGGAGCTCTATGGAAGACCGTCAGCAAAGAGGAACAAGAGTAAATTAATAAATAAAATGACTATTAAACTCATTAATAATTTTAAAATTAAATAGTTAATTATTATCAAATTAATTAATGATCATAAATTGTTATTTAATCAATAATTATTAGATAATTAATTATAATTTAATTGATAATTATTATTTATTTAAATAATTAAAGATTGAAGTAAATAAATAATTAAAATTAATAAAATGTAAAGAGAGAAATTGAAATTTCATAAGCGATTTTTAATATAATTTTATTGTTAAAATAAAATTTTCGAGATAAAATTTCTACTGAAATTGTTATTCAATCACATAAAAGAAGTGCCGCAGCCTTCTTATTCAGGGCTCCGGTGCGTTCCAGCTAGAATTATGATTTATTACAAAAACTAAAAAGCACTGGAGCCGAGATCCGGTGGGCTCCGGCCCAATTTAAGCTCTGATCGTAGGGGGAAAAGCGTTCTTTTATCATCACAAAAATTAAATATACTTACAGCTGATGAAAATTCCGGGGCGAAACAGAATGAGGGTATGAGAAGCTGGAAACAAAAAATGAGAGAAATCTTGGTGAGAGAGAACGTTTTCTTTAACCGCGGCTCTCTGCTGATATAATTATAGCCATCAAGCAGATGTGTGTCAGAGGTAAATTGAGTCCTGAATCTGAATTGTAAGGATGAATATAAAATTGTTGGTTACAGTTTTCGCCCCCCCTGTATTTGGTTACATTAGTGGATACTGTGGGAAGACGATGTATAGGACGTGCTTGAGCAGTTTATCTCAGTATTTCACTCTTATTGTACTCGCTGTCACTTAACGCACATTTAAGAACACTAATTTTCCTTCCTGCGCATGGAGGTAGGAAGTAAGATGGAGTCGCCCTAAACAGTTTCTCCGTACCCTGCTCTGAAGCACCGGCGATCCCTACGTTGTGACCAAAACATTGGATCATTTATCATTGCGTTCTATGGGATTTGACGCGTTCGGGTGTAAATATTTTGTAATTACGTCGCAAATATACATATAAATGTATATATTTTCTTTTTCTACAACACTTCAGAGTCCTAAGTATGTCAAAACAACATATTTTTAAACAACATTTCATTCTGAACGAAATTAAATGCTATACTTTTTCACAGGACAGTTTTTCTCAGAATGGTTTAATTTGAATGAAATATTTTCACAAGTTTTCGTTAATTACATTAGAAAAAAAATTAAGGTAATTCGGTTTTATTCGGTTAAGGTACAAAAATTAAGATCAAAGTTTATTGTATTATTAATATTAAAATTATGCATTATTTCTTTTTTATTTATAGAGCTTCTTCCTAAAATACTTTCTTAAATATGACATGATTTTTGGCTTCTGAGGCATCTTTTAAATCGAAAAAGTTAAATCAATTTATAATTAATGCTCTATTCGGTTCATTTTAAATTAGAGAATTATTAGGAATTAGCGAAATACTTTAAATAAGTATTTCGCTAATTCCTAATAATTAAATGGGTATTAAATAGTATTTGACTTTCTCTGAACATTTCTGAAAGGGAATAAAATATTTTTTTTTTTTTTTTTTTTTTTTTTAATATTATTTAAAACTTGTAACTGAGTTATTATAAAATGTAAAGGGAATAATTCTTTTAATTATACTTATCAGATTTTTTTTTACCCTTCATTTCAACAATACATATTCCAAAACTCTTTATTACGTTCTTAAGTGCGCATCTCATAGCATTTGCTTTACCTTTTAACAGATTGCTTTCCAATACGAACAATTCTTGCTTAAATAGTTTTATAACGTATTTGTCAACAAGATTTCAATTTATGTTTACAATTTAATATTAAGGTTATTATATATTTAGATAACATTTATATTCATTATAATTAGATACATTTAATCATTAAATTCTTCACAGTACTTTCACGGTTGTTTATAAGTGAATAAATTCTTCATTTCAAATACATTTATAAATAATTTAATGAATATTTAAGTATTTTGTCAAAGGCAGATACATGCTTTTTGCAAGCACATGCATAAATACCCATACATATTCCTATTTATCATTTCCGGCATGTGCAAATCTTTAATTTCTGTGCATTCACTATATTTTTCGTGTAAAAGTAATTTACACTAATTTAGCATACACCCGAAAGTTTTACATAAAATATATATATGAATATAATTTGAATGAAAATTATAAGTATTATTTTTAATACCCACTCAAAGGTCAGTTTTTCTTCAAAATTCCTCCACGATGGCATCTCTCTCTTTAGGCAGATAGCCCTTGCATGCGTTACTCTATTTAATAAAAACTTAATCTGACCTATGTGCCTCATTACAAATATTTTAACATACATAATTTTATATTTACATTTAGCCATCAAGTTTCAAACTTTTCAAATCTTCTAGAAAATAAATTTTGGCAGATCTCTTTTCAAATCTTCTAGAAAATAAATTTTGGCAGATCTCTTTTAGCAATTTTCTTAAAATCTATATTTTTGTAGTGCAACTGCTTAGAATTTTATAAAACAAATTCATAATCAAAATCGCTGTTGTTAGTTATCGAAAAATGACCAAGATGTGATTTTTGCGTAAATGTCAGTAAACTATACAAATTGCTATTATCCATCACACTATGAATGTTTCTTTCATGCGAGAGTGTCCCTTTTTCAATTTCTATGGAACTGTCGTGTGTCGAAATACTATCAGAATCTTGTCAAGCGAGCTTCTGAATGTAAACAAAGAACACCCCGTCTGGTGACCCAAGCTTCAAAGCAGTGCTTCACTTCTAGCGCGGAATGGCCCCTCCTCCCTTTCCTACCTCCATGTTCCTGCGAGGATAACTAACTGTAAGCATCGATAACAATGCACTAGATACGATGGCATGGCGATAAATTTACGCGTTCCTAAACAAACTCCCCCAAATTTATTGCCCTTCTTAAAGGAAAAGGTTTCCGTATGCGAGTGAGGGGACTTTACTTGAACGTCTCATGTTCTCACGAGGTTGTATTTCTAGCGAAACAGAGTATTGCAAAGTGTGCTTATTGTTAAACTAAAATGTTAGGAATTCTAAATTTTTTCCCTTTAAATTGTGGTTCAGTTTTATAAAAAGAAGTACCGGAGCTCATCTTATTTAGGTCTCCGGTGCGCTCCGGCTAGAATTGTAATTTATCTTAAAAATTGAGAAGTACCGGAGCCGGGCTCCGGCGCAATTTAAGCACTGATACTTACATGTATTATGAAGTATTTTTATTATTTGATGTATTTCTTGCAAGGGAAATATTAATTAATCTTTTTTAATAGATGTAAACCTGAGTATGCTCAAAACAGATGTTATAATTTAATTGAAACTCCAGACCTGGAACAGAAAGTGCAATATTCTCGTAAGTACAATATATTTCAAATCAATAAGAATATGACCAAAAGGAAAGTCATTGAAATAGTATTTCTTTTGAAAGAAAATAAGTTAACAAATTTTATGAGCTAAACAGTAATCTTATTACCCTCCATTCTTATACTTAACACTAAATTTGTATCTGATTTTATGAAATAAGCATAAAAGTTGTCGATTTTAAGAACAATATATTAATTGTATTAAAATATATTAATAAGTATTATCCATAAACAAAATTATGCACTCGTAAAAACTTTAATATCATTTTAATTACATTAAATTCTATATGACTATCATTTTGCATTTTGGGTTCATAAAATAAGCATAAAATTCTTATTTTTGATAAAAATATTTTAATGTAAATATTATAAATAAACAAAAATTATGTCAGTCATAAAAAATTTAATATCACTTAAATTCTGTGTGGCTTTCATTTATTTTTTTGGCTCCACAGTGACTGAGCGGATAAGACCGCTGAATACTAGCAGTTCCACCCATAAATTCTGACAAATGAGCTGAGCAATTTCGGGGGTTTCTGCCCATATCTAATGTGAATACAAGCTAGTTTCTCTTAAAACGTTCTTCATGAAGGCATGCCTCCTCTTACGCTTTGCCATGATCTAATAAATCCAAATATATTTATATGTTATATTTATATGCTTATTGTCCGTATATGTTTATTGTCTAATTCCACTTTGTAATTTGTATAATTACAGAGGGGAATGTTGGCTGGATCATAGGTGTGGTCATAGGAACTATTCTTCTCATAGCAATCTTGTTTATTATATGGTATAAGAAAAATACAAATGCGTAAGTAGCTAATCCAGATATATATTTTTATGAATCCTTATGGTTTATGAATTTGAATGTAATTTTCTATAACATGTTTTTATATCGATTATTGCATCTTGAAGCGACCAAAATTTTCTGCAACACTTTATAACTTACTGCAGCAAACTTCACTTTAATAAACCTGGCTTATAATGATCCGCTTGACATGGCGTATGAACCTTTTGGTCCTATACAGTTTCCTACACACTTAATATTAGTTTATACTGCTATAGCAAATCTGAAAAGTATAAAAATGGGATATAATGATCTGTACAAATATCTTCAATTGAACCTTGTTTATGTTTTTTATATTTTTTTCCAGGATTTTTGCAAGTTTAGAGGAAAGAAAAATATTATAACCTTAAAATCATCTATTTTTAAGATTTTAAGCTTCACACTCAATCCGTAAATGAAAGCTCTTTTACGTTAATTTTCATTTATCTTCACACCCAGTTTTCTCTATGTTCTAAGCAAGAGGCTAGTCGCATAATTATTAGACGATTTCAATGCATTTACAGAAATATATTACCTAAAATTTTTGTCTTTAAATGTTTTCTTTAGTAATCCTAATTCTTCACTATCTTTCTACACCATAATTTCTAAGACGATAAAGCCTTTTGTAATATAGGAAGAGGTATTTTATCCCAAATCCTCTCGAACAGCTTTCCAAAGTCCAAAAGGGTTGTAGGTGAACTTTTAGACCAGCGGTCGCCAACCGGTGGTTCGAGAAAACGTTTTGATGGTCCGCAGAAAAATTGGGACATTATTTATATTTTTACGAAGATTCAGTTTAAAAAATGGCGAGTAACAAAACCTATTATGGAAGATCGATTATACTACTTTTAGCGAAATTCCTTCAATGAATTTAGCAACTTTTTAGGTACTTTTGCAGGTGTATCTAGCGACATTTGAAAGTGAGAGTTGGCAACCATGCATATGCTGCTGTTTTCAATAATAGCGCGAACTGTAATTCTCTTTCCTTTTCAATTACAAACATATGCTACTGCAGTCGCTAATAACACAGTTTTTCTTAGTGTCGCTTGGCAAGTTTATGGATTTTTATGAGAACTATCTGCATTGTTGTTTATAATTGAATCGCTGGAAGTTTCCGTTTTTGATTTGTCTAACTGTTGATCGATGGCGCCATTGCTGAGTAAGCGATGATTAATTATGTTTACAGTAATTAAAAATTGGCGGCATAACACTTTCAGTTGATTGATATTGCTTTGCGTTTGCCGATTCGTTCTTGCTTTTCGTGAAGTTCCTTTTCAGTGATACGGAAATGTGAAGCTTTCTGTACAAGAAGGAAAGATTTTTGTACTTTTTATATAATATTTCAATGTGAACGAAATATATGTATCAATGAGATGTTAATAGTGTTTTAATTGTTGTTCATAATCAGGGGTGTAGCCTGAATTTCCATAAAGGCATGCTGCTGAACACCAAATGTTTCGATAATTATATTAACAAACGAAAATTAAAATTACATGTATTGAAAAATTCAATATTGTTTTTGCGTATTAATATGTTTTTAAGGTTTGATTTAAGGTGTTTTTTTTAATTCATATTAGTGGTTCGCCAAATATAAAATTATATATTTAGTGGTCCGGGAAGTTTTAAGGGTTGACGATCGCTGGTTTAGACAATTCGTTTTTTAAAAGTCCAAAAGAGCAAAAATCCACAGATTATACATCAGATTTAGTAGGGATAATTGTAATAAGGTATGGCTTTGATACCTGTTTCTTGTTTCACTATTTTTTCCAAGGAAATTAACAGTAGATTTTGACGTGTGGATCCTTGCATTGTCTTGAAGCAGTTCTAGTGACCGATGACGCTGTGGGTAAAAAGAAAATAATTCATATTTGAGAAATGAGTATAAAATATGTTACGTGGTACTATACGTGGTACGTACCTGATAATACGTGGAATTGATCTTAACATTTTTCTTTACTATCTTTATTTTGAATTTTAAGTTATATGAAAAACCAACAACAGTCATAAATCCGCTTGAGAACTTTCTTTGGATTCTTTGAACCATGTTTTAAGATTTTATTCTCCTCTTTGATGATAATAAATGGACCTCTTTTTGTTCTAATAATTTAAATACAACAAAGATTCATCTATTGTGACAACTTTTTTTCATTTTTTTGTGAATTTCATTTCATTTTCATTGCTTTCAGCAATATGTCGTGGAGAAAGACGATGCACATTACATTTTTCCTCCTTTTTAAAATTCAAATCAGTATTAATCACTTTGTTTACAACTGACATGGTGCATTTTAATGATTTTGCAACTGTCCTTTGCTTTGGCGGATTTTCGAATTTTCTTTTAACATTAAAGATCTTACCTTTGCGACATTCTAAGCATTGCAATATTTTCCTTTCTGGTCGTAGCTTTAAAATCATGACATTCTCAGCATTTTCGAATAAATAGATACGAATAATTTCCTTTGGAAAGAAGCAAACGTAGCTTTCCATCCATTGCTTCTCTAAATGCGCCATTTTTCATGAAAACAAAACTGTCAAATAGCAGGCGATAATTTATACTTTTAAAAATGTAGTTGCAGTTGAAAAAAAATTCTCAGCGGAGGAATTTTTTTAATGGCAAAACAAAATCGTCTAAAAATGTGGGAAAAACCTTTGTACAGGACAGGTATGAACCCAATTCTAGGAGAATGAGGATACTATAAGCATATCGTAAAACAGCATATAGTGTTAGTGACCATTGAAGCAAAGAATATAAATGGCTGTCAGACAGAGCTTTATTTAAGACTAATGCCATGATAGAACTATCGAAATTTTTATAATTCAAGGAAAGAGTATGCAGTGATTCATGTGAGCTAGGGCTAAATAATTAATTCTTCCTTTAAAGAATGAAATTTTGATTGCTCCATCTGTATGCGATATGACGGCGGTCGCATTGTCATCGATGTCCGAATCATCGTCATCGTAAACCACATCAGCGACAACTCCGGTGATGTCATCTAATAAAGGTTCTTGTTGAAGATCCTGTCAACGATCAACCACCGCTCCAAACTGCTTATCAAAAACCACTTATCCGTTTGTTTCATTTGAGTCTGTTAAAAAGTTATGTCCTTCAAATAAGGATTTTGCATTCTTTAGATCTTTTACAAGCCACACGATATTAATAAAAGTTGAAAGTAAATTCGTCAATATTTTTTTTTTTTTTTTTTTCATTTTTAAAGTTTGTATACTATTGTCGATAAAATAATTATCCATACATACAATTTAAGTCAATTACCGTGTAAAATTATGAATGTACAGTGAACCTGTAAAAGAACAACCAACAGATTTAATGACTATGCAAGATACTAACTGTAATAAAATCTTAATACGAATTTTTTTACATTAGATGTATTATGCACTTCTTTTGATAGATGTGATGAGGTTAATCAGTTTTTTTTTTTTTTTTTTTTAAAGCCCAGTAGAGCTATTATTCTCGAAACGGTATTTTGCATCGACACATTTGTCAAATTGTTGCCACCAAATATTATCGGCTTCTATTATATTTAAAGAAATTAAATAATGAAGAATCTGCATGGATGTATGTTTGTTTCTCGCACTGTGAAAAAACAACGGTACCTGCAGCCATCAAATTTTAAATAGCATAGTCCACCACACAAACATGGGCACCTAGAAGCCCGAATTTTTAATTTCGAATTTGTTTTATTATCTATATCATGTTTTGTAAAACGTTAACGAATTTTTTATTAACAAACTCAACACGTGATAAAAGTTTTCTCTCCAGCATGCGACACTGTCTATCAGAAATTCTAAAGATATGCTGTTTTTAAATACTTTTAGCCCAAAGGAACGAACGTGTGTGTAAATGAAAAAAATCACATCTTCGGAAGTAATATAAAATCTGAATGCTTTCATAATTTTTTTCCCTATGTCCAATTAGTCATTCATATTTTACAAGCTTTTGTGAAGTAATTCCTTTTTCTTTTCGAACCGGATATAGTGAACCAAACTTCTGGTCCCTTAAGTTCATATCAATAGTAAGGTTCAACTACATTTAGAACAAATGAATATGGATAATTCTTCCAATGTAAGTTTTTGTATCTTTAGACTGGCACGTTTATTTCATATGAATAATGACATAATTTAATCTAAAAATCCAACTTACAAGTATACCTTTTCTCCTTTAATACCGGTTTTCCGGAAACCCATATATTTTCTGAAAGCTTATATCACAAGTAGAAAAACTGTGAAGTCTTAGGGACAGAGGGGCAACCGTTTAGGAACTATAGAACCCACAAAGCATCACTGAAGTATGTATAGATGGACATATTTCCGTAATGACATCTCTATTTCTTGTATGTTCATGCATTGTCTGCTTCCGAAGTACCTGATGGTAAAGTCCTACAAAAAGAACTGGTACCTGAAGGATTTACGGGAATGATCCAGTCTCTGGATATAAATTTTTTTAGACACTACAAATCCTTTGTTCTTTACATAACGGACACAATCATTATCGAGATACAAGAGCACATTTTGCATCGCGATAGTTTTATGGCCCCGCAGCTCCTCGCTCATTCAGCGCTCCTCATTTTAAGAACTTGATTATGTATGCTTTTTATAAGGGTAGATACTTGGACGACGAACCTGGAATGTGGATTGCCCCAATGGATTACTGCTTCGATTCATTGACAAATGATCAGTGTGCAAAGTGTGAAGCTATCGCTTTTTTAAAATGTGCCCATTGTGAACTGTCATTCTGCCCGTCTCGCGACTTTTGGGGTCATGTTCCCAACACTTTTCTGATACTTTGTGGGCCTTATAACTCCTAAACGCTTGTCCCTCTTTCCCTAAGATTTCACAGTTTTTCTACTTGTGACATAAGCTTTCAGAAAATACATGGGTCTCCGGGAAATTGGTATCAAAGGTTTACTTGTCAGTTAAGAAATGACAATGGCATTCTTAAAATGTGCCCATTGTGAACTGTCATTCTGCCCGTCTCGCGACTTTTGGGGTCATGTTCCCAACACTTTTCTGATACTTTGTGGGCCTTATAACTCCTAAACGCTTGTCCCTCTTTCCCTAAGATTTCACAGTTTTTCTACTTGTGACATAAGCTTTCAGAAAATACATGGGTCTCCGGGAAATTGGTATCAAAGGTTTACTTGTCAGTTAAGAAATGACAATGGCATTTTTAAAATGTGCCCATTGTGAACTGTCATTCTGCCCGTCTCGCGACTTTTGGGGTCATGTTCCCAACACTTTTCTGATACTTTGTGGGCCTTATAACTCCTAAACGCTTGTCCCTCTTTCCCTAAGATTTCACAGTTTTTCTACTTGTGACATAAGCTTTCAGAAAATACATGGGTCTCCGGGAAATTGGTATCAAAAGTTTACTTGTCAGTTAAGAAATGACAATGGCATTTTTAAAATGTGCCCATTGTGAACTGTCATTCTGCCCGTCTCGCGACTTTTGGGGTCATGTTCCCAACACTTTTCTGATACTTTGTGGGCCTTATAACTCCTAAACGCTTGTCCCTCTTTCCCTAAGATTTCACAGTTTTTCTACTTGTGACATAAGCTTTCAGAAAATACATGGGTTTACGGGAAATTGGTATCAAAGGTTTACTTGTCGGTTAAGAAATGTAAAGTTATTAAAATAGGTAGAATATTAAATTGAGAATTGACATAAGTAAAAAATAGCATTGTAAAAGCTGGTTAGAAATTCATCATTTCAGTGAGATCTTTCTGCTATGATCATTATCAGACCAAACTTGAAAGGAAATTCTGAGCTTAAGAGGCCAGTTCATACAGGATCATCTAACGAATTAACATGCTGATCCTCTTAATTGTTATTTTCCTCATTAAAGTCTTTATTGAGCGGTATTCATATAGATTAATTCTTCGTATTTTCATATACTTGCTGACATTTTTTTTAAAACGATAATATTTCCGTTCTTGAGAATAATGTATAACAGGACTGGTAAAATTTCATGTGAACCAAAGCAGGTATATCAAAAGCTTGCAACTGTTAAGTTGTTTCATTATTGCTGGCTAATATTGGCAAGGCTATAGAAATGGTTACAATTTACAGAATGCACCTATAAAGTGAATGGGTTCAGTCTATGTATTTAGAAAAGTATTTAAATCATATCAAAACAATTTGCAATGTAAGGCGAGATTAGTGATTTTGCATGACTTCAAAATTAAATGTAATGTGTCCGAACACTCTTTTATTTGGAAAATATTCCCCACAGTATATTACACAATATGTAAGCTAACTTTCTTCATTACACTCCACTCATTTCAAGTAGTATTATAAAACTAAGCACTTTCTTTTTATTATAATTAAATCTGATTTTTAATAGCAGAAAATTTAAATTGAAAAAAGGCATATGGGTTTAAAAAGCTTTGTATTCAAGTGAAAAATTAGGCAATAATTTGAAAATCAGACCTACTTATTCTACTTTACTCTTAAATTTTACTTACCTTATTATGGAAAAATAAATAATTTACATTTTGAATAATGGCAGCAGTAAAGTTTAGGTAACTCGCAAATTTAATTGTAGTCACCTCTAAAGCTAGGGAGTTAAGCAAATTTAATTATTAGTTTCTTATAACATTCTTTGCCAGTGATATGATCTGAGTTTATCTCTTTCAGTGAAAGAACAAGGCTAGCACATGCTGTAGATAATCCAGTGTATGGTCTAAACTTAGATACAGTAAGTATAAAATATCAGAAGTTATAACCAGTTTCAAAATTTATTTACCAATTTATTTTTTAAACTGCTTTTCTTCTTGGAATCATAACTCATGATAGTGTTATTAAACCTGTATGTGACATGGTAGATATGTGTGTTCATTAACTGTGTGGTATTTTCTTACTTCGCAAACCACTTTTTTAAAGTTGTGAAATTATTTACATCTTTACATAAATACTGTCGATTTTTTTAATCGACAGGAATCGAAAATCGAAGTAACAATACTTTCTATCCAACATAATAATAGTTACAAATTTCAATTTATAATATAAAAAGCCAAACTATCATCTCTAAATAAGGTGCTAATCTATAAGGTGTATAATTTATGGGATTTTACTCCCCTCCCCTCCCCTCCCCATTTCCTCAATTCTGACGTCATGTTCTGATTGCTCCTTCTAGCGCATGCGCGATAAGAATCTCATCTCTGCTAGACTGCAAAAAAGAACTCTTCCCTTCTGTTTTAAAGTTCGCTCTGCTCATCGTTCAGATTAATGCCATTTTAACGTTATATTCTACGTATATCTTTTGGTTTATTAAAAGAATTTAGGTACTATTCTGTTAGCCGGGCGCAAATGTCGCCAATTGTGAAACCAAACGCGAGCCGAGTCGCCAAGCGAAGCCGAATGACAAAACAGTCAACGGAATAAAAGTCGAAAACGGTCGAAACTATAAACAAATACTTATTAATAGTAAGCAAACAAGTTTAACTATAAACAAATACTTATTAATAGTAAGCAAAACAAGTTTAACTATAAACAAATATTAATGAATTGTAAACAAAACAGTTTTACCCAAAAAGAATGCTTATAATTATTGGTTTTTTCCAGAATACTGTGATGTACTTGGGAATTGCTCAAATGGATCGTTTACTCCTCGTCTCCACATAAATTCAGCGAGGTACGACTCGATATAATGGCGAGAAGTTCCCCGATGTTTTTTTTTTCTCCATTTGCCACTGCTCCAAAGTCGTTTGATTGTATGAGTGTTTACACCAGTGTCAGGAACAATAAAATTGTACCTGTGATTGACTTTGAAATGCTGTAGACCAGCTTCTTCCATTTTAGTTGTGCAGTAGCCCTTCCAGAAATCAGAATAGACGATTGACCCTTCTTTGATGTGATTTGTTATCATATCTAACAGTACTGGTAAAGAACGGTTTGAAACTTTGACTAGAAAGCATTCGTCTGTTTCGCGGCAAAGGCCACCAAATATCCACTGTTGTAGAAGAATTCGACCGGCATTGTTTTTTTTTTGTTTTGTAAATAAGCTCTCGTCTATCTCAACTATTTTTTCAGGACTTTTTTTTTTTCCCCTCACGTCCGCTAATACGTCTACACAAACTTCTCTTAAGTAGTTGTTCCAATCTACAATTGTATTATGATTCATATCCAGTTGTTTTTCACACCATTTGACTGATGTCATCTCTTCGCTCCAGCAGTAAATAAATCTCAAAGATGTTAGAAAATTCAATCTGGACGATTCGAACCACGTACAATTGCGAACGATCTTCTTCATGCGGCATGTTGAAAGATTGCACCGCCAACGTACTCCGTCACAAAAAGACAGTTTTATTTAATGATTCTAATCGTTGCCAATATACCTTTCTCTTGAAAAAAAAAAAAAAGAGACTGCATCTTCTTCAGTTCTGGCTAAATCCCAAATTTTCATCATTTTTTAAAACAAATATTAACATGGAAGAAAAAAAGGAAAACGTGCTTTGTTTTGAATGAATTCAGAGAATAGATCACATGGCCCCAAACGATCATTCCGCTTACGGTTGTAAAAAAATTGGCGAAATTCTACATTATTTGGCGATTTTTTTTTGCTTGCGCCCGGCCAACGGAAAAGTACCGAATTTATTTATTATAAATTTGTACTTAATAATCATCTTTAAAAAAAAAAACGAAATTTGATGTGGGATTTTACGTTTTCCCCCACAAGTTAAATATAATTAACTTTACAGTTTTCTAAAATTCTGGGAATAAAGCTATTCCTTTTTCTGTTTACCAGAAAATTGCGTGCCGTACTTCCGAATGACTTGTACTTCCCTTATGTGCTTCAAAGTTTTAGGGCTATAAATATTTATATTTCTAAAACTATAGTTTAAAAAAATCCTGCATTAATTTTTCAATTATATGAACAAATCTTTATGAAATAAAAACATCCCGTCTGCACAAAAACCGTAGATTCTCATACGAAACTAAATTTTTTTTATTAACATTTAATTGTTTCAGAACTGGTAATGGTTATTCTTTTTCAGATATTACTTGTAAGTAAAAACAGAAACTTTGTCAATTAGACAAGCCAGAAATATCTTAATTAGTTAATTCCGAGTTGTTCTTCATTCCAAATAATGTGTTTCAGCTCTTGCATAGTGTTGATTCCTCATTTCTAATACTCCATTCAACCGCGTAACTTATTCTGTCTTGTTGTAATTAGCATACTATCTTGTAAATCTGCGATTTATAAGTATTAATAAAATACAGTAGGAATGTAATGTGGTAGACCTCTCCATGGTGCCTCTGATTAACACTAAAACTGCCAGGTCTTATTGCTTTTGTCTTTGTGAATCTAGACAACACATGGACAAAGAACAATTAAACACGTACTCTGCACTTAATAGTTTTAATTCTGCAGTCAAAAAGTATTAGAAATAAAAATGGCTACTGACTTAAGTTCCAAAAGCCAAGCATTTGTAAATAAATAAATAAAATAAAATAATATCCTATTGGTAAGTTGCCAATTGGAAACTGACAGACAGACAAAGTAGACAGATGTCTTGTTTTGCACCTGCTAAGTCTTTCTACACCGATGGGCGAAAATGTACAAATAAGATTTTGTGTAGCTTAGGCATGGTCACAGAAAAAAAGGAATTAACCTTTAATGATCTTCTGGAATTTTAAAACCAAATACATTCTTGAAGAACCTGACACTAATGCTACAGAAAACAGGGAAGGGGGAGGGTCTGAGAGTTCAAAGTTAGGAGCTTATCAGTATTAGAATGAATATTTCTGAAAATATTGATTAAGAACAGCTCTTGGAAAAGAATTCAAAACAATCAAAAAAATTAGCATGCTTAAAAGGTCTAACTAGGAGATTCTTTAAAGACAAAATGAGGTCTGTTTTGTCGGTCTGACCTTGCGCATATTTTTTTTTTTTTTCTACTCGTCATAGATTCTCTCATCACAACAAGATCATATTTCGCAACTGATAAGTAAATTGCATACATATTTGAGTTTTAAAAAAATCTTTTCAGCAATATTATAAATTTTACTTAAATTCATATTGCTGTTTTTCATTTTAATAGAACTTAAGATAAATATGGATATAATATTTTAATAAAAATTGTCTCGTACCACTTTTCTGCTTTAACCTTGCATCGTTGATCTAGAAACAAATTACCAGATAATTTTTGAGTATTACTGTGTTTGCTGCTATTATTGCTTTACTTGTATTATTATTTCTGCAATAATAACAATCATACTAATCAGAAATTAAAGATAAAACTACTGTTGATTAGTAATGCATTAAAATAAGTTCATAATTATAAATGGTCTGAAATACAATTATGCAATAACTCTTTTAGTTAACCATCCAAAGATTTCAGTATTCCCTTGTGGGTAGACAGCTCTTATGTGCTTTGCCATATTCAAAATAACCTAACTTAATGCCTCGTGTATTGTGTACTTTGGCTGAAATGTTTTCAGGGTTCACAGATGCTTTTTCAAAATTCAATTAATAGTTCACCCGAAAAGTAACTAAAAATTGAAAATTTTTAACTTTAATGTGAATGGGAGTACAAATTCTCAACAAATTATGTATACACATTTATAAATAAGTAGCACATACATGATATTATTTATTGTATTAAAAACAATTTTTTATTTTCTACAGCGATGGTATTATTTCGATTCTTTCTTTCTGCTGCTAAATGCATTAACTTATTTTTCTCTTTTTCTATTTCCAGTTAACATTTGGTGAACTCAATACACATATGCCAGTTAGGCATGAAGATGTAAGTATCTATTTTATCTCAAAATGAACTTGCTAATTAAATACGATTACCCTGTTACTTATGTGAAAAAATAAGGAGTTTTGCTTTTATGGATAGAGGGGCTTTCTGTACTTAACAAATGCATTTAAGTTATAACATAATTTTTTAGCATGATTGGTTTAGGCCTTCTGAAAAAATATTTTATCTATGTTTTGCAGAAGAAATAAAATGATATATTCCTTGAAAATTGTATTAAAATAACAACAGAAAACCCTTTAAGCAAATTAAATGAAAATAATTATCTAAATGTGATATGAATAATATATATTATACAGTACAAATTCCGTAATCCGGACGTCCATTATCCGGAATGATCCATAATCCGGACCTCAAAGCCACAAACTTTTTGGTATGCTTTACGCATGCGCGTTATCCGTATACGCATTCGCGTTTAATGCGCGCTTCCGATACGCATGCACCGCTTCTCATAGTGAAGAAAGTGACAGGGAGGTTATTGAAAACGAAAAAATTTCGATTAACAAGTTAGTCACTATTCTCGACACAGCAATGACAGGACTTGAACAGCGGAACTTTGTAGCTGAACAAGAAATTTTGTGTGTTTATAGAATTAAAGAGAAACTATTAGCACAAAAAAACGAAGCAACTTAAACAACTTACATTGAAAGAAATGTTTAATAAAGTAAACAAATAAATATTAAGCTTTTTTTATATAAATTTTGATACTCTTTAGATCATAATTGCTCTTTATTTCATAAAATTACGCTTTCATATTTTTAATTGTATAATTTCTGCATGCCATTTTACCAGATTTAAATTGATGATCTATAATCCGGAAAAACCCCTAATCCGGAATCGCCGAAGTCCCGACGAGTTCGGATTACGGACTTTGTACTGTATTTCGTAAAGTGTATTTCAAATCGAAATTTTTTCAAAAATAAAAAATTGGAAAAACTTATTTAGATATATTAAAAAATTTACCTATTATAGGGTTGTATTCTAAAATGCATTTATTTATGGAAATTTCAAAAGTATGTTATTCATTTAGCTTCTAATGTAGCTGAAACGTCCAGAAAAAAATTCCCATGTATAAATTGAGAAAAGTGAGAAAGATTTTCAGTCACTTCAGTTATCTATGATCTGTTATTTTCCTTATTACATACCATATTTGAACTGACTGAAGAATTTACTATTTTGCTGATAAAGCAGATATTCCAAAAAAACTGTACATTTTTTTTTATTTCATTACCATTTTCTATGTGTCTAGTAATGTAAATAACATAAGTTTTAAATGTTAGTTTGTACTTTCAAAACACGTACTTTTTTGTTCTTAATTTTCAATTATTTAGTAGTTTGTGCATTTTTCTAAGCAAATGGTTTCTGAAGATTTCATAATAACGAGATTTAGCACAGGTTTTTGTCAGTTTATTTAGAAGACTTTTATATGAAATTGATTTTAGTATTTTGTCTGACAGAGCCTAGAAGAATCGTACTGTCGTGACAATCCGTGTTATGTAAATCGTGACTTCGTGTTATGTAAATCGTGCAATTTTTTTGTTATGAGAAAATGTATTTCTTTCCTTTTCCCACAAATATTCTTTCTTTTCCCAGGGTGCTGAAACGACGGCAATAGAAAATCCTCTCTATGCTTTCAAATCAGATATCAAATGAGAGGAAAAGTTCACACCACATTTCCTTCATCACTTTATTACATCTTACATATCTTCTCACAAGAACATTGAACTTTATCACAACTCAGTGTGTATGTGTACGTGTATTACATACGTATAGCTAATGAGCTTCAGCAGACATGCAACTCTGCTTTGTTCAGATTTTCTGTGATCATCTTGTAAAAGTTTTCTGAATATTTGTTCAAATAAATTACTTGTTTTCCTTATATGCCTTATTTATTTTTGAGTATTTTTCTTACACGTAAATCTCATGGTAAAAAACAGATCATTGTTCTAAAAAATATCAAAATATTTAAATATAAAAATAAAATTCTAGAAGAAATCTTTTATGCGTGTCGTACATGTTCTCTGCCATGGGTAAAGGTATTAATAAATTTTTATAGTCTGCCATCTGAGGGAATGTTACTTTCAGCAGGAGTAAAAAATATAAAGTAAGATGAAAAAAAATTGCATTACATGAATAAATTAACCATTTCTTACTATCAGCCTTGTATTTTCCATTCTTATATTATTACATGTTGTTTCTCCGAATTTCAATGTATGTATATGTTTTGACAATATTAATTTTCTTATGAGTAGATCTGTCAAACCTGAGTCTGTCCGTCTGAGTTCTGTAAAAACTATTCATAATTAGTTACTAATATTCATCCCAGTCTTTAAAATCTGATTTCAAAAAGACTTCTGAGCATCTCTTAATTCTTCATTTACGATTGTCCCTTTAATGTCAGGCTGCTAACTAATTCTGAATATCTGATAATATTGTTACGAAATGTCCAGAGGCGGTAAGATAGCTTCCCCGCAAAGCAGGTTTAGGTTTGCGAGAAAATGGCAGGGGAAGGTGGGGTTGCCATATCTGGCGAGAAATCATCCATTTGGCAACAAAACTGGCAATATGCCTTAGACAGATGAAGAACTTTCTGGAAGGAATTCTTACTGGAATATTATTTATTAGCCGAGAATGTTCTCGAACGCAAGCCAAAAGCTATATAAACCCTACTGATACGCGGAGTCAATCCTTGAGGAGGTAATGTCTCTTCTAGCGAGTTGATAGTCAGTCAGTGAGCAAGTGTCTCGAAGTCTAGCGCCGAAATGGTCGTCGAGTGCATCGAGAGAGTCTTTTAGTGTATCGCGAATTAGTATATCGTCGAGTTTTATCTTAGAGTATGTTGAGCTCCGAGAACGACCGAACCAAGTCGGTAGCTGTACTCTAGTGTATCGTCGAGTGCATCGTGAGTTTGGAGAGTCGATCGAGCAGAGTCGGGAGCTGTATTCTGGTGCTTTCCCGTGAAGCTGCCTCCACCGTTATAACCTGATAGTCTGAAAGCTGTGTCGTTGATTGTTTCAGCGTGTTTACAGTAGTTCTTCGACGACTGTAAACGTGATTTTGGAGCTGTCCTGAGGATACTGGCTAATAAATTGTGTTTCGATACTTCATCAAGTGTCGTCGTAACGTACGTGAAGAAAAATAACGTATTTAGATGTTAAACAACAAAATTTAGCGTTATATTTGCAAATATTTCAGAACTAATTTAGAGGGTTTGACTACGAACCATCCTCCTCAGCTGCCAAAGTGCAAATGAAACACTTTGGCAGCCGAGGAGGACAGTTCAGTAGTCAAACCATCGAAACTAGTCCTGGAAAATTTGCCAGTACAACGCTGATTTTTTGTTCTTAAGACTTCAAAAATAATCCTTGTTCGGCATGTTATATTACCCTAAACTGATAATATTTTGATTAAGTCCTGTTGATACATATTGTTGAGATAATATCATTTTCAGTAGCAGTCCACTACCATTATTGCAACTGATTTAAATTCCGAATGGGATGCACTTTTTATAGTCTCTTGGCAATATAGTTTACTAACAAATGATTACATAACTTTTGCACAGTGACTAAAGCAAAGGAACTATGAAATAATAATTTATCATGTATAATTGCATTGTGAGATACTTTAGAAAATCGTAAGTTAAGAGCTGTTGATAAGGGTAATAATACAAGACATATCTTGGGTGAGAAATAAGAACTAAGTTACAACATAACATTTTTATTTAACTTATACTGAGAAAAATTCACTAAGAAGTGCACACAGCAAAAAAAAGAAAAAAAAAAAAAAAAAAGAAGAAATTGGACATTATTTTTTTAACTCCCTTTCTACTAGGAAGATTGATGAAATTCAACTTGCGTTTTTCATCTCTCAAAAGCGCGACTTAGAAAATGTATTAAATTTATATATAGCATTGTTCTAATGTAGGTATTTTGACACAAAATGGGACTTTTTCGGAAATGACATGCCATTTCTTTCCTTATTTCTATTCTACGACTCAAATTATGCGAAATTTCCAAGTTTTTTTAAAAATTAGCTCTCAAAATTTTAGCTCCTCAATGTTAATTGAATTTGATATATATCTTTTTTATTAAATTTACATGATTCCATCTTCCAGAATTCGAAATTCAGGTTCATCCCAAACAAAATTCGGCCATTTTATATGATTTATTTTTAAAATTTGTATTTTAAAATAATTTAAAATTTTTTTTGAAAAAATTTTGAGTGATAACCTATGTAATTTTAACACCATACTAAAGTAGATTTATTTCTATGCATACCCGCAAAAAATTAGTTTTTTTTTATTTAAACGTTTTTAGGACATACGTGAATTTACATATTGGCGAGTTTTAAAATATAGCATATTTGTTATAAGCGATAATAACGCCAAATGTGGTTTACGCGCTTTGTTAAAACTATTCGAAATAATGATCGATGACTTTTTGTCCGCTCGTTTACAATAAAAAAAAGGAAAATTAAGAAAATAGGTTGCTATAAATTAAGAAGTTCACCAAGTAGCGGCGCAAACTGAAAAAAATTCGCCAAGATAAATTTTTGAATTTCTCCGTAAATTTAGCACCAAATTTTACAAAATTTAATATTTAGGCATAATTTGAGTCGTACAATCGAAATATGGAAAAACGTTGGTATGTCATTTCAGAAAAAGTCCGATTTTGTGTCAAAATACCTATATTAGAACAATGATATATATAAATCTAATGCATATCCTAAGTCGCGCTTTCGAGACATGAAAAACGCCAAGTTGAATTTCGTCAATCGGCCCAGTAGAACGGGCGATATAGAACTGTGCCATCCTTTTTTTTTTTTCCGCAGTGTACATAAAAATATATGATTCGGTCTTATTAAGAAAATTATAAAATTCCTTTGCTCATTCAAAAACAGATTTTGCAAATGCAGTTTATAAGCGAAAAGAATACTATTAGTGCTGTCTGAATTAAGAATTATTAATTTGCTATTAAGATAAGTGTTAAAACATATGCAGGAAATAGACGATACACTCTTTCACTTTCCCCCCTCTTTTTCTTCCCTCTACGGAAAATCAACTGCCGCAAATGTCCAAAACTCTAGATAGCTTGATCTCAAGATTAATGAATAAGATGAGAAATGCCTTTGTGGAAAATATGAATTAAGATACATTACCAGAATAAGCACTATCACAAATAATGAATATAGTAAAAGCAGATGAGGTATGAACCATATAGGATAAATTTCAAACGAATTTATATAAAAAAATGAATCGATTAATTCAGAAGTCAAACAACAAAAATCAGCGTTATATTCCAAATTTTTACAGGAGTAGTTTCGGTGGTTTTACCGAACCATCATCTTCAGCTGCAAAAGCGCAAATGAACGAAATAAGTTATAGTAATTAGACAAGATAAGACAAGAAAAACTAGACAGGAGTTAAGCTACTGGTGCCATCTGTTGATGGAACGAGAACTAAAATAGAATTTCCTTAAAGGCTGAAGGCAAAGATGGATTGGAATTAGGATCGTTAACTAGAACAGAAAATTTTTTTAAATGTGAAATGCCTCTAGAAAATCTAATTCACCAATGGAAGATGTTTTCTGAATAATTTTGGCTGCAGAAAAATTGAAAGTTTGGTTTTCGGACCAACAATGAACGGGGCAACAGAAGACTTCTACGTTTTTTTCCCCATAACATATGCCTCGTGTTCCTTAACGCGAAATTTTAAGGCTCTCCTAGTTTGACCAATGTAAACTAAACCACACTGGCAAGCAATCCTGTAAATACCCCAGAAATTCATATCCGGAATGGGGTCCCTGAGTATGGAAGTCGGAATTTTATTGATGGGAGAATAAACGACCCGAAAGTTAAATTTCTGTACAATACGTGCAATTTTAAAGCTAATTGATGGAAAGAAGGGAATGACAACAGAATTCTTATAATCTCCTAAAACAAGAATGGTTGGTGTGTTGGAATGATAATTTTTTAACTGCTTGATCAATAATACTGGGTGAAAAGCCCCTGTCAATAGCTTCTGTTGTTTGACTTCTGAATTAATGCTTGTTCGGCGCGTATCTTAATTAAATGAATCGATTTTTGCACCATTTTGTATAAGAAAGCTAGAGCATTCCATTTACAGCAATTCTAAACATAAACTTGCCTCAGTGACAAATCGATCGCGATCAATTTTGGGCAGAGAGTCCTTGAATGCTTTGTTATATCCAATCAGCTTCATCTTATTTCACATTTATTTCCTAATGTATTTTGCTAGATACATCATCCCATAGGTTAAAATAACACGCTGAACAAAACTTAATTTAGAAGTCACACGACAAATGTCCGTTCCTCGGCATTTTGGTCACAAGTAACACATCCAACTTCAGTACTACTGCTGTTTAAATTTCAATCGGCCTTTATTTGCCTTCTACCACACTTCAAGACATGCCAACCGACTAAACAGAAGTTAGCTCCATTTTATTCCTTTGTTTTTCATGCACTAGCTCTTGATCAAGAACTAAATTATTTAAAAGGAGTTGCTGTTAACAGGGGCTTTTCACCCAATGCTGTTAACCATGCAATATTAGTTATTTTTGGAAAAGCCGGAGAGATGAAAAATTAATAACGCCTTCGCCGGGAATCGAACCACGGATCTCTGGATACCGGCCCAGTGTGCAGAACCACTACACCACGAAGACACTCTAAGAAGGCGGGAGAACTACCTTATAACCAAGCAGTTAAAAAATTCTTATTTCAACACACCAAAAGCCACACTCTTGTTTTGGGAGATTACAGGATAAGCAAGAAAAGGAAAAACAGAAGTTCCTGTGGTCCAGCACTGTTGGTACAATAGAAAAAGGAAAAACTGATGCCCTCTGTTGCCCAGCACTGTTGGTC